GGCTACAGCCCACAAAAGAGAGGTCCGCACAATATAGACTTCGGAAAAATAATTTCAATATCAGGCTAGTAAACACTAGTAAACAACTTTTTCTATCATATTTTTTTTTCGCGTTTTACCTTTACCTACAGTACTTTGTACAGTGATTTGCTTCGGGAACTGGATTTCAGCGAAATCATCAACGATTTTTCGGCGAAAAATGCTCGGAAGTTTCGTTCGTTAACGGTGAAATTTAATTTTAGATAATGATTGTTTTCGATTATATTTATATTTTCGTTAAATAATAAAAGAATCCATATTTGGTTTCACAATAAATATTCGAAAACTTTACTGAAAAAAAATTGTTCATTTTATTTGGAAAATAATTTGGGGCCAAGCGGCCTCCACTCTTACTTTGTTGCCCTGGATCCGCCAGACATCTAAATCCGGCCCTGTCGATATCTATTTTGTTACCCAGATTCGGAGTCTCGGGTCAGACTATGTTTTTTACAACCTAATGTTAAAAGTTAGCTCAGGCTACCGTATAACTTATTTATTATTTCGTTATTTTATATTTTTCTTTTATTGCCTAAAATAAAATATTAGGTTTAGAGCAGCCCGTAAACTACAAAAAGTAGGTTCAGACGTATGAAACTGTATGGATACTGTTGAAGAGTTATTTAAATACGATTTCGTGAGAAAAATTTAAACTAGGGATTTTTTGCTTCCCCAGTTTCACAGAAATTTCCAAGTGCCTCACATATAATTAATAACTATTTGTAAAGTGGACATTTTATTTGTCATGTCGTTATGTTATCTCATAGTACTTTACATCTTATTATTTATACGACTCATGTTTTTGGTTTCAGTCCGTAGACTATTAAAGTCTACTTCACCGAAGACAAAGCTTGTACAAATAGGTTCCACGGGCTTCACGTGGCCCTTCCCGTATATATATATATATATATATATATATATATATATGTATGTATACATATATTTATAGCTTTCTATATATGAGCTTCAAAGAGCCGTGATAGCTCAGTGTCCGGGCGTTCGCCTTTAATTCAATATACTCGAGCAACCTGAGTTCGATCCCCGGTGCCGGCACCAAATGAAGTTTTTAACTTTAAGTGCTGATTTATCACGTGCTCCGCGGTGAAGGAAAATATCGTGAGGAAACCTGCATATTTTCGAAATATAACAAAAAAAAGGAGATATGTGAAGTCCGCCAATCCGCAGTGGGGCCGCGTGGTGGACTATGCCCTGATACCCTCTGTATAGAGGAGGCCTTTGCCCAGCAGTGGGACATGTATGGGCTGTTACTTTACTATATATGCTACAGTAGACGAACAATTAAAGCATGGCCCAATAGCCTGTGGTCGCTACGGATTGATAACATCTTCCATAATGCTTTCTTCGATGCGGATTAACTTCAAATTTTTTACGTTTTAATTAGCCCATAAATTCACTTTTTCTGATGTTAACGACTCATTCACGCTAATTAGCTAAACAATGAAACCTGGTGTGTAATGCAGTGAGAATCGTTATGCGAAAAATAGGTACCTATAATTGTTGTTAACTTCAACATTTTCAGTCTATATGTGCAAATTATGAACACGTGGATGAACATCGATATTCATTTCTGAAACTAACGAATCGAATGTCAGTATCATCAGATTTACATTATCTTTGTCGATTTAAAGGTCAAAATTTGTGTTGAATGCCTAGTTTTAGAAAGGCCAATTAATTTACAATTTATCTCGTTAATTCTTTTATTATTATAATTATAATCATATTTAAATACAAAGTAAATCTTTATTGATCTAATATTTACAAGATAAAATCTATCTAAAATTACATATAATAAACATCTAATAAACCTAATCCACGCGGCACGGTGTCAAGATCGCTAGCTGCATTTCCTCGCTGAATAGTTATGCTTAACCTTTGAGCGAGAAAAGAACCAGCTCTCTTGTCACCAGCCGCGGCGTTAAGCCTAGGACATAAACTTTTAAAAAATTTTGATGTGCGGGGACCCCACGGACCAAATTTTTCAACAGCAAATGGCAAAAATACATAATCTAAACATAAAGACTCATATTTGCGCCATTTACTTACTTCAGCTGCCTCCGATGCCGCCCCGGCCCTGACCGAAGTACCCCTTAGATGAGAGGCAGCCAAAGTGTCTACACAAGTGGCGTCCCAAACAAGGGCTTTGCCTCTCTCCCAAGGGATCAATGTGAAACCGTCGGGTCTCTTACCAACGTCGCGAAAAATGTCACAGGGCTCTAAAATAAATGGAACATTAATGGAAACAAGAGCCATACGGATGATGTCGTTCAGGGAACCGTGGCGGGAAAAACGGCCAGCACTTTTTTGAAAGCCCGTGGAGACCAAATTTGTCTACACTGACACCACAAGGGTATTGGTGTGGTTGACAAATCGGTGCCCCCAGACGGATTCCTACAGCAATGCGTAAGCTTTCATCGTCAAGTAATGTACCCAAGTTACTTGATGGTAAAGCGTGAAGCCAATAACTCGAATCTTTAGATGAGACGCCTAGGAAACGGGCACGCTCTAAATTACTTTCTAAAGATTGAAAGGTATCTCTCTGTACTCTCCGCACCAAAGGAACATCCCACTGTTTTTGTAGGTTTACTTCCAGTGGGATATTTTCGTTGGGGCAGATAGACAGCCAAGACATCCTTGCCTCCTCTGCATAGGAAAGTTCTGAATCGTGATTAAGGATGTTATTACATAAATTATTTACGCTATGCACGGAAGCAAGGAAGGCAGGTAGAGCGACACTAGAAATTTTCCTTACACCGATACCACCAAAACGAATTGGCAGCGTAGCTTGAGTCCAGCTTAATTCATTAAGAGATAAATTTAGAATTTTTTCTAGAGCTGATTTAAGATGGATGGTTCAAAAAGTCACCGCATTTCCAAACTGGACTCGAGCGAAGGAGGTACGTAAATTTAGGTACAAGAATACAATGTCGCAAAATAGTAAGCACAATATGCGAATTTAGTAAAAACAATTTATTAACATGATCTAAAAATTGATTTAACTTTAATTTTAAATGAGGTTCCAAACTTGATATCAACAAAGGAGCACCTAAGAGGTAAAGTGAATCTGAACGGACTACGTTAATTCCCGGTATGATAGAGCTAAAATTTTGGGTCAAAATTATTTTGTCGGAAAAAGAAATCTTTTCGGAAAAGAAAAGTTCGCATTTGGAATTATTTAAATCGAGACCGATATTTTTAAATTGTCTAATAATTTCGATAAGATCACTTTGCACATCGTCAACTTTACCTCCCAGCGTTCCATCGTCTAGGTACCAGACATTAAGTTTATCTTTCAATTTTGAAATAATTGGATGCATTCCCAAACTAAATAATGCTGGTCCTAGCGGATCTCCCTGCTGAATGCCGACAGCAGAATCAATAATATGGTCTTCATAAAATAAATTACTCTTTTCACTGTAACATTGCCAAACATAGTGATATATTTCTGGTGTATGGTTAGCCACTTCGTTAAGCAGAGTCGTTCTATCAATGGAGTTTTTATAATCTACAAAATTAATAATTATGACAAATCCGATTTTGACGCTCTGAGTTTTGGTAGGGCCGCACATGTGCTCATGCAAGGCTTATTTTAAACGGGAAGAATGTCACATACCAGCTATCCAGGTACGGCCTGTAACCCCAGGTGGCCGTTGAAATAATCAGGGATTATTTTAATTACTTACGCCCGGTTTCTGAAACACGGATCATCGTAGATGTCAATTAATCAGCCGTCAAATGGCTTTTCAAATTTCATTTTAGTTGCCAAAAGGACGGTTAAACTCTCTGAATTTACCAGAATGATCTAATGATCAGAACGATCAATTCAAAGAGTTTAACCACCCTTCCAGCTGATTAGTTGACACCTACGATGATCAGTGTTTCAGAAACCGGCCGTCAGTCTTTTTCAAATTATTGCCCACATAGACGGTCAATTGACGCGGTCAATTAAATAATAGAAATTTTACGACGACACCGGCATTATAGTAACATTGTTTTTACTTTTTTTTTAAAAGAGACAGCTTTACACTAAAGAGAGAATTATGTTCATAAAGTATTATATTTATTTCATGCGTTATCATTAGATATAGGTACAATGATTAGCTAATTTTTATTTAACGAACCTTTCTGAAATCCAAGGCAGTTTAACAAGGGATTAACAACGGATCATTCTTAACATAATGATATGTGATTGCTGCTTTGATTGATCTTTTGGAAACTGGACATAAGTCTGTAATATAAATAACAGAGAATCAGCGATCGACTTTTCCTTCCCCAAATACGCAAACGATTGCATTTCATCACATTTTAGTTTTTTTGTCCTATTTTAGAACATAAGTGTGTTCCTTTCTATACACATATAACTTGAAAAAAAAATGAAAATGATTAAAATAAAGAACTAATCACGGTAATATACAGAAACTAATAATATGCAAATAAAAACCTTAAAATATAAAACCATCCTGGTTAAGTTTCAAGGTAAAAATAGGTATCACTCACATTTTTATGTGGTTAAGCCGCCTTGACTACGTGTTAATTAAAGTAAAGGATAAGAATACATAAATATACATTATAGTTCCATGCTAAAAATATTTTGTAATTGAATATTGTTAAATTAGGTACGTGGATTTTAAACACATGTGATCAAGCTTCTACCACGGCTACCACTTGGCCCTATATGGATTTATATTTCCCGATTCGGGTTTAGCGGAAAACGTTGTTTATTGTTAACTCGATTATAATGCCTTTTTCGGTTTATGGCGCGGTGCGTAGAACTAATCGCTTCTCACCGCTCCGTGCACTGCAGCCCAGTAGTAATGCGATGATTTGCGAGAGAGAACGCTCACAGCCAAGAGGCCACGAGCGGAGATTCGTCCCACGTCGCGCCTAAACGAAATCAGTGACGTCAATCAGTAATTTAGTGACGCAGATAGAGCGCAGACAAAATTATGATTCAGCGGGATTTCATCTTCGTTGTGACCGTTCTTAAAAGCATTCATTTCGTAACGGGTGAGTAGTATCGAATATCAAATAACGTAGCACAGGTATAATTATGTAGTACTAGCTGCCACCCGCGACTGCGTAGAATAGGCTGAAGGCGTAACGTAACATTCAGACAGAAAGACACATATACATAAAATATGGATATAAATTATAGCCTTTGTGTTATTCTGATGTATAAGCTATATAATTGTAAAGTTTCGTTAAAATCTATTCAGTAGTATTTGGGTGAATGAGTAACAAACATCCATCCATATATACAAACTTTCGCGTTTTTAATATTAGTAAGGAAGTAAGGATATCACATCTTTGCTTAACATAATTGTTAAAAAAATCTTGTCATCAGGTGACATATGGCAACAAGTCGCAAATCATGCAGCCTGGGTGAAATTGGAATCATACGAATGCGGCTTTAGCGCCGCCGATCGAATCATCGGAGGCATGGACGCGGCGCTGGGACAGTTCCCTTGGATCCTCCGACTGGGATACAATTGTTAGTTGCTTTACCTCGGAGCGGGCGAATTAATGAATTAGCTTTACTAATAGACTGTTTTTACGACGCGAACGACTAATCTAATTAACAGTGCGCTGATCTTTTGTCGTGGTATCAGCATCATTTGTATCGATGTATTAAACGTACACGCTTAACTATAATTAAGGTGTAGTACTCGTATCGCGTATACGTATCTTATTTGCTGTGGTAGGTCTACGCTACAGTCTTCGAAATTGAACGAGCGGGCAGGTCCGTCTGCGTAAGTACCACGACCTCACAGAATACTGGCGTGAAGTAGAAGTGTTATACTTCTGCATTCCGTCTGGTGGTGGTGGCGACCTCACAGTCGGGGCTCACTTTATGAAAAGGTGCACAACGCATCTGTCAATAGATGGCGGTTATCACTTTACATCGGATGTACCGTCAGCTCTCTTGTCACCACCTTTTATAAAAATACACGAACTAGATATATACAGCCATGATAGCAGCCAGTTACTAGACTCCACTGAACTACTAGACACCGTCCAGTGAACGACTCTATAGTCAGTAACTCGTTCATGGGACGGTGTACACGCTTCTACAACAAAATCCCAATTAACGTGCAAAGCCTGTCTATTAAAAGGTTTAAGAAATTTAATAAAGAAAAATTTTTTAAAAAGGGTTATTACATATTAAAAGAGTACATTAACGACAATAACCCCTAGGAATGAGATGATCGCTCCTAAGCTGTTTCTAAATTTAAAAAAATTGTACTGTATAACAATTTATTTTGTTTGAGAAAAAAGATACTTACGGAGTTTCTTTCGCCTGTTTCTTCTTCGTTAAAGGAACCTCATTACGAAACGGTGGTAGATTAAAAAATTAACTATCGATAGATGATATTTATATTTCTTATTTCTAGGAATAAATTATTTGATTTGATTTTTTTTGATAGCTCAATGTCGGTGCGCTCGCTTTTAATTCAATATACTCGAGCAGATTGAGTTAAAATTCCGGTACTGGCACCAACGAAGTTGTTAAATTTAAGTGCTGACGTATGACGTGCTCAGAGGTAAAGGAAAACCCTTATCGAGAGTTTATTGATTTTATAATCTAACCAAGGAGGTATGTTGATCGATGAACTCGTTGGTTCGTGACTTGTTTGGTGCAGTCGCACTGAATGTCGATTTTTTGTCGTTGTATAACATGAAACCTTCATGAAATAAGATTTTATCCGAGTTTTATCTAAGTAAACTCCAAATTTCAATATAAAGACACCCGACGGTGATCGTAGTTAATTGATGAATTATATCGTATTGCTTTTTAACAATTCATGACAAGGATTTGCTTATGCTGCCCATTTACGATGCTTTATTTAAGTGCCTGGCGAAGACGAATTGGACTGGATGTGCGGCGGAGTGCTAATCACAGACCGGCACGTTGTTACGGCGGCCCATTGCATACAAACGGATGAAAATGGATACAAACTGTGAGATGATTTCCATCAAGTTACATCATTATAGTCGTATACCTAAATGTTTATCAATTAAAACGATTAATAGCCACCATTTCGCCTTTACGTTCTATTGCGATGTTAACAAGTTGTATTCATACGCTATAAATAATCTCTACAAGTAGCTAATCAAACTGAAGAAAAATGTAAAACAAACAGTAAATGACAAACATAAAACAAATAGTAAATATGCAAAAATAATGTGGAATATGCAATTTTTTTTGCATTTTTGACGTTAATGGTGTTTTTGTTAAGAATAGTAAAGAAATCCGTATTTATAGAGTACAGTGAAAAATCGCATAAATATTTGTCCACTCATCACCAAAGTAACATAATACCTAATAATAAAATACGAAGTCTACATCCAATAACGATGATAATTAATTAATGAAAGAATGAATTATCTACAAATGTAGGTCTTATGCCTTCCAACCAACGTCTGAGATCCTGTTATCATTGTTCGATGTCTCGGCGAAAATATATATATAAGACCTCACTTGATATAACAATTGCCAGGACTTCCCCATGGGGCTTACAGCGCATGGTATACGTCATGCAATTCCCGTATCCGAAATGCTTTCCATATCGACATTTTTTCTCCGAATCTGAACGGATTTGGCATGATTTATATATCTATAATATAAATATATATAGCACAGAAGTACTATCCTTCAACAAAATGAAAGTGGAACGAAGATTAATGATATATTTTTTATTATTTATTTATAAATGTGCTATTTTAATAATATTTTGAAGTGATTAGCGACTTAGCAATTGAAGTTAGTGCACGTTGTAATTTACATAGCAACTTGAGGTCTTAGCTCGAGAGTAATGATTTTTTTTCATGAAACACAAACACAAACAACATTTTCGTATTATTTACCGACAATGACTACTCTGTGCGATTTTCCAACAACCGGGTTTTTTCGTTTGAACTGTTTTTTTATCCGATTGCCAAATGAGGATAATGTTTTTTACACGTATGTATATCTAATTCTTTTGCATGCTCTACATCCTTCACTTATTGACGGATTTCATATGTCACATTCTTCTCAGTTGTAGAAGTACTGGGTATATTATTTCAATATGATGTGAAAAAATAAAGAAATAATTATTATTTCTAATGCAGTTTAGTTGTTTATTTCACCCAATAATTTATGCTTGTATACATTATGTATTTATAACACACACTACGCATACATAAAAATAGCTTTCTGTACTCCACATAAATTTGAAATATCAAAACTCATACTCCTCCGCTTATTAGTCCCGTTTTAAAAAGCATCTTGTTTGCCTATTAATTGGATTAACTGACATACATTACGCAGGAATGCCGTACGCGCGGGCGAATACGATGCACGAACCAACCCCGACTGCCAGTTGAATGTATGCGCGCCGCCTTTGCAAGACAGAGGGGTGAAAAGCATCATCAGCCATCCCGATTTCAACGAGCCACCGTTCCACAACGACATCGCCGTCATTGAACTGCAAGCGCCGCTTGAATTGAACGGTAAGTGACAGTCGATTTATTTAAAGAGCTAGTGCGGTTTTTTAAACATTGCCTTTACTGTACTATAACATTATCCTGTGTTGTAAGGACGTTTTACAAACATTAATTTCACTTGGACAAACACCCATATCCGAAACAATTATCTGTGCGTCACACAAAAAGTGTCCCGTGTCGGAATCGAACCTACGACCCTTGGCGCCGAACTATAATTATTAAATAACTATGACCTATATTTAGCAGAGGATTTGACAGCCTGCAATAATAATGAAAGTGATGTTAAGCTTTAAAAACGGTTCTCCACCTCAGGAACAATATCCTATGAGGTTTTAATACATACGTAGATTGTGCTAAGGGAATCATTTAGATCCGAAATGATTATTATCAATGGGTTATATTAAACACTTGTCCCGTGTAAGAAATAAACCTTAATCCCCCGAAACCGAAGCTTTTTGCTGCGTCAACAGTTTGTTTAAACACCTAAAATGAAAGGTTCATTACATGCAGATGCAAGATATTAAAATGTGTTGTGGTGTTCCATATAAAATTACTATAAAACGGTACTGGTTTTTAATCCTGTAAAAAGGTAACGATTTACATTACTAATACACTAAAAACTCTTGGGTAAAAGTGCATTATATGTTCAAAAAAGTTACCACTACTACAACACATTTGTTTTCTTGATCACGCTTCCTTCGGCTTTGCTTACCTGCAAATACATAGGTGACTACATTCACAGATTAAAATTTATAGAATAGAACATCTTTTCGATATATTATCATTGTTGTGATAACCCTTTAATTTCCTGAATTGTACAAAGCTAAGGATATTTTTTTTTATTTCAGACTACGTGGCACCTATTTGCTTGCCACAACGTGATCAGCTGACTGATCTTCAAATCGGTGAGCTGGTTACGGTCGCTGGCTGGGGCAAAATGAATATGTCTACAGATAAACGAGCTGATATCTTACAATACATATCGGTGAGTTGCTATAGGTAATATACGTAGAATAGACAAAAGTGTTATTTTTAGTTTTTGACAATACCTAATAATAAAACAAATATTTAAAGAGACATCTACTAACATTATTACTTATCAAAAGTTAAACTTTCATTAGCGACCACTGTTAGTGCACCGGGCATAAAACAATGTTGACAAAATTAAAAAGTTAAATTAATTGCGACATCTTTTGTTATTTAATTTTGTATTATCATTATTTTTGGCTCTTTTTAACATAGCTCTTTGCCGAACGTTGTAAATTTTGTTCCGACCTAGGACCGTCACCTTATTATATGATTCATCGACCGTATTAATGTCATAAATTACAGTTACCAGTTGTCACACCAGAGTCGTGCAATTTCTTTGGTCGAGCGTTCAAAGTGGCAGAGTCGGAAATTTGCGCGGGCTCTCAGCGCAATAAGGATGCTTGCGGTGGCGACTCTGGTGGCCCCCTAATGAAGGTAAGGGTTTATAAAAGAATGAGGAACATCACTATAAACTGGAACTCGTGTCTTATCTTTGTAACTCAAGTGTTGCCTTAGAAATATTTACGATTAAATATTTCTTTGGAGTTATCATATCTTAATCTTTTAATATGTATAAAACTAACTATATGTGTTTAATTAGCTTACAATAAATATTGTTTATGCGTTCTTTTACAGATTTTTGACACACCCGAAGGACCGAAGAGTTTCCTAATCGGTGTAGTTTCCTTCGGACCAACTGTCTGCGGAATTAAAAAACCAGGCGTTTACACATCCGTGCCTTATTTTCTTAAATGGGTATTAGATCATATAGTTTAAGTACCGAATGTGACAAGATATTTATTGAATAAATTTATGATGTACCTAACTCCGTTTAAATTATTTATAAACGAAGTTTTAATTGTTAAAAATCCAGGCCTACAACAAAAAACACAAAATTTACGTTACGGTGACGCACTGGGAATTGCATGCATGCTTTTTATAAGTTCTTTTTATCTTTATTGATTGGCCTATAAAGATAGTGAATTATTATGTTGCTCATAATTATTTAAAAAAAAACATTTGATACGAACGCATTCGTACGAGCCAGCCCTTGACATAAGCTTGAATGAATGATAGAGTTAAAGAGATTCATTCGCGACTCAGACTCTCAAAGTTTAATTTACTCGCAACGTGACGTCAGACTCAAACCGCACAGGGTTATCGTCGTGACTAGACATGTGCGCCAGCATAAAATGCTTCTTTACGTAGCTGTGACCATGTTAATTTACAGTTGTTAATTCCACTCACTCCTCGCTGAGACAACACAGAGTGAAGTTCTCATTGAACATTCGATAGAAAGTTTGTTTTGAACGTGTAAACAATAAAAAACCGATTGTAAATATCGTTGAACATGCCAAAACGCTGTATCACTAAATGGATATTTCTCGCCGTCCTTGTGGGTGGATTGTTCCGTAAGTCTCATTCGTATGTTTTGTTGGTATCTATAGGACGTGTTTCCCCAACCTGGTTTTTTTGTCACTTCGCGGTTTTCATCGCTATGATTGTTATTTTTTACGTCTTACCTTTGTGTTAATAATCTGTAATGAATAACAATTGTGTTGTACGTGACCAACCTCTTTATGTTAATTGCGTTGCTACGTTTAATGGAAAATTTTGACGGGATTATTCACTAAACATCGTCCTAAATATTAATTTCTGTAATCCATATTGTGTAAATACCATTATAATGTTTTAAATTAACAGATCAATAACGATCCTTACTAAATCATAGCTGTTGTGTTAATAGCTATCTAAGCTGGCAGAAAAAGCAGGTTTATTTGTGTTGCACATATGTTTTTTCAGTTGAAACGGACCCGAACATATTGGCAATAAAAATAAGCGGAGGTGCTCAATTTGATGATTAACATTATTTTCTATCAGGCTTACTATTCTGTGATTTATTTTCACATTCAACCATACCCTTGCACTTCATGGCCTTGAAAACGTTAGACAATCAATGTTAATATGTATAAATGTACAAACATTTTTTAACCAGCTAAGTATTCACAAAATTTGTAAACAGACTTTTATCAATCCTTCATATCAAAAACATACTTGATCATCAGGTTAGAGTCCAGCAACAGTATACGTCACTGCGTTTCTTATTTGTACTAGATGGCCGTCTTTGTCTTTAGGTAAACTGAAATAAGTTATTTTTGTCGCGAATATTTACAGCGATTTCGCATACATAAAGGAAATGACCTTTGTTAAACTGTTACAAAACCGCAGATATAAAACGAGGGAAACGGAACAGGATTATTTTTCCTATTTGATATCAAACCAAAATGATTTTTTGATTGGATTGTCATCATGTTTGACCTGAGGAAACATTATCTAATGTCAACCAATCACGGTTATTTATTAAATTCATTTTTACAGTCAATAAAATTTCTTATTGGAAAGATTATAACTAATATCCATCAGTACTTATTTTAAATTCCAATTTTTATTCTAACAATGTTAGCTCGTATGTTTTATTTTAAAATTAATTCGTGTGCAATTAGAAAAGAACAATCGATTATAAATGGAGATTTGATTGGGAGCAATTAGAATACGTGAAGCGGAATGTTTTTAGTCTATTGTAAGTATAGTTGAACAACAAAATTATCGAAATAATTTTGTTTGTTCACAGAACTGACACAACTTATACAGTTTTAATATAATTCGTAACATTATTATAGCACAAGACAGCTTTATAGAGGCATATTTCATTAAATATATATTTAACCTCTCACAAGTAATTTATTTGCGACCCGAAAGGCGTAATGGAGAGCGTCGGTTCTATCCCCACTACTGAAAAAATATTGTGTGATGAACATAGTGTTTTTCTAGTGTCTGGATGCTATGTACGTGATTTTTGTATCAATAATATGTTTTTATTTATAAAAGAAAATTATGTTTATCGGTTAGCTAGTATTCATAGCACAAGCTACTACAATACATATACAGCGTGTTTTTACCATCGCGACAATAAATGAACACACTTATAGAGGATAAATTTTTAATATTGTATTAAACATTTACATTCTTTAAACATCAATATTTACCGAGTTATTACATTTTCCAAAACAACGAATTTTAGAACACCCTTACGTATAAAACTGTAACGTAAAGTTCATTTGTAAAGGTCACAAAGCATATGAATCGGTTGAATGAATTTGAAAGAGACAAAACATACTGTTAGAAGGAGAGGCTTGTAATGCGACGCTGTGGCAATGAATGAAAAAGTCTCGGAATGTATGAATCAGTCAATTGTATAGGATGTTACAAATTTTGTTTCTTTTTTACTTAATTAGTTTAATTGTAATTTTTTTTAATTATGGATTTATTTTAACGTATTCATTTGTTTTCTCGTCTGGTTGGGTTTATAAATAATAAATAAAAATAAAGATATAGATATATATTGCATATATAAAATAAATATTATGGATAAAAATAAAAATATATATATATATATATATATATATATATATATATATATATATATATATATATATATATATAAATAGGACCCAACCAGACGGAAGCCCTCGGCAGGGGAGACCAAACGGCCGAGGGTTAGGGCGAAAGGGAGAGAAACCGGCGGACGATGCGGGCGGTATCGAGGAGCACCGCCTTCTGCATTTGAGCCTGGAGCGATCCGTCCCGGAGTCCCAGTCGCCTCAGATGTTTAGAGAGGCTGACTGGGATCAACCCATTCGCAGACACGACTATCGGGATAATTTCGGTCGGCACACCACCCCACATGTCGGTCACCTCGTGAGCCAGGTCCAGATACTTCGTCTTCTTATCTGTTTCGGCTTTCACGAGGTTCTCGTCATATGGAATGGTAATGTCGACCAAAAATACCCGCGACTGTGCCCGGTCCATCAACACGATATCAGGTTTGTTCGCGACAATTGTCCTGTCTGTGATGATGGACCGGTCCCAATAGAGCCTGGCGCGGTCATTTTCGAGCACGGCCTCCGGAGAGTACTTATAATACGGCAGTTTCCGTTCCACGAGGCCGTATTTCAGAGCGAGCTCCTGGTGTAGGATTCTGGCTACTAGGTTGTGTCTATGCAGATACTCAGAGTTAGAAAGCATGGAACAACCGGAGATAACATGCCGAAGCGACTCCCCGGGATGGCGACAAGCTCGACAGATGTCGACGGTGCCATCCTTTAGGATGTATCTCCTATAGTTGTTCGTCTTAATAACCTGATCCTGTATCGCACAGACAAAACCTTCGGTTTCCCCAAAGAGGTCACCGAAACGTAGCCAGTTCAGGGAGGCAACAGTATCTACGAAAGGCTCGCGTAGAGCCTTGTAGAACCTCCCGTGGAGCTCTTTCTCCTTCCATACAGCCTCTCGGTCGGAAACGCTCAGTACTCCCGGGTCCTGCCATTGCTCGTTGGCTAAGGATAGAGGGGTAAGTCCTTTATCACAACTAATGACGTCCGTGTAGATTGACTCATCCGATCTCGCCAGAAAGTAGTTACGGAGGCTGCACACCTCGCGATTGTGCATGGTGAGGGCGCTTAAAAAGCCCCTCCCGCCATGCTTCCGCGGAAGGTACAGCCTCATCACTGACGATCTCGGATGATGCATTCTGTGGGACGTCATAGTTGTGCGGACTTTTCGGTCCAGGGCGTTGAGCTCAGTTTGAGTCCACCTGAGTATGCCAAAGGTATACATGAGGACTGGCATGACCCAGCCGTTAAAAGCACGTGCCTTGTTCCCGCCTGACAAATGGCTATTAAACACCTTTGTCAGGCGTGCAAAAAACACGTCACGAACTGACTGTTTCATGCCAGCCTCATCGATACACATATTTTGTGACATACCCAGGTATCGGTATGTTTCAGCCTCAGAGAGGGCCCTTATGTTAACGGGCATAGATAAGTCTATGCCCGCCGTATTAGTGACCTTACCCCTTTCGACATGAAGGACCGCACACTTATCCGTCCCGAGCTCCATTTTGATAGAATTGCTGAAATCACAAGTGACTTTAAGCAATTCCATCAAATGGGAGCGATTGGAGGCGAATAACTTGAGGTCATCCATGTAGAAAAGGTGGGTCACTTTTGTCCCTCCTCTCCGAAGCTGAAATCCTCCCCCCGAGCCCTCCAGTAATACGCTGAGAGGATTCAGGGAGAGGCAAAACCATATTGGACTCAAACAGTCGCCCTGGAAAATACCCCGTCGTATCCTTATCCGGTATTCCGCAGCCGTCATCCGCTCGCCTAGATGACAAAGGATCGTACTCCATTGCCCCATACAGTGCTCGAGGAAGTCTCTTACTGTACAGTCTACTTTGTACAGTTCGAGGACCCTCTTTAGCCATGTATGGGGCACCGAGTCGAATGCCTTTTTGTAGTCTATCCAGGCGGTGGAGAGGTTCCGACGGTTGCGTTTAACCATTTTACCAATGACCGCGTCGATGAGAAGCGGTTCCTTGGTTCCACGACCGCCGCCCCGACATCCATTCTGAGTACGAGACATAATCCGATTCACATTAATATGCCGGGTGATTCTCATACTCAGAATAGATGTCAGTGTCTTATAGATGGTAGGTAGACACGTAATGGGGCGGTACTTACTCGGGTCTGTGGTAACCTGATCTTTAGGAACCAAATGAGTGACCCCAGTAGTAAAGAGGCTCGGGAGCGACCTCTGATCGAGAGCCTCTTGGAACTGCCGGGCGAGCACAGCGTGACACACCACGAAACCCCTTATTATTATTATTATTATTATTATATACATTTGTTTTTATAAATAAGTCAAGAAATATATGTGAGACCAGAATTTGCGAAAATTATCTGTTCTAAAAAAAGTCGGACTATTGTCATACAAATACTAAAAATGGTAGGTAAATTAAATTTATAGTGTAACAACCCAATGCTTGAGGTTGAGTAGGGCGAAATTGGCCGAGAAGAAGTCGAGTATACAGCGTGTCGTTACCATCGCGACAATAAATGAACACACATAAAGGGGATAACTTTTTAAAGTTGTATTAAACATTTAAATTCCTTAAACATCGATATTTTAATAAATTTTCCAAAACAAAGAATTTTAGAACACCCTTACCTATAAAAGCGTAACGTAAAGTTCATTTGTAAAGTCACAAAGCAAATAAATGGGTTGAATGAATTTAAAAGAGACAAAACATACTGTTGGAAGGAGAGGTTTGTAATGCGACGCTGTGGCGCTAGTCGTATAGGATGTTACAAATTTTGTTTCTTTTTTACTTAATTAGTTTGTTTGTACAATATTTTTTTAATTATGGATTTTGTTTAACGTTAATATTTTTTTATGATTATTGGCAAGTAGCGTTAGACGTGTGTTCATTTATTGTCGCGATGGTAACGACACGCTGTATAATAATAATAATAATAATAATAAATCATTTATTTAACCAGCAAGAACATATTATATACAAAATACTTAGAAACTTAGAACTAGATTGCTGTTGAGATTTCGAAAACCTTACATTATCTGCGGTGCTCACACTAGGCGACGCCTATATCGTTAGCCAAAGAGAATGTAATCACTTTCACTACGTTTAAGAGACGGGACTTCCATACTAGCCAAAAATATCAGTTTACGCGGCACTCTAATACCAACCATACCACAAAGATGTCAAACAACAGCAGTACCAACGTAACGAGCCAAATAGTGCTTAACCAAGCTAGCTTAGCTTCTTATCGATATCGATAAAATACACTAGGTAGAAACCGAGGTTTCCACTTATTTTTTTATTAATTTTAGGTAAGTATCGAGTCCGTTTTTATGTCCAATGTTGTATTTCGTACTAATATAAGATTGGACTTAAATGCGGACCCGAAATAAGATAAAAAACGGTTTCTGTTAATTCAAATAAAATTTTATTACTGAAATGAAATTTCTTTCTTGTCTCTTGATTATTCAGCCAACAGCTGTTGTCCTGTTGTACACGAGTCTGGAAATAATTGAGACATAAAAATAGAATTAAAATCCAAAATTTATTTTAGTTTTTCTTGCATACTCAGCGCACGAAATTAATTATATGACGTATCAATATTCATCATCATCATCATCATATCAGCCGTAGGACGTCCACTGCTGAACATAGGCCTCCCCCATTGACTTCCACTTCGACCTGTCGTTAGCGGCTTGCATCCAACGCGTCCCTGCGATCTTGGCTAGGTCGTCCATCCACCTTGTGGGAGGCCTTCCTACGCTGCGTTTGCCGTCACGTGGTCTCCACTCGAGAACCTTTTTGCCCCAACGGCCATCGGTTCTTCGAGCTATGTGCCCTGCCCACTGCCACTTCAGCCTGCTGACTCGCTCTGCTATGTCGGTAACTCTAGTTCTTCTACGGATCTCCTCATTTCTGATTCGATCTCGTAGAGAAACCCCAAGCATTACCCTTTCAATATTACAGAGATTATATTTCAAAATCCGATCCTTGCTCATTTATGTAGCCACACCATTCAAATATATAAAACTTTGTGCCCCTACTCTTTCAGGCAACATTTTATTTCTTATTTTTTTCAATGATAAACATAACGTAGTTATCGATATGTGGATATTACAGTTGCAGTACATCACAATTTAAATAAGATAAATTTGTTAACTTTGTTCTTAGCCTGCTCTACTTACATATGGCTGCAAAGTATCATATTTAAGTGCTTACATGGGCTTCATCTAAGGGAAATCTCGCCATAAACATCCTTTTTTCAAGATTCGACTTGCTCGATTTTCACCAATTTCACATGTAATAAACCGTCTTTTAGGCATTTTGAATTAAAAGTACAACTCTGATCACCTCTGATCACTAATAGTTTTCGTGAGAAATTTTACTAAACAATTTAAATTTACAATGAAATAAGCATTTATATTCAAAATACGCGGTGCGAAATTAAGTTTTGACAAACAACATGGCACTTCTTGTATTGTAAGAAAGAGAAACCGCATTGAGGGAGTGTGATAGCTCTTGAATGGCAGATGTGGCTAATGGGTTCACTTTCAAGCCAAAAAGACACTTAAGGACTGATTAGAAAACTATTTATTTAAACTTTAACATTTTGAACTTATTTTAACGGTACGTAATCATTATGAAATTTATGTAATATACAAGAGTTATGTTAGATAGCTAGACATGTTACTTCTCCAAACGATTTTTACGGAATCCATCAATTATGACACAATTCAGTCTGAACAAATAAAACTAACATTCCAAATTTAATTTAAAGTAATACATAAACCATACAGGTCAGAGTTGACATCAAAAGAGTATGTATAATCTGAGATTACCAATCAACAAGAGATACAATAAGAAATGAGCGACTGGTAGAGAGCTAAGAAAACTGATTGAAGTATAGCGATGCCCGCCGAATCTCGTAGTTTTCTCATTATGTTTATTACTTTGCATACTCGGCAAACCAAAAATCCAATATGTGATTTAAAATTACGTTTTTGGTCTATGATAACACCCACGCACTTGATTTCGCAAACCCTTTGTATAGATTTACAGTCACATGTGCTTTGATTAATCATACAAGAGTGTATCTTTATGACAGAATGAGGTGGAGGTACCGTGGCTGACGTTTTGTGGAAACAAACGTCAGCCACGGTACCTGTTTTTTGGGTTTGGGGATTATTGGCAAGTAGCGTTAGACGTGTGTTCATTTATTGTCGCGATTGTAAAGACACGCTGTATATAACGTTGAGTAAAAATATGTCCTGAAATATTTTATCGAATACTATTTTTATGAAGTTAGCGTCAATATGGCGAACTTTTATATTTTTTACCCCACTTTATTAGCTGGGATTTTAACTCTCATTTCACACCCTATGTAGCATTATATAAATAATTCTATGTGTTGTCTGCCATTCATTTGTAGTTTTATTGACAAGATATAGATAGTATTAATAACTTTAATTTATTGACATTTCAACAGATTCTTTTATCGCTTTATCAATTTCAGATACAACACGTTCAATAGAAGTAATGCCTTGTGAAAAATTTAACAAAAATTGTGTATTAGTCACAGAATGCGTTTCAGCTTTAGATTTAGTGAAGGCAAGAGCAGCTGAGGCTTTAAGGAAAATGTTTTGTGGATTCGACCAGAGAGGCCCCAGGGTAACCTATATAATGTTAAGACTATGCTTATAGATAACAAATACGGAAAAATTGTCAGTTGACGTTACATATACATAACCACAAATAATTCAAATTAGTTTATCGAGTTCTAACATTTTATGCACTATTGTTTATCCTGATCTAGAAATTTAGTAAATAAGCTGCTCAAGATATAAATTCTGCACGTTATTTTCTAATTTATGTGTAAAGAATAATACTTTAACATTATATTCTTTTTTGTTTATAGGTGTGTTGTCCAATAGATAGTCCAATAGTATTTGTTAATGACACAGATACAGCGACCAGTAGATCAAAAACCACCACAGTATCTGCTAAAATTGATAATATAACTCAGGACGACTTACCCAGTAGAATAGTATGCGGCATAAGTCCATCTAATCAAGACCGTATCGTCGGAGGCTTCATCGCATCACTCGAAGAATTTCCGTGGTTAGTTCGGATTAAAAGTAAAAGGACTAGTAAGTTTGCAAAGTTTAAGATTTTAACAGGCTCTTTAAACTTTCTTCTTCATCTTAAAAGCTCGAAAATTTCTATACATATATTTGGGACGTTATTGATAACAAATTTCCTTTACTAAATGGGACTACATCAGAAATAAATTTAGAAATTTAGGCCTTGGCTTAGTTAATACTTAATTAATTAAGCAAGTACACGCTGATAATAAAGACTAGCTGAAAATGAAAAGTGGAAACCGACTGTAAAAATGAATGAGCGGTTAAATTAACTTACTTGCTATAGCAGATTTAATTCAAAATTAATATAACACTCAGTTATATGTTTTATCTTAATCGATCACCTTTAGTACATAAGTATTAGTCTTAAAAGTCAAGATAAAAATAAAAAACAACGTCTGCAAAGCTAAATAATTTTTAATAGAGTTTTCACATAAAATTTGCCGTTTAACGTACTCTACTAAATAATATCTCTTTTCAGCAAATAATAGAGAGGGACGTGAGCTTTACAACTGCGCCGGGAGTCTGATATCAGATCGTTACGTGCTAACAGCTGCCCACTGCCTTGCAAACAGAGATGTGTTAGTTAAAACATTTGTTTAGCAAATGAATACAGTAACATACGAAAGATAATGTAACAAAATTATATTTGCATAATAATCTAAGCAATAACATATCATTACCATTGTAGAATAAGCGTGCGTTTGGGCGAATGGGACACTGAAACTTTGCAGGATTGCCAAGGGGGCATATGCAGTGATCCTCCGGTCGATATAAACGTAACCAAAGTTATTATACATTCGTCATACAACGAAACTCTTCTCCTTAACGATATTGGCCTCTTACAGCTGGAAGAAGCTGCGAATTTTACAGGTACATACATTGAATTGCTACTCAGCCTATATTGCTATACGAGGTGATTTTTTTAGACGAAGTACATACTTTGATATAATGATAATTGAGCATTCCATAATTCAAAAAAGAATTATATTTTATTTTGACAAAAAATAACCAGAAAAATATTAATTCAAACATTGTTTGTTAATCCCGCTAAGAAAGGTCATCATATTGATAAGCAATTATACGTTCAGCGAAAAGTTTTAGTGCTCGTCAATAGCTTATTGTATTGAGACGGTCAATGGTCTCGGTGGTTATGTGGTTGAGGCAGGAATTTCTTCTGTCACAAGTACATATCAGATTCAGATTAGAATCAAATTCTGCATATGCTCTGTTAATGTCTGATTATGTCCGTCGTCTATAAAATCAACCTGTATTGTTAAATAGTCTTTATAATGTGTTACATAACAAGAAATATGGTTTACAACGTCAGTTGTGTTCAGATTTCATTCGTCCAATATGCTTACCGATAACGCAGTACTCGAAGAATCAAGACTATGTCGCAGGAACAACGTTTTGGACCGCTGGATGGGGTCTTACAGAATTCGGTACGTCGACGTTTGTTTATCCTTACTTCCTTATCCTTACTAATATTATAAACGTGAAAGTTTGTATGTATGGATGTATGGATGTATGTTGTTACTCTTTCACGCAAATACTACTGAATGGATTTTAATGAAACTCGAATAATATAGCTTATACATCAGAATAACATATAGTCTAAAATTTATATACATATTTTTATGTATATCCGTCTTTCTGTCTGAATGTTACGCCTTCGGCCTATTCTAAGCAGACGTAGTGACGGGCAGCAGCTAGTACAAAATAAATTTTATACAATTTCTATTATGGTAAGAGGGATATTCTTTTTATTGCAGAAACACCATCGATAATAAAAAGAAAAGTTAACTTGAATACAGTTCCTTTGGAAGATTGCCGTAATGCAGTGCCCCAAGTGAAGAAGATGAATACGAAGAATATAATATGCGCGGGGGGCACAATTGGAAAAGATAGCTGTAATGGAGATTCAGGCGGACCTCTGGTCAAGGAGATAGTAGAAGACGGTTACATAAACTGGTACCTTTACGGTATTACGAGTTTCGGGGCCAGGAAATGCGGTGCTTCTGAAATCCCATCAGTTTATACAAGGGTTGTATCTTATATGGACTGGATAAAAGACAATATTGTTTCTTGATCATCTTTATCGTCGTATAAAATAAGAAAATAAGAAAATATGAAAATAAATGCGGAAATTGTTCGAATAACATTATATAATAAACTTGGAAAAACCACTGGCATAAATTATATTGATAGATATATCTTTCACAGCTGAAATGCGGCAAGTAAAACTTGCACCATTTATTCAGTCAAGGCAAAATGATAAAGTCATCGAATTAATCTGCCTCAAATTTAATTAATTCAGCATTAAATAACTTTGACACGTTGTCAATTACTGTATATAGAACAATATCGTTTAGATTCTAGCGTGTTATATTTTTTATTTATTTACTCTCTCTGGTGGTCTCATGATTTTAATATAGTGAATGTTGATCGTTATGATATAATAATAATTTTACAAACATTAATCGGGTCAAAGCTAAAAGCTTTGTTTTCACATAAGTTTTTTAAAATTATTTAAAGTACAACTTATTTAATGAATGTGAAAAATAAAGAAGTATTGTTGAACGCTTAACGCGTGGTACACTTTTTTAATGTATAAAGATGTAAAAATTGTATTTACAGAATTAAACTCCTTATATCAAATAAAGTATCTACTGATATGTTCTCATTTCCCTGATTTCAATCTATTTTGTCGTAAAGAAATATTGATAACTCGAAATTAACTTAATTTTTAACTCTTCAGACATAGCAAAGTGGGTTTCAATCTAGGTTGCTAGTCGTCCGATTAAAAAATTATTACAATCGTCAAATATGAATTGCATGTTTAAAAAGTAAATTTATATTGATTCTTTTAACATTAATCTATTAGCGCATGTCTTAACGGGCGATGGAATTTGGAAATAAATTTTATTATTATAGACGGATGCGTTCGACACTGTCAATAACTTCCTCAGAGTTATCGTAAAATTTATCATTATCATTATCATTTTTGTTGTTACTCTTGGTTGGAACTTCACTATCATAACCGTCACTCGACATCATACGGAGAGATCGATTTTTTCGGCCGGAATGATTTTTACCGATATATTTTCTTGGTGACAGCTGGAAACTGCCGCTTGGCGAATGCGATCGTGGGGCGTAGTATCTCTCAAATAGCAACGGCTGCCGTTGCACCCTTCCATACATCAGCTCCATCTCATGGAGGAATTCCTCCCTACGCATTCTCTCCTCGTCGCGTCGGGTTTGCAGGCGCATAGCAATGTCTTCTTCATGACTGGAAATAATAATCTTTAGAAAATTAGTGAATACTAGAGAATTAGTAAAGATAATTATACTTTTGAGTACATTTTAGTCTTTGTAGGCGATAACGTCAGAAAATCAATCTTACTTGTTTTTTACGAGATGCCACGCCGGCTTAGATCGCAACTGTCTGTCTCTTTGCCTTAACTCTAGTCGCCTTCGTTGTTCCGCAAGACTTCTCGCCGCTTCCATCTCAAATCTCCTTCTTACTGATTCAGCTCGAAGAAGAGCCGCCAAGTTAGATCTTCCAACTGCAGCACTTTTCAAGTCCAAGGCGGAATACGCACGAGATTTATCAACGCTGTTACCTACATCAACAATACTCCTGCCGCTTTGATAAACTTTTTGCGCTATGTTAAGCATCTAAAAAATAAACTCAGGCCATAAGTAACAATATATGAGCAAATATAACTTGGACAGCTCAGCGCAACGGATCGTAGGTTCGATATTCACACGGAAAAACTATTCGTATGAACTACAGATGATTGTTCAGGATCTGGTTATTGGTCCTTATTTAAATTGTGCTTGTAAAAACCCTCCACAATACGGGATTATCTTACCCAGTAGTGGCAAAGGTTTATAAAATTTAACAATCGCACAACGGCAGCACTAACCTTTTGATTTGCTCTATTAGCGGTCCTAAATCTAAATGGCTGAGGACTAGTTGTAACGAAATCATCCTTGGACGATTTATATCCTTTAGTTGGACTTGAACACCTCAACCTATCTGAGGTTACAGTGGAAGGATGTGCAGGCGAGGGGTCGATTGGCAGATCGCTGTGAGCTGCTGGAGTCGATAAACGACTTTGGTCACGTGTAGCCATGTTGCCGGGGTAATTAGCATTTCGCAACATTTCTTCTGCTCGAATACGTCGATTCATAGATCTATGGAAAGATAATTTTTAAATGTTTAACATAAGCTTCTTACCGTTGCGGTGGACGCAGAATTTTATAAACGGGATATTGTAGATACATGAGCAAGGTGGCCACTGGCTAACGATATGATTTTTGCCTATGATACTTAATATAAATAAGCAAAAAATTAGGAATTTTATTATTTATACTTTATTGTACACCTAAAATAAAAATATTGTAATTTGCTTTTTATACATATAAAAAGCAAATTACAATATTTGATATGATAAATGAGTATAAAAGGAAGTACAAAAGGCGATCTTATCGCTCAGAAAGCGATTTCTTCAAGACAACCATTACGAAAACAATTATTGCTAATGAGACATAAAGAAGAGAGTAGAGGGAGGTGTACATGAATCACTTATAAACATCGGATGAAGGCATTTATACATCAATGAGATAGTCAAAGATTTTCGGGAAAAATAGAAAGGGAAAGCATGAGTTCACAGTTCCAGGTAATGAGCTTTTAATAGGTTTTTAAAAGAAAGAAGTGACTTAGCTTGTCGAATGTGACGGGGCAAAGAATTCCACAAACGCACAGCTGTCACTGTAAAAGATTTTTTGAAGAAGGAAGAGGAATGTACAGGAGTTTGGAGGGCGAGATTGGCAGAAGAACGAAGGAACCTTTCATGGGATAAGGAAAGATACTCGAAGCATTCTTTCCAGTGTGTACATGACCTTAGCAATGTGTACAATGTATTCCCCTCAATAAATACTGGAAAATATTCAGTATTTACTGAGGGAAATTCCGGCAACTGTTGGCAATTCCAGCGTGTGCGCGAGCTTGTACCACTTTTTTATTTGAATCTTATTGCATGTCGCAATATTTTAAATTTTAACGCTAGTAATAAAAGTTTGACTCATAAACATCTAATTGAACATTTTTTTTTTCAATAGAAAAAATGTCACAATCCAAAATGAAGAATATCACCTGAAAAAATCATCTTGCTTCATCTTTTCATAAAAGTAATTAGAAAATAAGTTCTTAGGCACCGGTCGTGCCCTGAAATGCTTCTTTTTCTTTGGCTTAGGGAGAACTTTGGCCGCTCTTTCACACAATCCTCCGCTACCATTCTCTTCTCTTTTGGTGAAGCTGAAGGGTTTCATCTGCGCTCTTAGTTCTGCCTCACTATTGATCTTCGTTATTGCCCGCCTGGAATGTAATATAGTGACAATCGTAGACTATTAACCGATGAATGGCCAATATAAAACAACTATTTAGGTACATAAACTTCGTAACACAATCATCGTCCTCAGTTTTATTATAGCTTATGTTAAATATTACCGTTAACATAAGATAATGAGTAGAATACAAAGGCGATTGCACTAAAACTATAAATTTCGGAAATGATTTGCTTCTGAATCACTTGATGAACTGTAAATTTCAATACCTCCAACTTGTTTATTTAACTTAGCCTCAAATTCTGCTGTACACAGCGACATTTACAACAATTACGAAACAAGATTTCACAAATCAAAACTTAGTTTAGGGAGACAGTGAATTTTGGTTGAATAAATTCCAAATTGTGAAAATTCAAGTGCTTCCATTCGGACCCACAACTTTTGCTCCCGAGTCCGTGTCTAGGATATCACTAGTCTATTTAAATAGATAACCCAGAAACACAGTATTTAATTTAATTAATATGCCAAAAAATTTAATGCAATGTAAATGTCGATAGTAAAGAAACAGGAAATTTATAAAAGCAGATACATGTGAATTATATTATCAACATCCTCTGGGAAAACCCCATTTAAATATAAACTATTATCACGGCAGACAACAAACCGCAAAACGATTAAATCATTTTTATGTCATATGAATTTATACTTATTTATTTATAAACGATCTACTATAAAATAAACCAACATTTATTACAGGCGTGTGTAATATAACATTATTCTAAAACAAATAAACGTATGAAGTAACAATACTAAAAACAAAATACGATTTAACAGACAAAAACACCGAACGAAATTTTGCAGTCGATTAATAATAATATCACGATGCTTAATTAATTCTACTACCAAGATTTTAAATAAGGAAGTAAAGATTTTCTACAGAGAATTTCCAATATCATAGTGACTAAAAACTTTATTATAAACAAAATACAAATGAAACCTTATAAGGAATCTGGCGAAACATCAGTTAGCTTTTGGCAGTGAAAATTTAATTACACGTAATTGGGGGTATGTTTTGATACCGGTATATGTATATTATAGAGCTAATGACATGAAATTTTAATACCCTTTCTGGACAGACTCTTTCGAAACCCATATAAAGTTCTTAAAATATCTATTTTAGCAAACAAAGTTTCATATTTTTCTTACTACGTTAGATAGATACGCATTTCTTGCGCGCGCCTGCTCTATGTCCTCAGGTGTTGAGGTTTGATCGCGTTCTCAGAACATCAGTGAGTCCGCAGCCAGACAGCACGATGAGCACAGGGTTGTGATGTATGCCAGCATCATACAGAACCTCGACCTAAATGAGGCATGGCGTTTTGTAGCAGAGCACAATGTCTAGGACATGCGGAACGTGACTTTGACCTTGTGTCTTCTGGATAACGCACCCAGACGCTAACTGGACTGAATGGGAAAATCTTCATAGCTATAAACCATTTACTATTGTTTTATCTTTGCATTCATACAATGCACGCCACCTTTACGTCAAAACTAAACGGTTGTCATTATCAGTTCTTGTAATGTTCAATGGCAGCTGATAAGTGATCATCTTCGAGCCGCTTTTTAACGACGAATTTTCGGACTTCTTTTGTAACTTGACTCACGAAATAATCAGAACAGAAAAATTTTCTCGAAATAAGTATCGGACAAAAGTGGATATGTATTAGTAAATACCTACGAAGAGTTTAAAAAAATATAACTAAAATGGTACCCTATCATCTACAGCGTGGCGTTACCATCGCGACAATAAATGAACACACGTCTAACGCTACGTGCCAATAATCATAAAAAAATATTAACGTTAAACAAAATCCATAATTTTAAAAAAATATTTTTCAAACAAACTAATTAAGTAAAACAGAAACTAAATTTGTAACATCCTATACAACTCGCGCCACTGCGTCGTATTACAAGCTTCTCCTTCTAACAGTATATTTTGTCTCTTTTAAATTCATTCAACCCATTCATATACTTTGTGACCTTTACAAATGAACTTTACGTTACGTTTTTATAGGTGAGGTTGTTCTAAAATTCTTTGTTTTGGAAAATTTAATAACTCTGTAAATATTGATGTTTAAAGAATTTAAATGTTTAATAAAACTTTAAAAAGTTATCCCCTATATGTGTGTTCATTTATTGTCGCGATGGTAACGACACGCTGTATATGTTCCCGCTACCTAAGTATATACAGAAAGATATTTTTTTATATACCTTTTACTCGTAAAGCGTTTTAGTGCTTATTTAAGAAGCCGCACCTCTGCATTTGAAACAATGCTAGACGCATCCATTGTTATATCTTTTCCAGCATACAAACAATTTCGTTGTAAAACGATATTCGAAATGCTAAAAAACCATGTAAGTAGATAAAAGTCGTGGGGATTTTCGTCAGTGTGGCTATCAGTCGTGTAGCTTAGTGGCTAAAGTGTCAGGGCGCGAATCCCGAACACGTGGGCTTATTTTTAAACATTGCCCTCACTTTAGGATTACATTATCCTGTGTTGTAAGGACGTTTTACAAACATAAATTGCACGAGCAAAAACACCCAGTTGCGAAACAACTATCTGTGGGTCGCACCAATAGTTGTCCCGTGTGGGAATCGAACCCACGACCCCCGACGCCAAAGCCAATACCTTGGCAACTGCGCCACGGCGTCATCATAATATTAAATAGATTCCCAAAGCAGCGAAAAACTTTTCGTACTTTTTTTTTCAAATTTTAATGTTTAATAGGAAGCAGGTGGGTTGCCAATACATGAGTTTAAGCTCAGGTCAGAACGAAGGTGGATCCCGAGAATAAGGGGGGCATGAGTGACACAAAGCTGTAATACTTACTTAGTCGAGCCAATAGACACAAAAACAAATAAATAACCATCCACCTCATTCTCTCTCCTCTTGTCTAGACTCATTTTCAACCAAATTTTCGTTTAATCAACTTTCATATCAGCTGTGATATAGTTATTGAAGTGAAACTTCTTTAAAATCGCTGGATTTTAAAGAAGTTTCACTTCAATAACCCACTTTCTCAGGAAACCGCTTACACTTATCCTTTATATACTCAAGCTACTTGGTAATGTAAATGTAACTTAATACTATAGGTAGGTTTTCTGTCTGTCTGTCTGTCCGTCCGTCCGTCCATCCGTCCGTCTGTCACCATGCTGTATCTCATGAACCATTATAGTCAGACAGTTAAAATTTTCACAGATTTATATATTTCTGTTGCCCTCTATAACAACAAATACTAAAAAACACAATAAAAGATTTTAAGTGCAGCTCCCATACAACAGACATGATTATTTTGCTGCTTTTATAGATAATGGTAGGGAACCCTTCGTGCGGGAGTCCATCTCACATTGGGCTTTTTTATATATCTTCACAAGTTTTTTTAGGATTGTTTTTATATTTAAAGAATAAGCTAAGGACAGAGCGGTTGAACCTATGTAATTAAGAAAAAATAATAGTGAGAAACTTTTGAGAAGCTTGTTTCATGTTACCTACCATTTGTTGTGTATCCGTTAAAAATGATTTTAAAGAAATCAACCGTATTATAAATACGTACTAAACGATAAGTTTGATTAAGAACGGGCTGAACATCATGTCATTGTATGTTAATATGAACTGAAGTTACCTCATAGCCTGATCTTCAAGGATTTTTTCGTAAAGTGGTATCCGCGACTCTATAGGAACGGGCCTAGCACGAAATTGTTTCCTCTCACGTTTCTGGTTTAACATGTCTTCGGAAAACGATTTTTGTAAAGTTCGAAGCTCTTTTATAATTCGATTTTCATTGTCCCTGCAAAGAAATCTTTTTCAGTTACCCTTAAACGGAATGAAATAATATAATACTATGTTCAGCACCACGTTAGCTTATACTTAAATTTATGTTAGGCAATTCCATTTTTAGAGCCGTAATAGCTCCGTGTCCGGGCGCTCGCCTTTAATTCAATATACTCCAGCAACCTGAATTCGATCCCCGGTGCCGGCACCAATGAAGTTTTTAACTTTAATTGCTGACTTATCACGTGCTCCACGGTGAAGGAAAACATCGTGAGGAAACCTGCATATTTTGGAAATAATAATAATAAAAAAAATTCGAAGATACGTGAGGTCCGCCAATCCGCAGTGGAGCTGCGTGGTGAACTATGCCCTGATACCCTCTGTACAGAGGAAGCATTTGCCCAACAGTGGGACATCTATAGGCTGATACTTTATACTTTAATTACATTTTTCAGAAATTTCCTACGTAAGTTAAAATACAGGGAGATTTTTCGAGAAGTGCCCAAATTTACACCGGAGGTTCAGACTCGGTAGTATAATCTTTTATTGAAATAAAAAACAAAGATTTTTTTCCAAAAAAAATGCCATTCTATTCCCTAAAAAACAGAACGTGCTGACAATGCGGTATTCATTCATAAATACCTAAATTTTACTGTGCACGAACTTGTGTGCGTGTTAGTTATGAATGATCGCGCGTAAAATAAATGAGTTGCATATAAATCACGCACTTTTTGAGATAAGTTCCAATGGATGTAATTAATAACTTACGAGTGATTTTAAATATTTACAATTTTTTTTATATAACATTATTTGTGTTTAGAATCTAATAAAAAAAATGGATACACTTAGAAAAGCCACCCTGTGTAACCATTACATATTTACCTTTCTGACATTTTAAACGAATTTGGAATAGTAACATTTTTACTTTTGCTTAATGAACCAAGACATTTAGTCCTTAATGGGCTAGAAGGCATACTTTGGGTTCTAAACTCCTCACAATTAAAAGGATGTAATCGTTTTATTTGAAAAAACTGTTCAAACTTCTTATCTACATTATTTTTGTCAAATTCTTCTTTGTCATCATGCCAGGATATTGAACAAACTGAATGGTTTCTTTTCGATCCGCCTTTTTCTTTTACAGTTTTACCTTTTATTTCGTTTGCTGGATTTAATTGACAACAAGATTGACCAGTAACAGCAGCTTTTTGTTTTGGTTCTTCTAAAAGACGAAAATTTACATCATTATCTTGTGTTCGATTTAACTTTGTCTTCTTAGTTACCTTAAGAGGTTTCGCACTTATAGTCTTGTTTACTTTATCAACATAAATGCTTTTTTGCATATTTGCAGAGAAGTTTTCTTCTTCGCAATCTGGAGACTTTTTCTTATTATCTGACGGAGATTCGTCAATATAATCTATAGCAAGATTAAGCATAGATTTCTTTTTTTCCCTTAATGATCTTAACGTCGAATAAAACTCGGAAGATGACAAGTGATTAATATCATTATAGTCCGGTATGCTTCTGTAAAAGTCTTTAACTTTTTCAGCATGTACATCTGCAGTCGACACGGAGCAAGTAGTTGGTGAATCGATAGAACATTGTTCTGATTTCAGATCACTGATTCTTTCGTATGCTGTTTTAGGCATCCTGCTTTTAGGATCTACTGGAACTTTTAGACAGGAATTTGTAAAGGCACTACTACGATTCATTACAAAGTTATTATCATTTTGTATAACCTAAGAATAATAGTGATTCGCAGCACTTTCATATTAAGTTTGATTGTTGACAACGTAGTTTCCATAGTTACTTCTCGAAAACATACAAGCTAAACACATTTTGTTATCAACTGGTTAAAAAGTCTTTTAACATTTTATTGATTCCGTTAAAATTATAGTCCATCATTTCATATCCTTCCTCTAGCGACGTTAGTATTTGAGTAAATAATTTCATGCTAAATGTTAGGTATAAATAGTAGCATTATCTGCTTATTTGTTATCTCCAAAATATGATATAAACACTAAAGTTTAGATAGAATACTTTCTTACGTCGTGCTAACACTACCAAATAATAATAAAAGATAGGTACATAAAATATAAATTCAAATAATACATAATTCCCAGAGGTACAGACTAAATCTATTACATAATCGCTTTTTTGTGTCCGTTCAAAGAGGCTATGAACGATATTATATATAGTAAAATTGATCGATGCTAAACTGGTAATTTGATTTCCGCAGCGGCAAAAGACTTCGTCCTTTTTCTACAAATTCTAATGTTTCTAATGTTTGCTGTATAAAATCATATATCAATGGCGACATCTCCCATTTGAATTGTCATTGTAAAATGATATTTGAAACTGTTTTTACACTGTAAGGGATATAACAATACCTGCGCCAAATATTGCTTATAGTGCGAAAATCAATGCAGAAAGTCGTTAATATTTTCTACGGTGTGGCAATCAGTCATTTAGCTAAGCGGTTAAAAAAATTAATCCTGAAAACGTGGGTTTGATTCCCGCAGTGGTGAAGAACATCCGTCTTCTCTACAACTGTTTGATCTTAGTGTAGATTAAAAAAAATATTTGAATTTCATGTAGCAATGGCGATATCTAATATGGATTTAGATAAAAATAAAAAAGCCTTTCATTTCACACCTAATATAGTTTAGCGTGAACCCCTCTATTTGAGCGTGAAGGCCTCTTCCAAAGAATCCAAGTATTCTCTATCTGTGGCGCTTTCTATCTACAGTTTATTTGGATATCGATAGATAATTTGAATGAGAATCTATCGATGTCCATATCCGTGGGTCATATGCCTGCCTGCTAACCCCTTCCGACAAGGCCGCTTATAACAAATCATCAACATGGTTTCATGAAATGTCGATCAACGGCTACAAACTTGGTTTCTTTTGTTGAAAATATTACGGAGGCAATTGATGCTCGCCACGAGGTAGATGTTATTTATACAGTACTTAGCAAAGCTTTCAATAAGGTGCCTCGTAAAATATTAATTAAGAAGTTGTCAAATTATGGTTTTAATGGAACTTTTCTGAATTGGTTTGACTCATACCTTAAAAATCGTAAATTTTTTGTAGTAGTTAACGGTTTTAATCAAGGGAGTATAACATAGAGTCGGGTGTACCCCAAGGTTCTAACTTGGGTCCTATTTTATTTAATATTTTCATTAATGACATTGTTGATTATATCTCAAATTCTGTTCTATACCTGTATGCTGATGATCTGAAATTATTACGAATAAATAATACTGAGTTTGACTCCTTACTATTGCAAGAAGATTTAAATGGCTTGTCACGCTGGTGTGAATTGAACGGAATGCAACTAAACGTGGGTAAATGTTTTTTATATTAAATTCTCTAGAAAATTCAAAATTATTAAATCTAGTTACTATATTAATGGAGTAAGGATACAAGAAGTTGAATACATTAAAAATCTGGGTGTGCTATTTGATAAAAAGTTAACCTTTGGAGCCCATTTAGAAAGTGTCATAAAAAGAGCTTCTAATATGCTTGGATTTCTTATTAGAATTGGAAGGGGATTCCGGAGGCTAGAAACAAAAAGACTACTATACAACTCCTTTGTCCTGAGCATTCTGGAATACTGTAGTATTGTGTGGAGACCGCACTATTCATGTCACTCTCTGAGGTTAGAACGAATACAGAAGAGATATCTCTGGCATCTAGCTCATTGGGAAGGGCATGGAAGGGGTTTTCGTACAAAGACAGGCTGAAAAATTTTAAATATACTTCACTAGAAAATCGCAGAACACAGCTTGATCTTATCTTTTTAAACAAATTATTTAACAATAAAATAGATTGTCCTAATCTGTTAAGTAAATTTAGATTCAATGTACCGAATAAGCTACCTAGAACCCAAATCCAACCACTGGTTCCACCTTTACGCACAACAGTATTGGGCTCAAGCTCGTTTATCCCCAGAGCGAGCCGACTTTTGAATAATTACGGAAAATCAACTGATATTCATGCTGTTAGTCTCAATACCTTTCGTAAGCACTTGCAAGAAACCATTGTCGATGAGTAGATTAGTCGTATAGCATATATATTTTTAATTAAGTCTCAAAAATTTTTAAAAACTCTTTTTCACTACCTTTTTTTTTTTTAATTGTATTCTGTAAAAATTTGTTATTGTTAAGCTTATTGGTGTTACTTGATACTTCGCATGTGGTGTTTACCTTTAATTAATTGTGCATTTAGCTATAGAAATATACTGTGTACTAATTCTAATGAATGTATAAATGTAACAATTGCTGGTAAACCAAATAAATAAAATAAAAATAAATAAATAAATAAAGGCCATCCGCCACATGCCTAATAGCAAAATACACTTCGCAAAAAAAGAGACGACTGTCAAATCTTCAAAAATCGTCTACTATTAGCGGTATAACTGAATTGTTAAACTATAATAATAAGGAGTGTCTAGTCTGTCGATAGTGTCTATTAAATAAAAATGAATGTAGGTACCTCCACTGGTGGAGGTACCTATATTCATTTTGACTGTCAAATCTTCAAAAATCGTCTACTATTGGCGGTATAACTGAATTGTTAAACTATAATAATAAGGAGTGTCTAGTCTGTCGATAGTGTCTATTAAATAAAAATGAATGTAGGTACCTCCACTGGTGGAGGTACCTATATTCATTTTTTTTTATTTTGCCACAATAGATATAACAAGATAAAATAAGCAGTCACGAAACACCCGGCAGATGTTAAACATTCAAGTAATTATACAAATTATTAGAGATAATATATTGAACGATGACTATAATTTCGTTAATTAAATAATTATATTTTTCTTTTTAATTTAGTTGCAAAATATAAGTATATACATTTATAAATAGCAAAAAGTTGAGTTGAGTTTTTTAATTTATTAAAAATAATTTATTTTTTCACTTCTAAGCAACCAACCTTTACTGATTCGATTTTTTTTAATTACCTTTAAAGGTAATAATATTCGATCTTAAGAAAGAAAGTATAATACGTTTATATGAGCAGTAAACAGACTAACTATATTAGAAACGAAGATAGCACGCAGCTACGGAATATGTAGTTTATGATGTGGGCACACAAATACAAGAGAGTCTTAAGCGGCGGCCTGGACGTGGCGTGTCTTGAATGGTAGATGTGGCTAATGGGATCACTTTCAAAGCAAAATTTATTTTAACTTAAACATTTTGAATTTATTTTGCTCGGTCGGTATTTGGGCGGCCCCAAACCAGACGGCCGTGGTTCGTATCACAATCATTTATGCACTTATTTCTTTTACTTTTTTTTCGATTCCAGATCATTGCTTTCTTTATTTTTTATTTTTTTTTTGATTTGTTAATTTGTTATTTTTTTCCCTTTTTTTTAAAGTTCTTTCTTTTGTAAAAATCACCAGGTAATATTTTCTTATTATTACGTCGCTAGATCGAAAAATATTAGGCATATTTCATTACTCAGTAATTTGAAACTATTCAATTTTCATTACTCAGTAATTTAAAAAAACAAACAGAGCAAAGCTCGGTCCTGCAGGTACTTTATATAAAATACAAAAGTTATGTCAGATAACTAGACATGTTACTACTTTAAGCGATTTTTACAGAATCATCAAATATGATACAATTCAGTCTGAACAAATAAAACTAACATTCCAAATTTAAAGTAATTCAAACATAATATATAAACCAAACAGATCAGAGTTGACATCAAGAGTATGTACAATCTGAGATTACCAATCAACAGCGTGATGGCATTAGAGCGTAGTGCCGTTTGCCGTGACGGCAAATAAGCTGATTTTACTGCCATGGGCCAATAGATGTTTAGCAATGTTATTCTTTCGCCGAAGCTGTCAAAACCGCCAGGCTAATAGCCAACTACATATTAAAAATGTATTCTGAAGATTCTTACAGTGTTCAAAGTGAACACCAATTCATGTGGTCTTTTACTTTAATGTGGTCCATACCCTATGACTGAATATATATTTATTTGTAGTAAATGGTCACTGGTGAATGACTCACGTAATAGAGAAAACAAGTCGTTTTCTTTATTCCGCAGTCAGCCTAGACACTTCCCAATAAATAATAAGTCAGCTATTCACTACTGGCAGCACCATAGTTTTTAATTAGCCTATCTGAAGTGACATTGTCACATTGACATTGACAAATGAAAAGGTCAAATTTTGACGATAATAAATAAAAAAAAATCAGAATCATTTTATTAGTAACTAAAACACTACATAAAGAATACAGTTAAAACCTTTATTTGTACCAAATTCAACATAATATTAAATATTATTTGTTTTAATCACTGTACGAGATACTTATTTTTACAGATTAAACTTATTCTATAAGAATGTTACGAAATAGACGAATTCATCGTAATTTGTTGACTAGAATGTTATTAACAAAATTGCGGCCGTTAATTACTGTACGAAGCTTAAGTTCAATAAAACAACAAAATATTAAAGGTTCTTATGATGTCATAATAGCCGGTGGAGGCATGGTAGGCTGTACTTTAGCATGTGCAATGGGTAAATACATACAATTTTAATAATAATTTTCTGATGATATGAAAATGTTATATTTTTAAGTGCATTTTATGTTTTTAGGTAAACGAGCCTTACTCTCTAATCTGAAAGTGTTATTGCTCGAAGGTAGACAAAGTCAAAAGTTTGATTTGAAACCAGAATATAGTAATAGAGTAGTTGCTTTAAATCAAAATACTAAGTCCTTAATGAATTCCTTAAATGTCTGGGAGCATGTCGAAAAAATGCGTCTTCAGCCTGTGAGATACATGCAGGTGAATGTAACTTGCTTACAAACTTATGTATTAATTATTTATGTAAAATTCGATGCTTCATAAGAACACGCAAGTGTCTATTCGAATAAAGATATTTTGAATTTGAATTATTAAATAATATTTATTTATTTATTACACTGACGCACACAACTATCATTACAATATGTAATTAATAATAAAGTACATGGCATAACTAAGTTTAGACATAATCTTTATTTTACTTTTAATATCTAAATGTGCAAAGAATTTTGTTGTATTATGTTTGTTTATGTTACTACTACATACATTCAATGAACACCTAATATACAAATGTTATGAACGCAATAATTCTTACACCATATTAAACATTCAGATCATCAGAATATGATATTCCTTCTGTCATTTTGCTTATTTGTTTTAGGTTTGGGATGCTTGTTCAGATGCCTTAATTTCATTCAGCAGTTCTGATGTACTAGATGATGATGTAGCATACATTGTTGAAAATGATTTATTGCTTCATGCTATAGACAAAGAATTGAAAAGCCCAAATGTCAAAAATGTTGACATAGTTTACGGGGCAAAAATTTCTGGTTATGAGTTGCCACAAAAAAATGATCTGAAAATGGAGACCATCGTTAATATGAACAATGGAGATGCATATACATGCCAGCTGTTGGTAAGTACAATTTTTTTATGTTTATAAACACTGGTAATTTTAATGTTACTTTTATTCCTTTTGATTTTCTATACATATACTAGGTACTTCACTTCATATGAATGTAATAAACAAAAATATCAAGTGGTTAAACGGCGCTCACTCATAATCACTAATTCTTTTAAATATAACCAGTAATTAGTGCTTACGATCTTACACATCATTTTTCAAACTTGATAAAATTTTTAATCAATAGAGAAATGTTAATAATGAATTTATCTTTTACGGTTCGGCCCATTTTAATAACATCATCACCTAAAAGTAAAAATGTCCTACTGCTAGGCAAAGGCCTCCTCTGTACAGAGGCTATCAGGGCATAGTTTACCATAGAGCCCCTCTGTGGATTGGCTGATGTTATTACGTATTTTGTCTATATTTTGATTTGTACTACTTTTGACCACTCCACATACAATAGCACAAGTTTAATTTAAATATTGGAAATAAATATCTGCATATGTATTAAAAAAATATATTTTTACTAAACATGCCTTATCTCATAGTCAAAAACATTAAATATAGCATTATCTGCTATATTTAATGTTAATAGATCTATTGGGGAACTGTAAAATATCATAAAAATATTTATTTTAAAATGCAAATAAATTAAAGTATTTTCATATTGGTATATATTTAATTCACTTAAATTTCCACACTTTAATTACATAAAAATCTAATAGAGTTTTAAAAACAAAATGTTTCTCGTTTCTCATCACTCTGTTTGATTGGAATAATTATATTGTTCGTATAGTTCAATGACCAATTATTTCCATTTATAAAAGAACGGCTTCGGTTCGTTGTGACGCCAGTTGCGTTTCCTGTTCACCTGTTGTCCAATTTATTCTCGATCGCGTCCAACCTGCACTCGGTCGTTTCGACCAGCTTGTTGATTTTCTTGGTCAGCTCGGCCAACTGCGTTTTCACATCGACCATGCATATCTCCTGTATGGCGTTCACTGTCATCGACATTGGCCTGTTTCTGTTCTCGGTGGTGGACGTGGTGCGCTTCCTGCGCTCCACTTGCTGGTTCTCCAAGGAGAATTGGTCAAAAAGGTTGCTCTTGCGCTTAACCACCTGCCTCTCTACGTCCTCATCCTCCTTGCCCTTGCGTATGCGGCACTCGTAGTTGTTGTTCCTGCGTATGCTCTTCTTCGTGTTGATACGGCTGACCACCATTCTGTAGATCGAGGATATCAGCTCCTTCGGTATCTGCAACGTGCGTGAGCATCAGTGAACCGGTTCGGGAATAGTTCGCTTCGCTCAGTGTTATAATTATTATACATATTTAATCTAATTAATAATTTATCATTAATTCATTAGTACAGTTTGTTGTGGTCTATTTAAAAGTTTTTGGTTTGAAACCTATTGCGTCGTGATATTTCCACCCTAGAGTAGGGAGTGGTTGGTATTTGTTTTTGAAGAATATAAATTCAACTTTTACAACGTACGCGGGTAGTTTTTAGTTATTGGAAGTTATTGCTCTGCTGGAAAAGCTAAGTATTATTGTTATCCAATTATTGAGTTATAGTTGTATAAATTGGTAAAAGCTATTTCTAAAATTAAATCTTGCTACTTACTCGATTTTCCCTGGGGTCGTTTGGCCGAATGTTGAGCGTGCGCATATGCGACGTGGTGAGCAGCGCGCCCCACCTCAGTACAGCCAACAGCTGCTTCGGCGCACACGTCAGCAGCGAACTGAATAGCATGCTTTCGAGATGCGCCACCAGTTGAGTCTGGCGCACCAGTCTATCGAGGCCAGCACTCTCTTGTAACGCCTGCCAAACAAAGCAATAACATACGTCTGAATGGACAAAAACGCCGGTAACTTGAGTTCTACGCCTTGAAAATAGACAAACCAACTTCATGCCCTCACTGTGATACAGAAACTAAAGTTACTATCCCATTTAATCCACCTATGTAAGAAATTTTGGAAAATATGTAAATGTGAGAGCACATTATTTGTCATCTGCAGAAATCAATGATATTAGTACGGCTTCAAGGATGACTCTTTTTTTTTTACTCTGACTCTGACTCTTAATTTGCGTTTCGTATGGTTGATAAACGAGACCAACTCGCTTTCGCCGCCTTCTCTCATAAAAAGAAAAGAAAAACAATAAAGTATTACGTTATAACGTACGTTACATATGTATATCAAAGATAGGGCTACAAGTCTACAGCGTCCAAAATCACATAACCACATTTACCTGTATATCGCTCACTGCCAATCCAACGAGCAGATTGGTCAATATGACGGTGACTAGGAGCACAAATATCAAGAACATCCCGTGAGCCGTCAGCGGATAGTGGATTTGGGAGTCCGTTCCGTTGTTGTAGAATATGTCCTCGTACTCGAGCTCGCCGGACATCATCATGACGGTCTTCACCAGGCCGGCGGGCAGGTGGAACGCCGGGTAGTTGCTGAACAGCACGCTGAACGCCAGGCCGAATGCTATCAGCAGGCAGCTGTACGCCAGTAGGAAAGTTGCGAAATTCACCGTCACTGTCAACAAGGGCGATGAATTTCAATTATTGTATTTGTTGATTTCAATCCTACTTTACCTGTGCCCAAAATAGTATCAACATAATTATAACAACTTACGGCTTTTATCACCAGCGAGGTATACAATGGCAGTTGAAACCACGTATAACCGAGTTTATTTTGGTTTCAAACTTGGACAAAAGTAAGCGTGTTTAAAATGGACAAACATCAGACAGTAATATTGTTTAGTAGTTAGTAAATCTTATTAAAATTTGTCGAAAAAGTTAGTTAATCGCTAAAGCCGGGAACTGAATAAGACACGCTGTTGATTTTAAATCAAATTTAAGTTTTAACACATATTTGTTTAAAAAAAATCCAATCTAATGTATGCATACAAATAAAATATCTCCTTAATATATTGGCTTCTTATGTGAAAGTTGGCAAGCGAGCAGACGTTTTATAAGTTAGCGGTTACTAAGGGGTTGCGTTGCCAACCTTCAAAAAGTGGGCCTTAATAACCTGACTCACCAGACGAAACGCAACGAGGCCGCTCAACAGCGTCTGCTATTGCACGAATGGACACTCATTCAGGGAAATAGAGTCACAAAAGACCAGCGTGAAGTGGAAGTATTAATTTGCGACTGATAGCGTCCATTAATCACGTGATGGATTATTAGCATTTTTAACCCCCTCCTCCCTCGTGGTGATACGAAGTGAGGCTTAGGACTACCCCAAAAAATCGCGTGTATTTTTTGTGCCTACAAAGAATCTAAAAATGTTAGGATATTATCGTTAAATACACGTTTAGAGTATAATCTAATTTTATTTAGAAATTAAGGACCATGATAAAAATGTTACGTCGAATCAAGGCCACAGTACACACTGCTTCACACTAGAAACCGCGCGTTTGATTTAAAAATAAATGCGCGTGATATCTTTCTATACCCCCCTACCCCCTTTTGATATTTCGTGATTTTTCCAAACCCCCTTCTTCGCCCCCCCCCCCCCTTTCGAGCCTCACGTGATTAATGGATGGCCCCTAAGTGAGGTAACCGGGCCTACTATTTTAGAAGATTTGCAACACATCTGCAATCCTCCAGGTGTTGTAGATGTCCACGGGTTAGCATCAGGTGAACCGCCCGCTCGCTCTGTAACTGTCACAAATTGATAATTTCCGTTACCTGTAGTGAACATCTGTACGTATAATCCGAATGTCGGGAATCGGCCGATGATCATCATTAGTTCGAGCCAACAGAAGAATATAGTGATGGCTGCTACGTCGTGTTGCCAATTTGAAGTGCTTCTCGCTAGCCCGTCTTCCATATACCAAGTCGGAACCTGAAATATAAAAAGTATATTATTTTTTTCTTCAAATAAAAACGTATAACTAAGGTCTTTACTGTTTATGAATAAATTATCTGAACATTGATTACCTACTATCGTTCATAACATTTCATAAAACTTTAGATTTAAACTTAAAACTTTAGATATTGTCGAAAAATAAACACAGAATAAACTTTATGCTTTAATAAACTTTGTTTAAAAACTCTATTAAATGTCTATTGTTTAAATGAAAGATAGTATAGGAGTCAGAAATTTACTGTCTTTTTTTTTTTTCAATACGAGACACCTTTCTGTTATAAAAATATTCTGTTATGTCTGTAGTATTACTGGTGATTTAAACGTACTTTTATATCTTTTATGTATGAAAATACAAATTTTCTGTCTGGAAATAAAAAAAAAATATCTTACCGTACACAAAAACACACCGATGATAATCAATATTTGCAACCAGTTCTCCCATTGTCTTATGTATGCAGAGTAATCTAAGCAAGCTTGAAATAATTCTTTGCACATAAAGCAAATGTTGAGGAGTAGAATTAGGTATTGCACCGGTCGGAGATACGATGGCACGGCACAAGTAACATCTTCGCACAGGAATATTTCTGAAAAATGAGATAAGTTGAGAATTATAACATGTACACACTTTGGATGTAATTCTGTATTAATTTATCTTGGATCGATGCAGGGTAAATATTTTGTTATTTCCGCATGGTTTGCCCTAATACTTTCTGCCCAGGGTAGACATGTGGCCAGGTCATATAATGTATAAGTTGACACTTAGTTATTTTCTTTTTTACTAAGAAAATGTTTTGTTTATCAGCTAATCGCTTTCATACGTTTTTCTAGATGTATTTTAGTAAATCTTTATGAAAAATAACTTTTTAGCATTTATGTATAATTAAGCTTTTAAGTTTGACACTTACGTAGTATGTAAAGACTGTAAAGAGTTATAAATAGTGCGTGATAGACGAAGCTCAACACGAAGAATTTCCGTATTCTTCGCCATTTCAAAAACAAAAACGTCTCCGCGACCGGATGCTTGAGGACGTCTTTATGGCCGACCTGGAAAGCAGTATTATTTTCTTTTAGACACTTTTAGCATTGTTTAATCGGGCCCCACTGCATGCGGGATTTGTTTCCATCAATTCTGTTGTTCTAAAAACTTAGTGTTCGCTAATTGGTTTAAAACTTTGGTTTCTTCTTTCACGAAATCTCAGTTAACAGATTTTGCCTCCGAAAGGAAAACCCAACGTTTCTTTCGCATATAATCAAGTGTATATTGCATAAATATTGTAAAAGCATAATAGTGTATGGGTTTGTTTACTCATCAGGGATCATGGACGGAAAGGATTTGACGGAATCTGTATTCTGAATTTCTTTCTAAATTCAATAGAACACGTTTCCCTTAACGAAACCTTACATTCCGGCAGAAAAGCCGTCGTTCAAACGGTATATACAGGGTGGCTTTTTTAAAGGTGCCCAAATTCACACAGGAGGTTCAGACTCGATAATATAATTGTTTATTGAAATAAAAACAAACTTTATTTTTTCAAAAAATTGCCATTCTATTCCCTAAAAAACAAAACTTGTTGACAATGCGGAAGTCATTAATGCGTATACTTTTGAAACGAACTTGTTTGCGTGTCGGTTATGAACGATCGCGCGTAAAATAAATGAGTGCCCATAAATCACGCACTTTTAGAGATAAGCTCAAATGAATGTAATTAATTAATTACGAGTGATTTTAGATGTTTATAATTTTTTATATAACATTACTTATGTCTAAAATTTAATAACAAAAAAATGGAATCACTTAGAAAAGCCTCCCTGTATATTCAAATAGCTGCTGCACGCGACTACGTCTGCGTAGAATAGGCTAAAGGCGTAACATTCAGACAGAAAGACAGATATACATAAAAATATGTATATAAATTATAGCGTATGTGTTTTTCTGATGTAAAAGCTATATTATTGTAAAGTTTCATAAAAATTCATTAAATAGTATTTGCGTGAAAGAGTAACAAACATCCATCCATACATATAAACATTCGCGTTTATAATATTAGTAAGGATTTAAGGATAAGTCATCTACACTCCACCCAACGAAAACACCGCCAGGTGCGTTCGTCGTAGCATAGAGACGAGAAATGCGGAACGGACCTCGATGAAGGACAGGAGCAGTTCCGCCTCGCCGCGCGCCAGGCACGGCACCAGTGGCCTGAAGTCTATGGTGAACTCGCAGTCCACGTCGCCGAGCTCGTGCTCGCTCACGTGAACGGTGTCGTCGAACTTGCGCAGGTAGCGCGGCACCACGTCCGGCACCCGGCGAACGATGAACGACAGCGCGGACACCCCGCCGTTGGTGCGCAGCGTGACGTCACCGCCGTAATCTGAAATGACGTCATCATTGGACTTACCAGCAGGCGGCGAGATGTCACCTAATCGCCTATACAGATAGACTTTGACGTCACCCGTGGGGTCAGCGCTGCCAACCTTTCAGAGAAGACGGATAGACATCGACTGTGTTGCGTTGCCAACTTTTTAGATAACTACTTACTTGCTGTACTTCGATACTTCAACTTAAATTTGACTTTCTGTCAGCCCGACAGTACTTCCCCGCAGTAAGCTCCTGCTCTTTCATTCAGCATCAGAGGCTGCTGCGTGACGCTAACACAAATAGAACTTTCTGGAATGTTGGTAATAATCCAAAAAATTCTCGACTCAGATCCAAATTGAATGTTCTTTATGCGAGTGTCAATCAATAGTCAGTCTGTCAGATCTGGTAACACCCTGTGTCATAATTAAATGCTCTAATTTGACTTTTTCACATCGGAAATTTCAAAAACGTTAACATAATATTTATATAGTAACTTCATGGCATTCGGTTTGTGATTAAATTATTAGATCGTACCGATTGTAACTATGTATTCGTCAATCTCTTTTTATTAGTTGTTTTTAACGCGGTATGATAAAATTTCGATATTATATAACAACAAGCAAGGTACGATCTTTGGGCGAAACGCGTAGAACGTTCCATCGAAGATTCTTGGAACAATAAACATATTCGCCAACTACGTCGAAATCGATGAACACGAAATTAGTCTAAACAAAGCTAAATATTTGCACCGTGTTGTAACCATTAAACGCGTCATATTGTAAGATGAAAGATGTTACACGGAACTCGCTCTATAATAGATTCGGGTAACATTTTCATTGTTATAACGTTGAAACGGGTGAGAGACCTTCAATCAATCCAAGGTCTTAAACAGTATAAACTCTCTACAAAATATTGAAAAGCAGAATGGTTTCCTATATACGCGTGGAACATTTAAACGTTACAATATATATATTCAACAAACGTAACAATATACATATTTAGCGGAGTTATGTAACAAGAAGCACGAGCCGCATATGAAAATTTCCTAAAACCATAAATACTTTGGTGTTTTCTGATGAGTGAACTTTAAAAAGTTTGGCAGCTACAATCTCACAAATGCGGAACATCAACAACAGTTTCTAGAACTTCCCCCTTACCCAGTAACAGTAACACGCAAGCGGAGAACTCATTTAAAGCCGCAATATGCAGCGGGGTGTATCCGAAGTTGTCGGGCGCGTTGGGGTCAGCCCCGACGGATAGCAGCAGCCGCGCCACGTCGCAGGCCCGCGCGCCCCTGACAATGGAACCATGCAGGGGTGTCCTCCCGTCTATGTCCCTCGCGCGCACATCAGCTTTCCTGCCCACGAGAAGCTCCACCACCTCAATCGACTGCGCCAATGTGGCTGAAACAAGATACGTCGAAAATAAACACTCAGACTGGTATTTTACGAATTAATTATTACAATAAGTCGTGTGAAGCATATAAGTGTGTGGCGATATAAAGTTAGCAGCGGCTTCTGCACGCGTGTCGACGAGTGGTCAAATCGAAGTTGCTATATAAAATATCTACCTTCACAAAACCATCATTCGCAGCGCAGTAACGAAGTGAAGCAAAGACGCTATAGATTATGGAGAGAACGAGAGGGCACTACTATATCCTTGCACCCGTGTTCTTGATATGTCATGATACCACCCTTGGGATATCTCCTTTCCGACAAAAGAAGAATCATCAAAATTGGTTCATAAACGACCAAGTTATCCACGAACACACATTAAAAAAAATATATACGGTCGAATTGAGAAACCTCCTCCTTTTTTGAAGTCGGTTAAAAAGGCTATAGATTGTGGAGAGAACGAGTTTCTCTACTGTACCCTCACAGATGCGTTCTTGATATCTGTGGCATTATGACATGGATGAACCCTAAGATTCAAACTGCGTAAATTGTACCGAGATGCAAAGACGTTTGGCCCCTGGAGTTGGGGCAGTCGATGTGGGCGCCGTGGTCTAGGAGTAGCCTGGCGCATTCCGCGTGGCCGTCCACCGCCGCCAGGTGCAGGGCTGTCGTCCTGCCCGGTCCAAGCGCCGCGCGCACGTCCGCCCCAGCGTCCAAAAGTAGCCTCATACAGGAATCGGAGCCCAGAGACGCGGCCACGTGCAAAGGCGTTTCGGTGAAAACCTGCGATTGAAATGTTATGATTCACGTCGTCTGCTCACTCGCGGCTCCCTCCGCTTTTACTTTACAATGCTTGAGGAGAGACGTGAGAAATGGTGTTTGGGTTTGCCGCCAACTTTACATTTTAATGTAATCATTCACGCATCTTCTTATTATTTCCTAACAATTTGGGTTTCCCCCCGGCCAACAATTCACATTCAATGTTATCTTTAGTGTATATCTTTTTAGGTGTCTTCATTTAAAAGTTTAAATTCAATGCGATTGTCTTTTTAAAGCGTTACTCTATACTCAGTATTATAAAGTCCAGTTATATACTTTGTAAGAGTTAAACATATTTAACAAAATTAATCTGAAATAGAGACGACTGGTAGACATTTTATTTGTAATAAATGAAATATATATCATTAAGACTTTCGGTTCAATTTCAAACGTATTCGCCTTATGGAATGATGTCGATTGAGGATTATATTTGTCGACTGATTTAGGGAATGAACATGATTTGTTTGCCGCTTACATTGTTTACTCGCGAAACTAAGACGGGGATCAGACGCACCTGCGGAGTGTCAGGACAAGCGCCCGCTTCCAACAATGCGCCTACAACATCCGGCGCATCGCTCAACACGGCGTAATGCAACGGCGAGCGCTCATTCAACCCCGCGTTTACGTCAGCACCATGGCTTATCAAGATCTGAACGAAACACAATTAATATAGGCGTGGCAATGGGAAAAAGATACCCAATCGAACGGCTTTCTACCTTAACGCATTTCAAGCATTTGGCGCTCGCCGCACAGTGCAACGGAGTAGCCTTCCTCTCCGTTAGCGAGTCCCACTTATTAGGATCGGCGCCGTGGTCCAAGAGCAACTTGACGCATTCCTCGTTTGCTACCAAACAGCTGAGGTGCAAGCACGTTCTGAAATTTCTCATTACATTAATTTGGACAAAATCAAATAATGACCATGCAAATATGTTTATGATTACTGTAAATAAGTCTTTCATAAGCTTAAAAAAACTAAATCCAAGCAAACACGGAAGCACAAACATATGTTTATTCACCTTCCAGCGCCGTCAGCGCTATTGGGATCGGCTCCTAATTTCAAAAGCCTCGCCAATAAAGAGCTTTTTCCTAACCACGATGCCCACAACACGGCTGTCCTCATACCAACTTTTTTGTTTGTCTGCGTGACAATATCGATAACGTCTTCCAAATGTCCACCCTCTAACGCCGCCAATAACTCCTCCGATTGCGGGAGATGGCGTAGTACATACAGTATGTCCTCTGAAAAATTTTACGTGTCTCATTTCCTTTGTTATATACTATTTACTATAAAGCTGCTTTTGTGATTAATTGTGACAGAGCGATGATTTGATTCGTCAGTCAGCGGATAGCTGAACAAAACATCTAGCATTCCTGTTTCACGTTGTAATACGAATATTGTCTCCTCAATACAATTATATCTGACACAAACTGAATGCAAATTGGGTGTACTTTTATAATTTGATAATGTCGCTTTCACATCGACTAAACTGCAGAAAATATTGTTGTCACTGATATAAAAGTATAGAAGTGCGTTAAAATGACCGATCCGTAGTCACCTGTTTCCCAAATGTCCTTAGAGGGTTTGACCCGAAGCCGCTCGTCAAGGTCGACTCCATGAGCCGACTCGTCGCTGGATATATACGCGGCGTCACCATCATCCGAGTCCTCGGCCACTTCGCTCATGGCTCCGCGCCATCGCACGCTGCCTTCGCGGTATAGCTGCGAAGAGGTTTCCCTCAATCATGACAACCATTTCATATTAAAAATATCTCGACCATTTGAGAACGTCTGCATTTATAGGGTTCCGTACGAAAAGGGTAAAACGGGTCTCTATAACTAAGACTCCGCTGTCTGTCTGTCTGTCCGTCTGACAGCAGGCTGTTTCTCATGAACCGTGATAGTTAAGACAGTTGAAATTTTCACAGATGATGTATTTGATGATGATTATTTCTGTTGCCGTTATTAACAAACTTAAAAACAGAATAAAGAAATATTTATGTGGGGCTCTCCCATACAGCATACATGGTTTTTTTTGCCGTTTTTATAGATAATCGTACGGAAATCTTCGTGCGTGAGTCCGACTCGCACTTGGCCGGTTTTTTAAAGGCGTCTATCGCGTACCGCATTTCTAACATTGTAGACAAAACTCTCAAAAACGCCCTATTAAATAAAGATCACATTTCAATGGTAACGAAGTCGTTTATCACAAACGGTATGTTCCCAAGATCGTTTGATGTCAGGTAGGCGACCGGTCGTAAAAAAAAACAAGGAAAATACCTTGCAGGGATAAGAGTATAATTATGATGGTATCTTGTGAAGTTACGATATTTTCGGAGACACTGCATATGGTATATATGGTTAAGGTAATGCTTTTATATTTAATAAACTATAAAACAGATCTTAGTAAGCTGAATTATTTACATAAAATTTTAAACAGTATTTTACAATTAATACATTTATTGCTTATTTCAATATCATCTAATCTGGGCTAAAAGATTATAGTGTTGCATTTAAATATTTAGAAAATTTAATAATTCTCATTTATACACAATCAACACATCAACAACACTAACGATATTTCGTAAAAGTCGGTTATTTTCATCCTAGACATTAACAATAAGTAACTCTTGAAGAACAGTTATTTATTCTACGCTTCGTCATATTTATAAATCTTAGTGAGAAATAACTCGTATATTCCGCTAGATTGAAACTTGTTGCGTAAAAGACATCTTAGAATAAGGTATTTATATTTATGTATGAGCCATATATATTATAGATTTACCATTATCACTGGCTTTAAAACTATACAACCTCTTCGTGATCGCACTCGTGATATTAAAACTGCCACCTTTAAGATACTTAGATAGGTTAGGATTTTGATAGGTTCATGGATTTTATTACGGCTTTTCCCCACGGTGTTAAACAAAAGCCAGACTTACCGGTTCTCAACGACTGTTAACGGATGTGAAGAAGTAAAATCTGGGTTGACTGGTAGAGGATGCATTTAGGCGCTAATAAAAAACCTTATAGTATATATCTACCAGCCTAGTATTTTCAACCATCCGGATCTTATCAAGTTAAATAAGTACCTTTACTACTGTGGTCTTGCAGCGCTTGTTGCATGAATGGCATACTATGCCATCGTGCATTGAAAATTATTTATATTTATGTTCATTACATAAAAAGAAACGCTTTTTTTCCAAAACAGTATCTACTTATTTTAATCATTACATGTTTATAACAGTATTTTTGTGAATTTTTAATTTCATAAAGGAAGTGTCACGTCACATAATTTTTTGTCTTGTACCTGTGTGGAGTCCGAATCTAACAGCATGGCACGCTATAGCGGTTAAGGACGTGACCATCTTAAATTCTATACTTTTTTGTACTAAAACGAATCATTCTTCCTTCGTACATTTTTTTAATGTTGGAGTAAGGTATCCTGCCACTATTATATATGAATAACGTTTGTCGCGGACATTGTCAGCAACCCCTGCCTCTGCTCTGCCCAGTTTTATTTACACACCGCGACGCCTGTGGGAAAGTTGGGACGAGAAGCTCCCACGGAAACGCAATATGGTAACAGAGTTGTTAAAATGTAGGGTTAAGTATCAAATCAACGGTCACACAAAACATTCGAATGGACAATAAAAGATATCACAGTATGATTGAATGTTGTTGTTCGTCAATTTAATTCAAAGATTCAAAATTTAAAGATTCCACATAACTATGTTGTAAATAAATTGACCAAACGTCTTACTTAATATTTCGGTACGCATCGTACTATAAATCACTCACACAAAAGCACTTCAAAACAGCCCGTGACACACCGTAACATACAGAAATCAATTGAACCTTTTTACGCTTTACGCCCTTCGGGGCAGCTTTGGACGTCATAACTGTTTCCTTAATGTCGGTTTTGAAATGCGGTCCATACAAAAGCGCGCGCACGCTCCACAGCGGACTGAAAATTATTCCCGCGCGCGCTCGAGCCGTCAGTGTTTCTGTTTTCAAATAAAATTTTTTTTCGTCATCTCTTGCGTTGTACAGTTTATTGGCAACCGTTTAATCCGAAAGTGTCTCCTAACGCGTACGACTGTCGCGTTAACATTATAGTCTCGGCCGCTTTTAAATACATACATACTTTCGTACTATTATTGAAATAGGGAAATGATTTCGTTTCGACACTCTCGTAAACAAGAATACCTTTTATATCATTCGAGTACCTTAGCTGTGGTTCTCTAAAAATCCAAAGTGGTAATTGCAAATATTAATGTATGTTTTGACTATAATTTTTTTTTTATTAAAACATTAAAGACTTGTAAGATTGACGTTGATCTCGTTCGTAGCAACGTGTTAAAGATGCTTTCACACTAAAAATATGAAAGCCCGGTAAACATAATTAAATATTAATTTGTTAGAGACACGATTTGTATAATGTTCTTTTTGTAAAGAGAAAGTATTTTGATATGCGACAAAGTTAAATATATATATAATGACTTATGATCGGGAACTTATTTTAACTTATACTTAAAACGACTTCCCAATAAATCTTCTCTGCATTGTTATCTTTCAGTTTTTATTTAATCAAGAAATGAATTAAAAATCTTTAACCTAAAGTTATTATTATTGAGTCCTATAGATGCAGCTCTAGCTGTTTGGTTGGTCTTAGTTATGTTTTATTAGTTTCAGGCGCCAAGCAAATTGCAGTTAAACGTGTGTTAAGCTTGAAGATTTTGCGTTTGCCAGTCATTTGAACGCCCAAAATTATTCGCATGTTGTGGAGCGCCACATCCAGTTATAACCGTACAAAATAGAATTTATCGAACGCCAAATTCCTGGATTTTCGCGTCATTCAATAAAATACGAACAATCCTGCATCCGTTTCCATGTCTTTGTTACGCAAAATTCCAAAATGAAACGGATAATTTTTTTTAAGTCCTTTTAAGAAATAAATGTTGGTTAAATGAGTTGCTATTGGAAATAACAAAGACAAAATTCTTTCTTCAAGTTGGTCGAGTTTTTTATGACTAATAAAATTTCACTGTTGTACTTATTATTAGAAATTTCAATGTTCATATTATAGTAGAAGCGGGTTAACTTCCTGTTAAGAAAGTCGTAAGGTTTTTAAAAGTAAATCTAGCTGGTTCGAAAATACGACCTCATTATCTCAATGGTATAAGGGTACCGTGGCCTAATAACATCATTTTATTCTTCAAGAAGTAGATGCTTTGGAAACTTGAGGGCCAGATTTGATGGGGCGTCGACTAAGGGTGTGCATTGGCTCCGGATCTAAGCGTAAAGATCCATGTGAAATGAATACATAACGTCCTTACGTAACAGGATAACGTTATCCTATAGTAAAAGCAATGCTTTTCCAATGCTTTGCTTTCCGAAAGGCCCTCCTGCATCCGTGCCATGTTCATCGGTTAAGGTTTATAACAATTAATATTCCGTTAAAGTGCATTGTTACGCATGTTTGTTGCGCATAAATCTTACCTGTGACACGCTGTTGACACCACTTTCGCACAGCATAACTGGATAACTTCTAAAGCTTCAAACAATCCGGGAAACGCGTCTCACTCAAACTTCCATCACATCACCGAGTTATGAGACTTCCCAGGCACCGATATGCATATCGATTCTATTAAGTCCTCTTCTCGTGATCCACAAAGAGCTTCATTATTTACTGGACTTTTCTTTTATACGTGCACGACCGTAAATTATTCAAGCGTCTCTTGCGGTTTATTCAACAAATTCAAATATTTTTATAACCTCGCTGCATAAATATTTTGTGTCCCAATTTTGAAGAGCTCCGCCGGATACGGTGAGACGTGAAATATATTGCCAACGTTCTCATAAAAAAGGGTAAATATCATTAGGTAACCGCTGCTAATAAAGGAAATGCTAACTAAATACGGCGTATGAAAGCTATTTCCTACATTCCTCGTCCATTTTAGATCAAAGCAAATTACAATTCGTTTACGAACTTTGAGTCCCAAGATATTTCAAGTGATAAGCCTGTCGCCGTATATTGGGTATAATTTTGAGCATAATGAAATTATTACTCGATAAAATTATTATTAAATAATTCATTATTTCATGACACTATGATTAGAACCTGCGGCAAAATATATATCCTTTTTTGAGATAATTATGAACGTTCGAGAAAATATTTAATGTGTACATTTAATATCAAGGTACATCCTTTTCATTAGTACCTTAAATTTACGGGTATACTTCTAAATTTAAATGTTACTATGCACTCTTTATGAACAAACTTCTTTCCTCACAACATTCTTCCATATTTTATCCCGACGTTCTGACACGGAATTTTTATTTTGTTTATCACTAATGTAATCTGTCAAAAGTTGAATTACCGCAATACAAGTTTTTCGTGAACACAGCATTATCTTTTTCGAAATTAATTTAAAGTAAACAAACGAAAATAGTTCCCGCCTCGAACCTCCGAAAGAATCTTAACCATAACAAAACGGTTGGGGAATCCTAAGAAACGTCTGTTCCGATAACGCCTACTCTACGAGTTTTATTTCAAACCGAATCTCACCTGGATATATTTTACCGCGTGTTATTAAACTGTTGTTATATATCACTTTGAAACATCGGCACTATTTGTTTCCTTCCTTTGATCGCAGCGATGATTATTTTCATTTCGGAGCCCGCGCACAATTTTGCGAATTATTATAAATTGCTTAGTGGTGTAGTCCTCACAATTCTCTATCTATCCATTCACTAAAATATCTAAGAACCAGAAGAAACTTGGCAACTCACAAAAAAGTATTAAAATCAACACCGAACTTCGAGAAATAGCTAAATTAACGGCCACGAAAAGAACCACATTGAAGAATCTTCAAGAAAATCTTTATACTTCTACATAATACGTACAAGGTTTTTTTCATATTATTTCGCACAACGATATTCGGTAGCAGAAACGAGATAATGGACGGCGTACGGGCCTGCAACAGTGTCGAGAAACACTTAACCACTGCAACATTTTACCGCCGCCCGCACCCACACATATAAATAAGCAGCTAAAATAGTGAGAGTTTGCTTTGCATTACGTTTTCATTATCAAACAAACGGAGGTAGTCATCAGCAGCATGGAACCATCGTCTCGCGCCTCTGTCTCATCCAACATGGCGTCCCAGTAAACCTGGCTGAAGTTGTATCAATTCTCATCGTATCGTCAATAGTCCTATAGCACTTCTATTAAAGTGATAAACGTTTAGAAGCAATTTGCAATTGCATATGATAGACGCCGTACCACTTGAAAATAAATCATGTGTCCTACATTTGTTTTAATAGAGATGTTAATCCATCTGATGTTAATCGCTTATTACTTAAATACATTGCTCCACTATATTGCCTCAGTAAATTGCTGTTTTAGAAAATGAAATCGTATCTCTTAAGAAACCCAAAAAAGTAAAATACTTCTATTTGGCGCCAGTTTAAACGAGTAAATATTGCCAATATAATGTGATACATTATTGAATGTGTAAATGAAAAAATAAATAAATTTATTCTATGGTATGTTGTGTTTTATCACGTAAAAAGATTTCAACCGAATATTATTTACTATGTTACGGTAATACTTTTGAATTACTTGCCGTGAAATAGAAAAAAATGTTTAACTATTATATAGTACGTAATGAAAGATAACATTTAGTTACTTGCCTCTTCTCTACCTAATGCGAACATTGTTTCGTGTTTCGTCTATTATTAGTTGTAAGTCAGGGTTGCACATTGTACTAGGAATTGGTGCAATTCCAAGGATATTGCCAGTATGGAATAATATTCCTCACCCTCGTTCCGAGTAATGCGCTTTTACTCTTCTATTATACTATATTTCCCTGACTTAATTCTACCGCCTTATATTCTTTTGTCTGTCTTTTTTGTTGATTTGATGAACATCATTGTTGATAATATGATAGTATTTTAAAAAGTTATATAATTTTTTATTGTGTTCATAAGTCGTAGAACGAAATTAAGTCTGAATCAATCCTTGGTTTTGTGCGCCCTGCATAGATAATTTCTGCACCTATACTAACTTCCCTTGAATGAGATTTATATTTCAAGGCATTAAAACATAATTCCATCACCGCGATCGTCTCATCAGGGGCAGATGTCACAAATTGTCACTTTCCTATTCATAAGCTTTGATCGCGTAAAAATAAAAATTAGGCCGCGCATTTTTGTTTAAAAAAAAAAAAAACAACGTGTTTGTTATTCCAGATCGGCGCTGACGGCGCGAACTCTGCCGTCAGAAAAGCGATGGGTGTGCAATATCTATCTTGGAACTACGACCAAACGGGCGTGGTGGCTACGGTGCACCTCTCCGAGGTAAACACACCGCAATGAAAGATCATAAAGAGAAGATTCCTCGCGACATCGAGACGAAAAACATGCGTTAAAAAATAAGGGCGTTCAATCGTAACATACGTTCATAAATAATAAAAAAGAATCTATTTTACGGATGACTCTTACTTTATGATTTGCCTTTATTTTTTCTCGAACCGTTACGGCGTTCAATCGTAACATACGTTCATAACTAAAAAAAAGGAGCTATTTTACGGATGACTCTTACTTTAAGATTTGCCTTTATTGTTTCTCGAACCGTTAACAGCTTATCTAGTGTAAGTACCTTTTTTTTTTTTCGGGGAAACTCGAAACACAATTGATACCGTAATATGAATCTATATTCGTGGCGAGAAAATACAGCTATTGTAGCTGACGCTACAATAATTACTTTTATTAGATAATTTTGAATATTTTAGGTTATATATTTAATTTTTTTTTATAATGCTCAGTAATACTATAATCAGTTTAAAATAAAGCTCGAAAAAATTATTAATAGAAACGTAATAAAATTAAATAATATTATTATATTAAATTTTCATCAGAGTCATATGTTTGCTGATGTGTTTACATTAAATATGGTACTTTTATTATTCCAGGAAACTGAAAATACGACTGCGTGGCAACGGTTTCTGCCAACGGGTCCTGTCGCTTTACTGCCCTTGGACTCGACGAGAAGCTCCCTGGTGTGGTCCACGACTCAGGATCATGCGAAGGACCTCCTTAAGCTGCCCGATGAACAATTCGTCGACGCACTAAACGACGCCTTGGTATGTTTGTTGGGACTTAGAAAGAATTCAGTAAAATGTGCGCTTAATGCAGAGTAAATAAGTTGCTACGAAGGGGCCGTCCATTAATCGTAATCGTCGCAAAAATCACGAAATATCACAAGGGTAGGGTATCACAAGTAGGGTGTAGTAAGATATCACGTGTATTTATTTTTTCGTCAAACTCGCGATTTCTAAACCGAAAAGCAGTGTGTAGTCCTTGACTCGTCGTTACATTTTTATCATGGTTCTTAATTTCAGAATAAAATTTGATTATACTCTAAGACTGTGTTAAAAGATAATATCCAAAAAATTATAAGATTCTTCGTAGTTCCTAAATACACGTGTTACCTAAACTGGTTAGACGAGCATTTAAAAACACAGGCGTAGGATTTTACTGATAAGCTGGAACCTACACACTAAACGACCATTTATCATCAGGTCTGATATTGGTAGAAAAGAATCATGAATTATATCATTCCCAAAAATTTGGATGAAAGAGGAATAAGATCTGATACATGACGCACGCTGCCCCTGGCGGCCCATTCTGCGGCACGTCTTCCATTTGTTTTTATGAGAAAAGGTGGTAACATCAGGCGAGCTGGTGGTACCACCCGCTAACGCGTTTTATAAACTAACGTCAGGTGAACACCCCATGCCATTCGATAAACGTGGCCCATGGACATATGAAACATCCGTAGGGTCGGACTATCCACTTCCCAGGAAAAGCGCTGGAGCATAACACTTCCCGTTCACGCTGGTCTACTTTGGGGTCGCAGTACTGCCCCGGATGCGCCTGTTTAGTCCCGGTTATAACGTCACAACCCCGCCCTCCCTTAACCGTGGCCCAATGGATACAGTGCCCGCAGGCGCGTAGAGACCGCTGCGGGGCTTAGCGTCGAACAGTCCCCGTTATGACCAGCCCTGTAGTCCCGGGCTCTAGAATAGGACTAAGGTATCTCCTGCCTGTCGTTAAAGGCGCCTAAAAGGGAACATGGATTGGCAGCAGCACGAAGTGGCCTCGAACTGCTGCAAGATGGCGAGGGAATCGGGGAAGGTTTATCCTTCTCCGAGACGTGCTCACGCCCAGTACCGAGGGACACAGGTGTGTTCCGTAGGAGATCCCGGAGTCCCTCCAAACGTACAGAAGGTAGGCACCGAGGGGGTTTTATTGGGTAAGAACGCCACATAACCCTGTCACAGAATGACAGCGCTTAACACCCCCTTAAGACGTTTTTACGTCACAACGCCCCCTCAACCGCCCGCCCAGCGTAAGCAGTACCCGCGTCGCGTAACCCCCGCTGCGGGACCTAACGCCGAACATTCCTCGCTATGACGTCATACCCCCCCCCCCCTACCCTCGCCGACCGGAAGCAGTACCCGCGTCGCGTAAAGATCGCCGAGGTGATTAGCGCCGAACAGTCCCCGTTATAACGTAACCCCCCCCCCCCCCCCCTTCCCCTCGCCCCAGTGAAAGCAGTAACCGCGGTGCGTAAAGCCCTATGGAGGGCTTAAGCGCCGAACAGCCCCCTTAAGACGTCACAATTAACCCCCCGCCCAGTGGAAGCAGTACCCGCGCCGCGGCGCGGTGGACGCGTGCACGTCGTGGGTGGGCTCGCTGCTGCGGCGGGCGGGGCTGCCGGACGGCGCGGAGAGGCAGCTGCCGCCGTCGGTGCGCGCGGTCGCCGCCTCCTCGCGCGCCGCCTTCCCCCTCGGCTTCGGCCACAGCACGCGCTACGTCGCACCGGGCGTCGCGCTCGTCGGGTGAGACGGATGGATATTTGTTAATTTTAATGTTTTTTTTTTATAGTATCTAATCTCCGCACTCTAGATGAAACATTAACATTTGTAGATAAAGTGCGTAAGGATTGTCGCCGCTGTGGGCATCGAACCCACGTCTACGGCATTCGCGTCCTGCAAGCATTGCAAATGCTAAAAAAAAAACAATGTAGATAAAATCCATTAAGATTTTCGTCGGTGTGGCAATCAGCCGTTTGGCTTAGCGGCTAAACGCCGCGAATGCCGAAGACGTGGGTTCGATTCCCACAGAGGCTACAATCTTTTCTTACTTTTTCTTCAATACATTGCATGCAAGGTATTGAATAAAAAGAGTTTCCTATCATGACAAGAGATGTTGCATGGACTGCGATATTATTTATTACAAAGCAAACAACATTATTAAATGATATTTCAATCTATCATTGTCAAATATACTGACATATCATTATTCAGTCTTATTAAAAATTAATTATTTAATTAATTGATAAGATGGTGATGAAGACAAGAATAAATTATATGTCAATATTAAAATAATAGGTGATTATTACAACAGTACAGATTATTTTTATTTCAGAATAGAATGGAGATAAAATTATAGTAATTTCATACAGATCAATACAATTTTTGTTAACAAAAAAAGAACCGACTTCAAATAAAATTATGTATGGAACTACAACGTTACATGCAAAACAATGCGAATTTTTGCGATGGCAGCAATCGCGGTTGATTTCCTGTCATATTTCGAAGAGTTCCATTGCTATCTCCGAAAGTCATCATCAGATCTATTTGAAATTGGATTGTATGGAACATTTCTGAATGAAACCCTTTCGAACAACAAAAGAAGTTTGCAAATCCGTCTGTATATGACGAAGTTATTCCCGAACATATAGAAAAATATATATAAACATCCGAATTGATAACCTTCTTCTAGAGTAACAAATTATTGACTACGAAGAATAATTGTCCTGCTTTAAAAACTCTGAGACACTGTAGTATTCTCGCTTATTATATTAATTACTACATAAATTCCAACAAATAATATTTAAGATTTGTAAATATGTATTCGTACGTACAATAGGTAAATGTTTTTTATGAGAAAATTTGCCTCGCCAGTAGGTGGCTAAGCTGATGTTAAGTGATTACCGCCGCCTACGGATTCTACAAGACCTTATGGGTTGCCACTTACAAAAATGGCACCAAAGTACAAGATTTGCTTAGTTTGGGAGTAGATAAGGTTGTGTAAAAATGTGTCATAAAATATTTCTGTACCTCGGAGCCATACAATAGTAACTCCACATTTATCAAAATAATTTTTCTAAAACCATTAAAATCGCAAGAACAAATTACATACAATAGTATAAAGCAGGGGTGAGCAACCTTTTTAATCAATTTAAATTTCAAATTTTTTGGCGGGCTGCACATAATAATTTACGAAACTTTATTTGTAATAAATATTAGAATAAAAAAAATATAAAATAAAAAAAAGTAAAGATTTCATATACAAATTTTAATGTAAGGTAAAAACAAAAAAGAAAAGAACAAAAAATATTTCGATTCAGTATGTACTACCATTTTATTATAATTAATTTTTTAACAATATATTGATAGGAGAAATTCGATAAAATAAATTCAATTTTAGAAATGCTTGGCGGGTCGCATAAACATGTTTAAGGGGCCGCAATCGGCCCGCGGGCCGCGCGTTGCTCATCCTTGGTATAAAGCATTAAGCCCTACGACGTCTAATTAATAAAATATCAAAACGTAAATGACATCATAATCAATAATGAATAATTCAATGATTCACTACACGCATATTTGCCTCCTGTAAAATTTGTAATTGTCGAATGCTCTCTGAGGTACAGATTTATTTGTCTACGTTATCTCCCGCAGAGACGCCGCGCACCGCGTCCATCCCTTGGCAGGCCAAGGCGTTAATCTCGGCTTCGGTGATATTAAGGACTTGACCGAATTCTTAGCAGACGCAATGTACACCGGCCTGGACATCAGTAAGTGTAACTTGGGACTAAGTGACGATTGAAAATTTTTACATACACATTATATAATACAAACACATTTTTACATATACATTTCTATACTACATATAATACATCTCGCGTGAGTCCATGTCAACTCACTGCTTGAGTTTCACGCGGAACAATTATAATGGCAAACAAAACAGCCAAAAACTCAACTCCGAAGACTGTTTCCGTACAAAATCATGGTGATTATAAAGTACACAGTAATAAAAAACAGTACAGACTAAAATAATTTTTCCATTTTATAGTAAGTTTTAAGACTTTTTTATTCGTTGCCACAACGTCGCATTACAAGTCTCTCCTTCTAACAGTATGTTTTATCTCTTTTAAATTCATTAAACGCATTCGTATGCTTTGTGACCTTTATAAATGAACTTTACGTTACAGTTTTATACGTAAGGGTGTTCTATACATGTTTGTTTTGTAAAATTTTATAACTCAGTAAATATTGATGTTTAAAGAGTGTAAATGTTTAATACAATTTTAAAAAGTTACCCTCTATAATATGTGTGTTCATTTATTGTGCGGTGGTAACGACACGCTGTATATTATAGATGATTTTTTGAAGTTCTTGTCTCCGTTAGTGCAACAACATGCTGTGGTCGCCAATGATGTTCCGTGTTCGCAGCCCACCACAGCTGGCTGGAGAAGTATGAGAGCTCGCGACAAAGGCACAACGTTCCCACGCAACTGGCCATCGACGCCTTGTACCGCTTGTACACCCTGGACATCGCCCCCATGGTCCTGGTCAGGAGCGTCGGTCTTCAGCTCACCAATGCACTGCACCCTCTAAAGGTGAGAAAGGCATATGGCTCGTTTCCACTGTCACGAATAGCACGACAATGAAAGAAACGGTACGTTGTTTTATGTGACAAGGTGGCAAACGAGCTGGCGGTTCACCTGATGTTAAGTGATAACCCCCATTGACGTTTGCAACACCCGTAGGGTTGTAGATGAGTTGCCGCCTTTTAATTAAGTCGGCCCCGGCTACCTCACTCGCCAGACGAAACGCGGATGTGCAACACTTCCACTTCACGTCGGTCTTCTGTGAGGTCGTGGTACTCACCCGGACGGACCTGCTCATTCGTGTAATAAAGTTAAAGTCAAAATTTCTTTATACAACATAGGCTTATTTTAAGCTCTTATTGAACGTCAAAAACTACCACCGGTTCACTAAACTAGACCTGCAAGAGAATAACCGGCAAGAACCTCTGCGGTCATATATGTATATTTTATTTCTTTTTTTTTTAAGTATTTAAGTATATAATAGAGAAGACTGTTGTGTGTCTTTTGTTTCATTTTAACACTCTCCCCGGAAAACAGTGTGTCAAACATCTCACCTGTAAAATGACTTTGCTCCAATGTTAATCACGACAAAATTTGTTAAAACGCTTTAATTTTTTATATAAAAACTTGCCAAGAGAGCAGGCGGTTAAAGTGACATTTAGAGATTATCGCACCTATGCGTTGCCAACCTTTAAAACAGCAGGCCCCAACGGTTTTTACAAGACGTAATCCAAAAGTGTAATACTATCATCACCCTGCCTATTAATGGGCGACCCTGCCACATTTTACAGGAAACCGTTACGGATAATATAATTGTAAATATATATATATATATATATATATGTGATAAAGCGTTTTTATAAGGCTACTTTAAAAAACGTAAAAGGAAAACTCAAAATTATACCACGATAAAATTTGGAAAGTAGTTTTATTTGAACGCAGAAATACCGTGATATTCGGTCTGTTTCGCAATCAAACCTACTTTTTGTTTTTTGTTAATATCTACCATTTTAATGCCTCAAGTGTTTCTTGTTTATTCATCAAAACTTGAGATAATGACAATACATAGATTAAGACCCATCAGCAAGTATATTGTCCATTTGTTAATTGCTCCAACAATACAGCCGTAATGAGAAAATAGTCAAATCTTTTACGATGTAGTATTTCGCTAATTCGCTGAAGCAGATAATGAGGGAAAAAAACTGTGTTATCCTCATTGTTAGGGCTATTACAGTACAAAATCAATTATTAATTATTTCATTAGTTAATCTCTCTATTATATCATTAGTTAATCTTCTACTTAAAACATTTGTAACGCTGACACAATAAAGAAATTGTTTTTGGGTATTTTTAAGATGTTATAATTTAATTACTCCTCTCTGTGTTGTTTATTGCAGAAAATGATAATGTCTCATGCGACCACTTAAAGGACGTGGTGAAGAACGTGCAAGAAATTGACCTATACGACGAACTGCATCACAAAAAGAACTTAATAAAATACCTGCAATATTTGAGCGACGTCTCGCATTTGCAAATATTAAATGTCAGTAAAAGCTTTTGCCACTTTTATTTTTAAAATTGTTTTTACAGGTTCATAAAATTAAAGTCAGTAAAACGAAGTAAACTTTACTTTTAACAAATGTTGACAAACACACTCAATATTAATGTTCCGATTATGTTTATGAAAATGAACAATAAGAAGCCACATTAACAACCATCATTACATTACACTATTACTGATATATACTGTGTAATAATTGCTCTTGATAATTCAGTTGTGTGTATAAATTTTAATGGTTTTTTTGTATACTGTGCATGCAATAAACTTTCTGCTTATAAAAATCTTACTTATTTTTTAAGCCGTCCTATTGGATATTTCTAGAAGTTAAATAAAAAGGAGCCGTATATAGTCTCATGACCAACCGAATAATTAAAACGAATTATTCTTGTCTTGTACTAGTTGTGATGTTTAAAATACAAGGCTCGTTATCAGGAATATGAATATTTACGGTTACCTATTTTACGGTTGTTTAAACAAAACTTGTCAGTTTATACTACCTTTTTTTTGTAAAAATCAGAGTTAAAAAATAATTCAATTTAGTATTTCTTACAAATTGATAATGGAGCAAGAAGATGGAGGATTAAGTAAATCGTAATAGTACTCAAAGGCCAAAGTACGAAGACGATATGCAATCTGATTCTGTCATATTAGGACTTAAGAGTCGAGCCAATGTAACTGTTGTAGCTTGTAGCTCTCCCGAATTTCAGGCGTGTAGCTAGACAACCCTATTCACCCTTTGTACTTTATTCGACAATTTTAATAGCTAGAACAAATAAATCCATAAACTGCATACAAATAATATTGCTTCTATCTTTGCGCGCCATGAAATACGGAATGAGAATGATGAAAGTTTTATACTGCAAAATATCCCGCGAGAAACAAATAGTAAAAACGGGTTTTTTTTTCAACGCCAACAGTTAAAAATTCTATTCAGTTTTTAAATTTAAAAAGTAGCGTCAATAGACGTCGATACTAAACATCAGATTCGGTTTATGGACTTACAAGATTTTGTAGCCGAAAATTTTCAACAATCACATCGTTTTCACTGGATTACTCTAAATAAAACTCATCAAATATGTCAAATATTGTACCAGATCTTTACCTCTAATTTTTTTATATGAAAACAATTCATTATAAAACTAATAATGTACATATTTGTTTAATAATTAATTTTAACCGATCCGTTCGCTAAGGGAATAATTATCATCGACCAAATATTCACAAAATTACTGTTTTCGATTTTTTCTCGGATACTTCATATTTCGTCGTTCTGACTTAATTTAAATTTCTTTGTACTCGTTATCTTAATAACTTAGTACCCGGAGGACCGAGCTTTGCTCGGTTTTTTTTTTTTTTGGTAAATCGTGTATTTTGGAAATTACATTTAGATACAAATTACTGAGTAATGAAATATGCATAATATTTTTCGATCTTACCTACGTAATAATAAGAAAATATGAACTGATGTTTTTTTCACAAAAGAAAGAACTTAAAAAAAAGGGAAAAAAAAATAACAAATCGACAAAAAATTAAAAGAAAGAGAAAGCAATGATCTGGAATCGAAAAAAAAGAAAAAAAATAAATGTGTAAATGATCGTGACGCGAACCACGGCCGTCTGTTTTGGGGCCGCCCGATTACCGACCAAGCTATTATGACATCTTCTCTTGCGGCGAAATTTACCGTCATATTCGAATTATATTTTTCATTCCCTGAAAACAGGGATAAAAGGACATTTTCTAAAAATGAAACCTAGCTAGATCGATTTTTCGTCCCCGAATCTACGCACATACTAAATTTCATGAAAATCGCTGGAGCCCTTTCCGAGATTACGATTATATATATATATATATATATATATATATATATATACAAGAATTGCTCGTTTAAAGGATAAGATATAATTCCTGTCTGAATGGTTATAACATCAAGAATAATCTTACACTAAAATTCAGGATCTTCATGTTTTTTAACTATTTTTATTTTTGGATTTTTGTAACTGAATGAAACAAAGTTCTTTTAGAGCTCTCAAACGCAACTTTTACGATTAATTTTTAGATAAACGAACGGACGGATTTGAACAGATTTGAACCTGCGCCTTCCGGATAAAGCGCTTAGACGCTTTAAGAACTAAGCTGACCGGTTGATGACCTCACGGCGCGTCCGTGAGGTTATCGACCGCTCAGCAGAATCTTACATTTATTCACTTTCTTTATTCGCATTTTTAACACTGTTTGAACACACTAGATAGCACTAGTCTTTTCGAGCTCTGATAATAATAATCGCAATAATGATTTTTAAGCTCAGAGTGCTCATTCATTGATCTTATTGATAAATGATAGTTATCGTTTAAATCACAATATAATCTAAGTTATTCCATATGATAGTAATAAATAATTTGATGAAATAAACCAAAAAAATTACTTGGCTATAGAATAGCCTCAAAATTATTCTCGTTGTGAGATAAACAATGGGACATCTTTTTAGTAAAATTTGACGTATATACGTATTGTCTACAGTTTCAATACTTTTCAAATGTTTTTCATAAAGTATATTTACTTTAAAGATATTAGTTACACTGCAGCCGTAATAGGTATACATTTATATAACATTTCAAAAGCTTTGTTTCCATTTTGTCACGGTCTCACGCCCTACGAATTCAAGTTAATTATATTCCAGTGCCAGTGGCATTGGACTTGTGGGAAAATTACCTTTATGGAAGATAGGGGGCTTTCTATCCTTATTAAATTTATAATTCCGAAAGTAACTATCTGTCTGCATGTCTGTTGCCTTTTCACGAATAAATCACTGAATCGATTTTAATGAAATTTGGCGTAAATTTTGCTGGAATCGCGATACAGGACACATGCTATTTTTCATCATCAACATCATCTTTACGCGGGAGAAACCACAGGCGCAAATATTTACTCAAATTATTTAATCACAATCACCTAATTAATAACATTTTTTTTCTTTCTACGTCTCTCTACATTCCTTTTTATTTCACCCTTAACTCTATGATCACTCAAATGAGGTATGTTTTTTCTTATTGATTTAATTTTGATTGCTACTTTCTTTATATTATTTATTTTTTATTTCCTTCATGTTCATCCTACCCATCAACAATTCCTTTTGGTAAATTTCTGAGGTTGCCTGAAAGAAATTGTTGTGTAGCAAAAACGCCGCCTTTTCATGACCAATATTTGGTAAATATTTTGTTCGAGCTGTCGGTTCACGTGATGTTAAGTGATAACCAACGCCCATTAACATTTACAACACCCTTAAGTTTACAGATACGTTGCTACCTTTTAATAAAGTCGATCCCGGCTACCTCACTCACCAGACGATGTCTTCGTACTTACCCGGACGGACCTGTCCAGTATGCAACAGAGAATACTTTTGTGTGGCCCTACCACAATTAAGTTATTTTTATCACTTCACGTAAACAGTAACTACCTACCTACATAGATGCCATCCTGCCCCGTAAGTAATGGGGGAGACGGAGCGGCTTACTATGATGTTAATGTTGGCGTGAAGCATGTAAATTCAAATGATCCGGCTTACTTTACTTTTTGTTAGTTTTAAAGTTCATGTATACGCACTATTTAAATTTATAGTTATATTATGGTATCAATGCATACAATTTTTTTTATTCAAAAACAAATGTGAGCAGCTGCAAGGCCAAGCCAAAGGGAAGGAAATAGGAATCAAGGAACGCCACTGTATTGATCGACGATCGCGTGACTCAGCTGGTGTTGCGTGGCGTGGGGAGGGGGGGGGGGGGGGGGGGGGGGGGGGGGGGGGAATGGCGTCATACTAGCACAATCTTGACGGCCATTTTGTTCTGCAGTGCGTCATTGAATTTTTATTTTTACCATTTCCACCAACCAAACTTAATGTTATTAATAATAATGAACATTTCTGAATGATTAACCTATCTCTCCTAACCACACATTTTCGATATTTCACATGATTCATATAATTTTTGGAATTTGTGAAGATCGGAAGGAATGAAAATATGTAGGTCATCATGTCAACTTCACTAAATAGGGTTAAATTGGACTTGTATTTATAAAATCCTTTTATACTCTTGATATGTACCTACCTACATATTCTATATTTATTCATATCTTTATAAATTGTTTTGATTACCTATCTATATAAAAGTAGGTAATTAAGTATAACCTTAATTTTATGTTACCTACATGTACATTTTTAAAGTATATATAGTTTAATATGAAATACATATTCATGTAAAGAATCAACTAGGGGAGGTTTCCAAATTTAATTTATTGACCGAGGAGCGAGGACGCCACCATTTGCTACATTGGAATTAGTTGGAAGCAGGGTTGCCAGCTTAGGGGTTCTTATCTCAAATTTAGGGAAAATTCTATAATAGTAAACATTATAGTTATTCTTTCCTACGTTTTGTATTGTTATTTTTTTTTGTTTAAGAAACACAAAGGTATAAAAATATAGGGTCTGGAGTAACGCAATCATATTTATTTGTTGATCTAGTCACCAAGCGTAATCTAGTACAGTTTTTCATTACTGTGAAGTTGAATTGTGGAGAATAGAGATAAAAAGTACCCGTCGAAGCGCATTCAATAGACATAACATAATAAAATTTATCCTACGCTATCGGTAGGATAAATTTTATAAATTTTAAACAAAGCGCTAAAAGTAATTAAAATTATTTATCATTCATTATGAATCTCTTTTTTGGAATTACGGTAAAAATATTGGTCGTCCAAAAAACAAGATCTGTTTATATTAAGAATTGTTTATAAAATTAAATTTCCTGTCATTTTTATTTAAACACTTTTTACAAACCCAACATTTTCGCTACAATGTACTACACTGTATTATTCAATTCATGTGTATATTAAGGCAAAAACCTTTGCGCTATTTTTATGTATATTTTTTTTAATAATATTATTTTATTAGAAGGGTTTTTGACTTAAGCTTTGGGGATAAATATTTTCGAGAGTTGCTAACACTGGTTGGAAGTTGGAACGCCGCCATTTTGAAACGCCCGACCAACTGCGCAGTTATATTGAAGCGTCACTTATAAAAAGGCACGCAACGGAAAATACCCGCTCATTCTTTCTGCGACTAGGCGTTGGACAGGCGTCTCTCTGTGTTGTGTTGTGTACCAGTGCTGGAAGTGGACCGCCTGTTCGGATTCAGGTGTGTAAATATTGTCTCCGCGATATTTTAAAGCCCTGTATATACAAAAATGGGCTACGCCGTTCCTGAAAAGTCTGTTGTCGATTTTTGTGAAAGTAAAACTGAAACCTTATCTAATTGGGTACGCAAAGTCAAATGTAAATCTATTAACGCCAAGACAAAGAGAAAACGTGATCTGAGAATAATCGCAATTTTGAGTAACTCTTTGTTGCGCGCAGAGAGTGAACTGGTTACGAAACAAAGAGAACGTGCTAGACGGTGGGCACAAATGCAAGCCGATCTTGGATTGTGCAATAAGGAAGAGGAAGTCGCAAGGCAGCAACAAGAAAAAATCGATAATATATGGAAGAATGATCTCAGCGGCTTAGATAGTTTTTTCAAAGAGCTAGACAACGTCAAGCCTGTCCTAAATTAGTAATTTAGGTAAAGTACAGTATCAGTATCTGTGATATATTATGTAGGATGTTTTTCTAAATTACAGTCCCATTGCGTTTCGCGTGGGTCTGCATCCGACGGCCGCCATCTTGGTTGCCGCCTGGGGCGTGGCCGAGGCTAGCTACAAAATGGGTTTGTAAACGGTATCATGCATTTATATTTAAATTGTTATCTAATTGTAAATATTTCAATTCTCTGTTCTAAATAGTGGATTGAAATTTGTTTTATTCATATTGAATACAAAAATTGTAACATATGTTTAAGTATGGAAATAAAATACATTTTAAAAAAATGTTGCATCTCTGAATTTTATTTTCTCTTTTGTAATTTCACCCAACATGTATTATTCCATGAGTCATCGCCATCTCTTCGTGAAGACGTGCAGTTGCGATGCAGGCGGGTTACAAGCGTATGAGAGCTGTACGCGCTGACTTCTGTTGCTGCTTTCACGAGGTTGCTGGGAGGTGTGGTGGCGATTTTTGTTGGCGATCAAATCTGCCCCGCGCTATACGTCGCGCTTACTCGAAACGTATCCCGGTTATCAGCCCACTAGGTAAAGATAGGAGATTGCGTCACGGTTTCACCAATTTACCATATCCGTGTAGGCCTGTGTACAGGCCACCGTGTGTGCTATTTCTTAATCCCAGATCTCACGGCTGCTGCTGCCAGAGCAGACCGCAATACGTATACGTGCTGCCTGCGTCTTCTGGTCAAACACATAGTTGCGCCCGTCAGGAGGTGGTTACTTGTTTGACAGCAAGTAGAATTTCTTTCTGCGCACTTAAATAACGTGACGCAGCATTTGGTGAGTCATTGTTATTCATGCAAAAAGCAGGCTAAGGCTAACAATGATATTGTTTCTGAGTGTAAACAATAACTATAAACTATTTCAGTTTGCGATAATATTCGATTTATACAGGTCTTGTATTATATTATATTAATAATATTCAACAAGTCTTCATTAACGAATGAAAGCAAAACTGGACTTTGAGCATCAACACATTCATTTATCTACTACTATGGCCTTCGATACAACGAACGGACGGGTAATATCTTAGATATGGAATTACTTTTATTTTCTTTAGGACTTAATATTGTTGAATTTATAACGCTATTGAAAAAATGACCTTTACAACACGTAGCCGTGGGCTGATCGTAGTATATCTGGGATCTGATCACTGAAATTACATAACTGTACTGTTGAAGAATTTAAATGAGAACTTTGTAGTTTATTGACCTGAATTTGAATAGGTAAGTTGACGCGGCTTTCGAAAGTAGGTTGAAATATAAATATAACATTGATACCAGAAAGTGCAGAGAAATTGATTTGAATGTGTCCACTTCACAGCTCTCGGCGCCGCGCCGTTGCCTCGCGATGTCCAAGAATATAGTCGCCCATTTAAAACGAATTCAAGGGAAAATTTGACGCCTTCACGCAGAAGGTTGGCACTGCATCTGATATAAGAATGGACTATGGTCCTTGCACACAGATAAGTCAAACCGATCCCCACACCTCCTACTGCTCTACCGAATCATATTGCGGTCTAATTCTTTGTATCCATTTGTAACCCAAAGGGTTTTAACAATATAAAACCCTGGAAATACGTGGAATGTTCAATACATGATTACCTACGATGCCGGCATAAGGTAAGTAGATAAACTGCGAAAAAAAAAAAGAAATGAATTAATCTAGATAATAATCTTAATTGATGATATAAATGTTCTAATGGCATTGGTACATTAATATAAGAGTATATAATGAATTTCCTCAAAAAAGTCTAAAATTAGGTCAGTTATAACACTTAATTCGATACATAACTTCTTTGATATTTATTAAATCTGATATCATGATTAAGTTACAAAAGTTTACACGATGGTCTTTAACCTTCTACTTATGTTTATACTATATATATACGTAATATTTTTATGTACTTAGACACTTGAATTCTATTAAATTATAAAAATGCAACCAAAAAGTAGACAAATTTGTAGTGAACTTTAATCTTATTACTAATACTTCACTCAGATTTTTACATTTATGTGGTATGTCTATTCTCTATATGCTTATATTAGTTGCGTTGGAATTTTCCGCTTTTTGTTGTTTCTTATTATCTTGTAATATAAATAATAATAGTTGCGATACGAAATTTCAAGCCTACATTTTACAAATTTATACGTAATATTCTTGTTATGGCTTTTCCTGTAAATTTTATTTCTTAGTTTTGATAGTACATATACCGCTTTTTTATGCATGATTGCCCTCCTTTAAATAATTTCCTTCCAGATAGTGATAAAAATACGTAAAATAGTCTGTTTTTGCAAATAAGTAAAAGTATGTACTTTCGGTGCTTCAAGTTTTGAACTAGTGAAAAATGACCTATACCCAAAAATTAAGCCCAAAGCAAGTGAAAATCGATATTAATACTAGCGGTACAACATTTAAACTTCGGGGAACAACGACAACCAGTAAAATACAAACATGATGATTATAAACACATTATATGAAGGACATCAGGATAATCAAAGTAACTTTACATAAATTATAACATGTGGAAATCGGCAGCTCAGGTAACAAAGAGCTACTACACTAGTCTGTCTATTGTAACATGCATTAATGACCAAGTATTGCCTATATATAACACTGTCTTATATTTGTGCTTTTACGACTTGCCGACACAACCTCAATAGAAGGGGTCTGTTATTACTGTGGTATATCCAACAGCCCGCTGAGGCCGAGTCAGCGGGAGCGGTGATAAGACCGTTGCCTTCGGTCGTAAAGCGGTTCTACTTTAAACAGACTCACGTTGGGCATAAACATAGCACGACTACATTAGCTGTCGCCGCCGCTGCTGTCCTGGTACGGCGAAACTACATTCGGTACCAAAGCAAGAAATTTGTTCAGGCAAACTAGCTCTTTGTCTAAGGAAACGACCTCCACGGATCCTTGACAGCATGATTAATAATGAATCTATTGAATATCACAACGCGTGCGCCGGACCGGATCTTATTAGGAGTTCGGTCGATGTCCCTCCAGAGACGTCGAGACGCCCATCTTCTGTTGCAATCATACGAAATTGGTAAATACCGTTCCTGCTCCGTTGGTGGCGAAATTTAAACGGCTACTTGTCACGGTACCAAAGTATTTACTTCAATTCATAATTTTTTAATAGCTTAAAATTTTCACATTAATCTAATGAATATTTGATTTGCTACTATGAAGTCCGGGACGCCTATGTATTAATTTTACTACCAAGAAGAATTTAGTTCATGAGGAGTATAAGGGGTGTGTAATTTGATACGCAGGCGGGTTATGCTACATTTGTTGGGACTTGTCGCCTCTGTAATTGCAGATCTAACGCTGTCTCCATCTGAGTAAATCTACGCTACTGAAAAATACTCAGTTGACTTAAGTTTTGCTAGTTCTTGCACAATACTGAAGTTACAATACAGGAGCAATCCGCTGCGTGGACATCTATCCAGACTGAACGGCTCCAATTAACAGAGCCGTAGGAATCGATATTTACTTAAAAAAACAACGTAGAACTATTACGTTTTATGCAATTCACACTGGAGCGCATTGAAGTGCGAAAATGTATTGTTTGAAATATGTTAAGAACATACATGGAGACTGATTCAAATAATGTTGCCGAGAGGTATGAATGTTATTTGTACTAGTGAGCTTACATTTAAAGTAAAAAAATGTTATAATTTTTGAGGAAATTCAAAATTTTAACTGTTGTTACGTCAAAGTAAATACTTGAGACTTCATACAGATCTTGTAAACCTTCGTTTCTTACGGGATGTAAAGCCAGTCATTTATGTGTAAGCAATTGCAAAGTTTAATGGGACCAAAAATTTTGCAAAATAATGTCCACTTTATTTGGTTTTACTGACGACGTTATCGTAGCTGTGTAAAAATGGCACTTTGGTTATGTTACCGCTTACAACACAAACTTATGGGAATAATGACAACCAGTAAACTAGCAACAAAAGATGATCACAAATTAAACTCTACAACTGAATGTCGATGTGACTAAACGAATAGTTGTGGAAATCCGAAGATCAGGTAACGTAGTGCTGCTATATTAGCTTGGTCTACTGTAACTTGCATTGATAACTAGTATGACCTATGTAGAGTACCTATATCATAACTGGGCGGGTCTGTGGTTACTGTTTATATCCAACAGCCCTCTGCGGCAGAGGTGATTCGACTCTTGCCGCCTTCAGTCGTGTCTCATCGTATTCATCATGCTGCCGTGAAATTTAACGAAGCGACCCGGCTTTGATCAGACGTACGTTTGGCATAAACGCAGCCCAGTGCTACTAATTTACTGTCTGAAATATGTCTAAGGAACACATGGAGGCTGATTCAATATATTGTTGCCGAGAGGTATGAAAGACATCAGGGGTTAATACAAATATCAGTCTATAATTTAGTGAAAAGGTAATAGGAATTGATTTTAATGACCAACATGAGAATGTACATAAAATATGGTGGTGTCCATAAATTGTACGGTAATTCTCATAACTTTACAACTGCAGCATGACACAACTTCACCATAAATGTATAAATAATAGATCGACCGTTTTACTAACCTTTTTACTTCACGCTTACAAAATTTTTAACTTGTTTTCAATATAGATATTCCTACTCATTGTGCCATTAATTCATAGCATATAGCACAAACACGACTTTAGAATCTGTGAACGACGTAAAAATTTTCATAATATTGACAGTTATTTGAAATTTGATAAATAGTATCTTGGCGTGGTAGCGTCTAGTGGCCTCTAGGCCCTTTTATCGTTTAACCATTCCGGATTATTTGGAATTCTGCAGGTGGTGTGTGCCGGAAAAGGTCACTGATATAAAATGCCATGAAAATTTATTGTCCTTATGTATTATTATGGATATGGAGATAGCAACCAAATATAGAAGGCGTAAAGGAATTAATAAAATGTAAAATCTGACAACTGCCATGCTTTGATTTTTACGGAGGAAGACTTATTATTTTGATTACTACAAACTAGTATTCTCACGAAATTATGATTACGCCTTGTAAAAGAGTATAAAAATAAATTCTTAAGGATACGTCACTTGGATCGACTGGAAAGAGGTTTGGTTTACAAATGATGACACATTGGTGTTCTGTAAAGTCCGTTTTAGACAATATTCTCCATTCTTTGGTAAGATTTTTCACAACTGATGTTGATACTGACTTAATTTGAAGGTATAGTAACTCTTACTTTAATTTTTGATATATCTAAACCTGTAGTTTCCAAAAAGAATGCAATAAAATCCTATGAGGTCCCGCCGTGCCTCGTCCCTCCGGCCGTGCCTCGTCCCTCCCACCGTGCCTCGTCCCTCCCGCCGTGCCTCGTCCCTCCCACCGTGCCTCGTCCCTCCCACCGTGCCTCGTCCCTCCCACCGTGCCTCGTCCCTCCCACCGTGCCTCGTCCCTCCCACCGTGCGTCGTCCCTCCCGCCGAACGTCGAGGTCCCTTCCGCCGGACGGCGCGTCGAGCCTCGTCCCACCCGCCGGACGTCGCTTCGTGCTTCGTCCCACCAGACAAACGTTGCGTCGAGCTACGTCACGTCGAGCTTCGTCACGCCGTGCCTCGTCCCTCCCGCCGTGCCTCATCCCTCCCGCCGTGCCTCGTCCCTCCCGCCGTGCGTCGCGTCGTGCTTCGTCCCTCCCGCCGGACGGCGCGTCGAGCCTCGTCCCACCAGACAAACGTTGCGTCGAGCTACGTCACGTCGAGCTTCGTCCCTCCCGACAGACGTCGCGTCGAGCTTCGTCCCTCGCGACAGACGTCGCGTCGAGCTTCGTCCCTCGCGACAGACGTCGCGTCGAGCTTCGTCCCTCGCGACAGACGTCGCGTCGAGCTTCGTCCCTCCCGACAGACGTCGCGTCGAGCTTCGTCCCTCCCGACAGACGTCGCGTCGAGCTTCGTCCCTCCCGACAGACGTCGCGTCGAGCTTCGTCCCTCCCGCCGGACGTCGCGTCGAGCTTCGTCCCGTCCGCCGGACGTCGCGTCGAGCCTCGTCCCTCCCGCCGGACGTCGCGTCGAGCCTCGTCCCTCCCGCCGGACGTCGCGTCGAGCCTCGTCCCTCCCGCCGGACGTCGCGTCGAGCCTCGTCCCTCCCGCCGGACGTCGCGTCGAGCCTCGTCCCCCCCGCCGGACGTCGCGTCGAGCCTCGTCCTACGTCCCGCCGGACGTCGCGTCGAGCTTCGTCCCTCGCGAACGACGTCGCGTCGAGCCTCGTCCCTCGCGACAGACGTCGCGTCGCGCTTCGTCCCGCGCGACAGACGTCGCGTCGAGCTTCGTCCCTCGCGACAGACGTCGCGTCGAGCTTCGTCCCTCGCGACAGACGTCGCGTCGAGCTTCGTCCCTCGCGACAGACGTCGCGTCGAGCTTCGTCCCTCGCGACAGACGTCGCGTCGAGCTTCGTCCCTCGCGACGACGTCGCGTCGAGCGTCGTCCCCGCGACGGACGTCGCGACGAGAGACGTCCCTCGCGACAGACGTCGCGTCGAGCTTCATCCCTCCGCGACAGACGTCGCGTCGAGCTTCGTCCCTCGCGACAGACGTCGCGTCGAGCTTCGTCCCTCCCGACAGACGTCGCGTCGAGCGAGCTCGTCCCTCCCGACAGACGTCGCGTCGAGCTTCGTCCCTCGCGCCGGACGTCGCGTCGAGCCTCGTCCCGTCCGCCGGACGTCGCGTCGAGCCTCGTCCCTCCCGCCGGACGTCGCGTCGAGCCTCGTCCCTCCCGCCGGACGTCGCGTCGAGCCTCGTCCCTCCCGCCGGACGTCGCGTCGAGCCTCGTCCCTCCCGCCGGACGTCGCGTCGAGCCTCGTCCCTCCCGCCGGACGTCGCGTCGAGCCTCGTCCCTCCCGCCGGACGTCGAGTCGTGCTTCGTCCCTCTCGCCGTGCCTCGTCTCCCGCCGGACGTCGAGGTCCCTCCCGACTGACGTCGAGGTCCCTCCCGACTGACGTCGCGTCGTGCTTCGTTCCTTTCGACTGACGTCGCGTCGTGCTTCGTTCCTTTCGACTGACGTCGCGTCGTGCTTCATTCCTCCCGACGGACGTCGCTTCGTGCTTCATGCCTCCCGACGGACATCCAGTCAAGGTACGTCCCTCCCGACGGACGTCGAGTCGTGCTTCGTTCCTCCCGACGGACGTCGAGTCGTGCTTCGTCCCCCGCCGGACGTGGTCCTCCCGCCGGACGTCGTATCCCTCCCGTCTGACGTCGAGGTCCCTCCCGACTGACGTCGCGTCGTGCTTCGTTCCTTTCGACTGACGTCGCGTCGTGCTTCATTCCTCCCGACGGACGTCGCTTCGTGCTTCATGCCTCCCGACGGACATCCAGTCAAGGTACGTCCCTCCCGCTAGACGTCGCGACGAGCTAAGTCGCGTCGTCCCGCCCGCCTGACGTCGCGTCGAGCCTCGTCCCTCCCGCCGGACGTCGCGTCGAGCCTCGTCCCTCCCGCCGTACGTCGCGTCGAGCTTCGTCCCTCCCGACAGACGTCGCGTCGAGCCTCGTCCCTTCGCCGTGCCTCGTCTCTCCCGCCGGACGTCGCGTCGAGCTTCGTCTCTCCCGGCAGACATCACATCAAGCTTCATCCCACCCAACGCAAGTCGACCCTTACAATTACTTTTAGATTGTTAATTACCTTAGGTACCTTAAAAGTGGTACGCATTTTGGTACCAATATGAAGTGTAATTTAACGTGGTAGACTTAACCTTAATAATATTGCATAAATATAAATACATATAAAAAAAATTATATAACTTCCGGCCTTGGCTTCGGCGGACGTAAGAGCCCGTACGTCTCGGCGGGCGTAAGAGCCCGTACGTCTCGGCGGGCTTAAGAGCCCGTACGTCTCGGCGGGCTTAAGAGCCCGTACGTCTCGGCGGGCTTAAGAGCCCGTACGTCTCGGCGGGCTTAAGAGCCCGTACGTCTCGGCGGGCTTAAGAGCCCGTACGTCTCGGCGGGCTTAAGAGCCCGTACGTCTCGGCGGGCTTAAGAGCCCGTACGTCTCGGCGGGCTTAAGAGCCCGTACGTCTCGGCGGGCTTAAGAGCCCGTACGTCTCGGCGGGCTTAAGAGCCCGTACGTCTCGGCGGGCTTAAGAGCCCGTACGTCTCGGCGGGCTTAAGAGCCCGTACGTCTCGGCGGGCTTAAGAGCCCGTACGTCTCGGCGGGCTTAAGAGCCCGTACGTCTCGGCGGGCTTAAGAGCCCGTACGTCTCGGCGGGCGTAAGAGCCCGTACGTCTCGGCGGGCGTAAGAGCCCGTACGTCTCGGCGGGCGTAAGAGCCCGTACGTCTCGGCGGGCGTAAGAGCCTGTGCGTCCAGCGTAAGAGCCTGTGCGTCCAGCCGGTCCGTCTTCGCGAGTGTCCAGCCTGTCCGTCCCGATGGACGTTGAACCACGTCGCTCCCTGTGGATATCCTGCGGGCTTATGATTTAGCGGAAGTCTGGCCTCTTTATAAACGTTGGACGTCGCGGCTGTCCATTTTTAAGCCGTCTGTCGGCGTCCGTCCTTGTCTGTTTCAGTGGGCGTCAAGCCAATCTTCTAGTTGGCACCGAATGCAAGGTCGCAGCGAACATCGATCTTACGTAAGGGCGGGCGTCGTGCTATTCCATCGTGGTAGACGTTGCGCTCTTCATTCCGGCAGGCATCGAGCCCGTCCGTCTCGGTGACCGTCCAGCCAGTACGTCTTGGTGGGCGTCCAGCCTGGTTGACTCGGAGGCGTTCGGCTCTTCCGTCACGGCAGGCGTCCAGCTCGTCAGTCACGGCAGGCGTCCAGCTCGTCCGTCACGGCAGGCGTCCAGCTCGTCCGTCACGGCAGGCGTCCAGCTCGTCCGTCACGGCGGGCGTCGAAGACGAAGACGCAAAAGCGAAGACGAAGACGCAAGAGCGAAGACGAAGACGAAGACGCAAGGACGAAGACGCAAGAGCGAAGACGAAGACGCAAGAGCGAAGACGAAGACGCAAGAGCGAAGACGAAGACGCAAGAGCGAAGACGAAGACGCAAGAGCGAAGACGAAGACGCAAGAGCGAAGACGAAGACGCAAGAGCGAAGACGAAGACGCAAGAGCGAAGACGAAGACGCAAGAGCGAAGACGAAGACGCAAGAGCGAAGACGAAGACGCAAGAGCGAAGACGAAGACGCAAGAGCGAAGACGAAGACGCAAGAGCGAAGACGAAGACGCAAGAGCGAAGACGAAGACGCAAGAGCGAAGACGAAGACGCAAGAGCGAAGACGAAGACGCAAGAGCGAAGACGAAGACTACGCAAGAGCGAAGACGAAGACGAAGACTACGCAAGGGCGAAGACGAAGACGAAGACGAAGACGCAAGGCGAAGACGAAAGAAGACTACGCAAGAGCGAAGACGAAGACGCAAGAGCGAAACGAGACGAAGACGCAAGAGACGAAGACGAAGACGCAAGAGCGAAGACGAAGACGAAGACGAAGACGAAGAGCATGAGAGCGAAGACGAAGACGCAAGAGCGAAGACGAGAGACGCAAGAGCAAGAGGAAGACGCAAGAGCGAAAGAGACGCAAGAGCGAAGAGGAAGACGCAAGGCCGAAGACGAAGACGCAAGAGCGAAGACGAAGACGCAAGAGCGAAGACGAAGACGCAAGAGCGAAGACGAAGACGCAAGAGCGAAGACGAAGACGCAAGAGCGAAGACGAAGACGCAAGAGCGAAGACGAAGACGCAAGAGCGAAGACGAAGACGCAAGAGCGAAGACGAAGACGCAAGAGCGAGACGAAGACTAAGAGCGAAGACGAAGACTGCGCAAGAGCGAAGACGAAGACGCAAGAGCGAAGACGAAGACGCAAGAGCGAAGACGAAGACGCAAGAGCGAAGACGAAGACGCAAGAGCGAAGACGAAGACGCAAGAGCGAAGACGAAGACGAAGACGCAAGAGCAAAGACGAAGTTGCAAGAGCGAAGACGAAAACGCAACAAACTACGCAAGAGCGAAGACGAAGTTGCAAGAGCGAAGACGAAGTTGCAAGAGCGAAGACGAAGTTGCAAGAGCGAAGACGAAGTTGCAAGAGCGAGACGAAGTTGCAAGAGCGAAGACGAAGTTGCAAGAGCGAAGACGAAGTTGCAAGAGCGAAGACGAAGTTGCAAGAGCGAAGACGAAGTTGCAAGAGCGAAGACGAAGTTGCAAGAGCGAAGACGAAGTTGCAAGAGCGAAGACGAAGTTGCAAGAGCGAAGACGAAGTTGCAAGAGCGAAGACGAAGTTGCAAGAGCGAAGACGAAGTTTGCAAGAGCGAAGACGAAGTAGCGAGAGCGACGGCGAAGTTGCAAGAGCGAAGACGAAGTTGCAAGAGCGAAGACGAAGTTGCAAGAGCGAAGACGAAGTTGACGAAGACGAAGTTGCAAGAGCGAAGACGAAGTTGCAAGAGCGAAGACGAAGTTGCAAGAGCGAAGACGAAGTTGCAAGAGCGAAGACGAAGTTGCAAGAGCGAAGACGAAGTTGCAAGAGCGAAGACGAAGTTGCAAGAGCGAAGACGAAGTTGCAAGAGCGAAACGACGAAGTTGCAAGAGCGAAGACGAAGTTGCAAGAGCGAAGACGAAGTTGCAAGAGCGAAGACGAAGTTGCAAGAGCGAAGACGAAGTTGCAAGAGCGAAGACGAAGTTGCAAGAGCGAAGACGAAGTTGCAAGAGCGAAGACGAAGTTGCAAGAGCGAAGACGAAGTTGCAAGAGCGAAGACGAAGTTGCAAGAGCGAAGACGAAGTTGCAGAGCGAAGACGAAGTTGCAAGAGCGAAGACGAAGTTTGCAAGAGCGAAGACGAAGTTGCAAGAGCGAAGACGAAGTTGCAAGAGCGAAGACGAAGTTGCAAGAGCGAAGACGAAGTTGCAAGAGCGAAGACGAAGTTGCAAGAGCGAAGACGAAGTTGCAAGAGCGAAGACGAAAGTTGCAAGAGCGAAGACGAAGTTGCAAGAGCGAAGACGAAAGTTGCAAGAGCGAAGACGAAGTTGCAAGAGCGAAGACGAAGTTGCAAGAGCGAAGAGAAAGTTGAAAGAGCGAAGACGAAGTTGCAAGAGCGAAGACGAAGTTGCAAGAGCGAAGACGAAGTTGCAAGAGCGAAGACGAAGTTGCAAGAGCGAAGACGAAGTTGCAAGAGCGAAGACGAAGTTGCAAGAGCGAAGACGAAGACGCAAGAGCGAAGACGAAGACGCAACAGACTACGCAAGAGCGAAGACGAAGACGAAGACTGCGCAAGAGCGAAACGACGACGCCATAAAAGGTGCGGTAGCGGAGATATAGAAGAAGACGCAGGAGAAGAGACGAAGAAGTCGCAGGAGAGGAGACGAAGACTACGCAAGAGCGAAGGCGTAGACGTAAGAGCGAAGACTACGCAAGAGCGAAGACGAAGACGAAGACTACGCAAGGGCGAAGACGAAGACGAAGACTACGCAAGGGCGAAGACGAAGACGAAGACTACGCAAGAGCGAAGGCGTAGACGTAAGAGCGAAGACGAGAGCGAAGACGAGAGACTGGCAAGCAGCCAAGTAGGAGGAGAAGACGCAAGCAGCCAAGAAGGAGGAGAAGACGTAAGCAGCCAAGAAGGAGGAGAAGACGCAAGCAGCCAAGAAGGAGGAGAAGACGCAAGCAGCCAAGAAGGGGGAGAAGACGCAAGCAGCCAAGAAGGAGGAGAAGACGCAAGCAGCCAAGAAGGAGGAGAAGACTCAACATCCGAGACGAAGCCGCAAGAGCGAACACCCAAGAGCGAAGACGGTAGGCTACGCGAGAGGGAAGACGGTAGGCTACGCAAGAGCGAGGACGAAGACTACGAAAGAGCGAAGACGAAGACTGCGCAGGAGCGAAGACGAAGACTGCGCAGGAGCGAAGACGAAGACTGCGCAGGAGCGAAGACGAAGACTGCGCAGGAGCGAAGACGAAGACTGCGCAGGAGCGAAGACGAAGACTGCGCAGGAGCGAAGACGAAGACTGCGCAGGAGCGAAGACGAAGACTGCGCAGGAGCGAAGACGAAGACTGCGCAAGAGCGAAACGACGACGCCATAAAAGGTGCGGTAGCGGAGATATAGAAGAAGACGCAGGAGAGGAGACGAAGAAGTCGCAGGAGAGGAGACGAAGAAGTCGCAGGAGAGGAGACGAAGAAGACGCAGGAGAGGAGACGAAGTCGCAGGAGAGGAGACGAAGAAGACGCAGGAGAGGAGACGAAGAAGTCGCAGGAGAGGAGACGAAGAAGTCGCAGGAGAGGAGACGAAGAAGTCGCAGGAGAGGAGACGAAGAAGTCGCAGGAGAGGAGACGAAGAAGTCGCAGGAGAGGAGACGAAGAAGTCGCAGGAGAGGAGACGAAGAAGTCGCAGGAGAGGAGACGAAGAAGTCGCAGGAGAGGAGACGAAGAAGTCGCAGGAGAGAAGAAGAAGTCGCAGGAGAGGAGACGAAGAAGTCGCAGGAGAGGAGACGAAGAAGTCGCAGGAGAGGAGACGAAGAAGTCGCAGGAGAGGAGACGAAGAAGTCGCAGGAGAGGAGACGAAGAAGTCGCAGGAGAGGAGACGAAGAAGTCGCAGGAGAGGAGACGAAGAAGTCGCAGGAGAGGAGACGAAGAAGTCGCAGGAGAGGAGACGAAGAAGTCGCAGGAGAGGAGACGAAGAAGTCGCAGGAGAGGAGACGAAGAAGTCGCAGGAGAGGAGACGAAGAAGTCGCAGGAGAGGAGACGAAGAAGACTCAACGGCGAATATGAAGTAAAAGCAAAGACACGTGCGCCTACTCGTTTATATTGACGGCCATGAATTCCAACAGCTATTGGGTGCACATGCAACATTCCGCGCTACTGGGTGAAGATGCAACATTCGGCTCTAATGGATGAAGATGCAACATTCGGCTCTACTGGGTAAAGATGCAACATTCGGCGCTTCTGGGCGAAGATGCAACTTTCTGTACCACTGGGTGAAGATGCAACATTCTGTACCACTGGGTGTAGACGCTACATCCGTCGAAGTCACAAGACAACGTTAAATTGGTAAGCCTAAATTCCTTACTAGCGTTGTTAATATCAACATCCTCGATATGTTTTGTAAGATGTTTTGCGAATTTCAGTTTCGTTGGTCTTCGCATGAGTCTACACCGGACGGCGGCCATCTTGGCTGCGTTCTGGTACGTGGGCACAAGTCTAGCTGCGAAATAGATGGGTTTGTAACGGTGTCTTGCATTCAAATTTATATTATTATCTAATGATAAAAATTCCAAGTCTCTTTTCATGATCATTTGAAACTTAAAATGAAATGATGGATTGCAACTTGTTTAACTCGTGTTCTTTGAAAGAAATTTGTGTGCGTAAATAAAATTTTATTTAATGATTGAACTTCTTCGTCTTATTTTGAAATTTCAAACCAACCAACGTGTATTATTCCATGAGCCATCCTGGAGGCGTGCAGTTGCGATACGGGAGAGTTAAAAGCGTATGAGAGCTGTACGCGCTGACTTCTTCTGTTGCTGCTCTCACGGCGTCGTTGGCGATCAGAACTTCCCTACGCTGTGCTTCGCTGTCACTCGAAACGTTACACAGTTATTGGCCCACTAGGTAACGCTAAGTCATGGCGTCACGATTTAATTAATTTCCTAGATCCGTGTAGGCCTGTGTACAGTCAACCGTGTATGCTATTTTTTAGTCCCAGATATTACGGCCACTTCTGCCAGAGGTTCTGGCTGCTGCCTGCGTTTTCTGGTTAGTCACATCGTTGCCCATCAGGAGGGGGCACTTGTTTATGACATCAAGTACATACATAATCTTTTTACATACGGAAATAATTTGACACAACACTTGGTGAGTCATTGTTGTTCATGCAGAGGCACCACGCTACGGCTAACGATGATTTTGTTTCTGAATGTAGATAATGACTATACACTCGTAAACTGTATCAGTGGTAATGCGACAAGTTTCGACTCGTACAGGGCTTGTATTATTTTAATCAGATGCAATAAGGCTGCCAAAAAGAATGAAAGCAATGCTGGACTTTGAGCCTCAAGATACTACTACAACTACTATGGTATAAAGAATGGATGGTAACATCTTAACAGGTGGACTTACTTTAGAACTATATTTGTGAACTGTTTATAATTTGGGCAGTTATTGACAATAACATGAAATTGACAAAATGTAAATCTGGGAATAGATCACTGAAATTGCGTATCTGGTAAGTTGGCGAAGCATTCGAAAGTACTTTAAAATAATTATTAATAGATTTGATACCTGAAAAAACAGGAAATTGATTAGTATGTGTCCACTTCACAGCTCCAGGAGGCGTGCCGTTGCCTCGCGATGTCCAATAATGTGGTCGCCCACTTTAAAACTTATGTAACGTCTGCCTTCACGGAGAACGTTAGCACTGCATCTGTAACAAGAATGGACTATCGCCCTTACTCACAGATAAGTCATACCGATCCCCACGCCTACTGCTCTACCGAATCATATTGAGGTCTAATTATTTATATCCATTTGCACTTTAAAAGGTTTTAACGACATCATACTCTAAATATCCGAAACTCCTCATATATAAAGGTATGCTAAAATAAATTAATGCGAAATCAAATAAGATGCGTTCAATTGGTAAAACGATTGTTTACAGATAAAAAAAATTATTAAATTTCAGGCAAATAATATTAAAAACTTAATGGAATAATTTAAAGAACTGGGATACATAATTTAATAATCTGACTTTATTTGTTTATATATGCGGCGTATGTTTATTCTCTCCATGCTAATATTTGTTGCTTTTGAATCTTTAAATATTTTATTCAAATTTGAGGTTTTAACACCCTTTAACATAAATTGCTACGAAATTTAAGCCCCTACATTGTACAAGTAAGTATGTAATGTAATGTTTATAACTTTAATGTACACTTTTGATTTTGTAGTTTGTCCGATTTCGTGCATGCCATTTATGTTGTTTGCATCATTGTATATCATTCCCTTCCTGTCTGGCGCTGTCTTTGCAAATAAATATAATTACTTTAGGAGCTTCGTTATTTCTTGGACTAATCGGAAGAAAAGATTCGAACGCGATATTAAAACCGCTTACAACTCTGAAACTTCCGGGAATAACGACAACTAGTACACAAGCGGCAAATGAGGATTACAAACTGCAACATATGAAAGAGCAACTTAATAATCTGATTAACTTTAGATAAATACAAATATGTGGAATTGAGCGGCTGAGGTAACAAAGAGCTACTACATCAGTTTGTCTACTGTAATGCTTTGATGACCGTAGTATTCTAATCATAATACCTTCTACCTTATGTTTGTGTTTTTAAAAGTTTCCGAAACAATGTCACCACATTAGAACTGGAGTCCGTTGTTGCTGTGCAGTATATCCAACTGCCCGCTGAGGCAGAGCCAGCAGGCAACGCTGGTACGAGTGTTGCCTTCCGACGTAAAGCGGTTCTACATTAAACAGACGCACGTTTCGCATAAACATAGTAGGACTCTACATTAGCTGTCGCCGTCGCTGGTACGGCGAGACTACATTCGGTACCGAAGAAAAAAATATTTCCGGTAAACTCTGTCCAAGGAAACTACCTGCACGGATCCTTAACAGCATGTTTGATAATGAATCTATTGAATACCTCAACGTGTGCGCCGCACTGGATCTTGTCATGAATTTGGTCAATGTCCCTCCAGAGACATCGTGAAGCCCATCTTCTGTTGGAATTTAACGAAATTGGTAAATACGGTTCCTGCTTGTTGGTGGAGAAATTTGAACACCTACGTGTACGGTACTCAAATATTCACAAATTTTCATTATTTTGTACTTTCTTAAAATTTTCACGCTAATCTAATAGATTATGACGCTAATCTAATAGAGTCTGATTTATTACTATGAAGCCTACTACAGGACGTCTACGTAGTAATTTTACCGCTAAGGAGCATTCAGTTCATCAGGAGTATCTATATAGGCCTGTTCTTAATTTGGTACACATGCGCGCTTTATATAACACATTTGTTGGTACCTGTTCGCCTCTGTAATTGCAGATTTAACGCTGTCTTCATCTGAGTAAATCTACGCTACTGAAAAATACTCAATTGACTTAAGTTTTGCTAGTTCTTGCACAATACTGAAGATACAATACAGGAGCAATCCGCTGCGTGGACATCTATCCAAACTGAACGGCTCCAATTAACAGAGCCGTAGGAATCGATATTTACTTAAAAAAACAACGTAGAACTATTACGTTTTATGCAATTCACACTGGAGCGCATTGAAGTGCGAAAATGTATTGTTTGACATATGTTAAGAACATACATGGAGACTGATTCAAATAGGTATTGTTGCCGAGATTTTAACTGGTGTTACGTCAAAGTAAATACTTGAGACTTCATACATATACCTTCTCGTTCAGATCCTGTAAACCTTTGTTTCTTACTGGATGGAATGCCAAAGTAATTTGTGTGTAATTGCGAAATTGAATGAGACCAAAAATTTTGCAACATAATGTGCACTTTGTTTACTGACAACTTATCGTAGCTGTGTAAAAATGGCAGATCGGTCATGTTTGATTTGGAATATCATGTAAAAAGTGGATAATGGTACGGCTTACAACACAAAAACTTTTGGGAATAATGACAACCAGTAAACTAACCACAAAAGATCAACAAAAACAAATTAAACTCTATGAAGTACAACTGAATATCGATGTGACTAGACGAATACTTGTGGAAATCCGCAGCTCAGGTAACATAGCGCTAATATACCAGCTTGTCTACTGTAACTTGCATTGATATCTAGTATTACTCCTATTTCCATGTCTTGTGTCTTACGACACAACTGCGTGCGTCTGTGGCTACTGTCTATACCCAATAACTCTCTGCGGCAGGGATGATTCGACTGTTGCCTTACTCATCATTCTGCCGTGAAATCAAATGAAACGCCCCAACTTTGATCAGTCTTACGTTTGGCATAAACGCAAGCCAGTGCAACTAATTTACTGTATGAAATATGTCAAAGACCACATGGAGGCTGATTCAATATATTGTCGCCGAGAGTTGTGAGGTATGAAGACATCAGGGGTTAATTCAGATTTTGTACATATATTATCTAGCTAATGACGCGTATTTAACAGCTAATGACGTGTATTCAAGTTTAATATGCGGGAGGCCTATGTAGGTGACTCAAGAAAAGGCTGAAATGATGTTGATGATGAGTTTCATATTAAAACATTGTCTCTAATTTAGTGAACAGGTAATACTAATTGATTTTGATTATTATATATATTGTGGTGTCTATAAATTGTACGGTAATTCACAACTCTAAAACTGCAACATAACACAACTTCACCATAAAAGCATAAATAAAAATTAAGAATAACCTTAAGCTTCCAAAATTTTGAAATCGTGTGGCACGTAAAGTCGCCGAATGACTGGTAAAATTTTGATAAAAATTATTTAGATGTTATAACATTGACTGTTATTTGAAATCTGATAAATAGTATCTTAGGGTGTTACAGCGTCTGATGGCCTCGAGGCCCTTTTATCGTTTAACCATTTCGGCTTATTTGGAATTCTGCAGGTGGTGTGTTTTGGAAAAGGTCTCTGATATAAAATGCAATGCCAATTTGTTATCATTATGTAACATTATGGATATGTGGAATATAGAAGGCTTAAAGGAAGTAATAAAATTTGTTATGATCTGACAACTATGTCATGCTTTATTTTTCTAAGGCTGGAAGAGTTGTATAATTTTCATTAAACAAACTAGGATTCGCATACGGAAATGAGATTATCGCTTAAAACAGAGCGTTATAAAAATACATTGGATTCCTCATTGGACCGACTGCAAAGAAGTTTGGCTTATAAATGATAACACATTAGTGTTCTGTAAAGTCCGATTTAGACAATAATCTGCATTCATTGGTAAGATTTTATTTTTCACTACGTACTGATACTGACTAGTAGACTAGGCATTAGTTTAGGTACTCCAAATATTTAAGTAATACTTGCTTAAATATTTGGAGTATCTAAGCTAATGCCTGAGGAAGTTAGCCGAAGTAACGCTGAAGTAAATAACCTACTTCGCATCTCCGCTGTTCGTTCCGTCGAGTCCTCTTCCCGTCCGTCCGTCCGTCTCGGCGGGTGTCTAGCCAGCCCGTCCGTCTCGGCGGGTGTCTAGCCAGCCCGTCCGTCTCGGCGGGTGTCTAGCCAGCCCGTCCGTCTCGGTGGGTGTCTAGCCAGCCCGTCCGTCTCGATGGGTGTCCAGCCACCTCGTCCGTCTCGATGGGTGTCCAGCCAGCCCGTCCGTCTCGATGGGTGTCCAGCCAGCCCGTCCGTCTCGATGGGTGTCCAGCCAGCCCGTCCGTCTCGATGGGTGTCCAGCCAGCCCGTCCGTCTCGATGGGTGTCCAGCACGTCGCTCCTTGCGGATATCCTGCGGGCGTCTCTACTATACCAGTGGGACGCAACAGCCAAGACGAAGAAGAAGACGCAACAGCCAACGAAGAAGAAGACACCACAGCCTAGTAGAAGAAGCAGACGCCTCAGCCTAGAGGAAGAAGCAGACGCCACAGCCTAGAAGAAGCAGACGCCACAGCCTAGAGGAAGAAGCAGACGCCACAGCCTAGAAGAAGAAGCAGACGCCACAGCCTAGAAGAAGCAGACGCAACAGCCAAAACGGAAGAAGAAGACGCAACAGCCTAGAAGAAGAAGCAGACGCAACAGCCAAAACGGAAGAAGACGCAACAGCCAAGACGAAGAAGACGCCACAGCCTAGAAGAAGAAGACGACGCCACAGCCTAGAAGAAGCAGACGCCACAGCGTAGAAGAAGAAGCAGACGCCTCAGCCTAGAGGAAGAAGCAGACGCCACAGCCTAGAAGAAGAAGTAGACGCCACAGCCTAGAAGAAGAAGCAGACGCCACAGCCTAGAAGAAGAAGCAGACGCCACAGCCTAGAAGAAGAAGCAGACGCCACAGCCTAGAAGAAGAAGCAGACGCCACAGCCTAGAAGAAGAAGCAGACGCCACAGCCTAGAAGAAGAAGCAGACGCCACAGCCTAGAAGAAGAAGCAGACGCCACAGCCTAGAAGAAGAAGCAGACGCCACAGCCTAGAAGAAGAAGCAGACGCCACAGCCTAGAAGAAGAAGCAGACGCCACAGCCTAGAAGAAGAAGCAGACGCCACAGCCTAGAAGAAGAAGCAGACGCCACAGCCTAGAAGAAGAAGCAGACGCCACAGCCTAGAAGAAGAAGCAGACGCCACAGCCTAGAAGAAGAAGCAGACGCCACAGCCTAGAAGAAGAAGCAGCAACAGCCTAGAAGAAGCAGACGCCACAGCCTAGAAGAAGAAGCAGACGCCACAGCCTAGAAGAAGAAGCAGACGCCACAGCCTAGAAGAAGAAGCAGACGCCACAGCCTAGAAGAAGAAGCAGACGCCACAGCCTAGAAGAAGAAGCAGACGCAACATAGAAGAAGAAGCAGACGCCACAGCCTAGAAGAAGAAGCAGACGCAACAGCCTAGACGAAGAAGAAGACGCAACAGCCAAGACGAAGAAGAAGACGCAACAGCCAAGACGAAGAAGAAGACGCAACAGCCAAGACGAAGAAGAAGACGCAACAGCCAAGACGGAAGAACAAGACGCAACAGCCAAGACGAAGAAGAAGACGCAACAGCCAAGACGGAAGAACAAGACGCAACAGCCAAGACGGAAGAACAAGACGCAACAGCCAAGACGGAAGAACAAGACGCAACAGCCAAGACGGAAGAACAAGACGCAACAGCCAAGACGGAAGAACAAGACGCAACAGCCAAGACGGAAGAACAAGACGCAACAGCCAAGACGGAAGAACAAGACGCAACAGCCAAGACGGAAGAACAAGACGCAACAGCCAAGACGGAAGAACAAGACGCAACAGCCAAGACGGAAGAACAAGACGCAACAGCCAAGACGGAAGAACAAGACGCAACAGCCAAGACGGAAGAACAAGACGCAACAGCCAAGACGGAAGAAGAAGACGCAACAACCAAGACGTACAACAAGACTCAAGACAACAAGACTCGAGAGCGAAGGCGAAGACTCAAAGTATTAAGATTCAAAATTGAAGATGAGGACTTAATACAAGACTAAAAACAACAACAAAAGAACACAAGATACGACAAGATACTGGGTGAAGATTCAACATTTGGGACGGATGTAGTCGGTAAGCCTAAATTCATTATGAACGTTGTTATTATCAATATCCTCGATATGTTATGTAGGATATTTTCCGAATTACAGTTTCGTTGCCCTTCGCATGAGTCTACATGTGACGGTGGCCATCATGGCTGCGTTCTGGTACTTGGGCACACGGCTAGCTGCGAAATTGATGGGTTTGTAACGGTGTCTTGCATTCAACAATTATACTATAATAAAAATTCCAAGTGAAATTATGGATAACAACTTATTCAACTCGTGTTCTTTGAAAAATTATTTGTATGTGTGTAAATAAAATGAATTCAATTATCGATTTTCTTCTTCATTTTTGTAATTTCAAACCAACCAACGTGAATTATTCCATGAGTCATCCTGGAGACGTGCAGTTGCGATACGGGAGAGTTACAAGTAAGCGTATGAGAGCTGTACGCGCTGACTTCTCCTGTTGCTGCTCTCACGGCGTCGTTGGCGATCAGAACTTCTCTCCACTATGCGTCGCGGTCAAGAAACGTTACACAGTTATTGGCCCACTAGGTAATGCTAAGATATGGCGTCACGTTTTATTTCAATTTACGAGATCCGTGTAGGCCTGTGAACTGGCAACCGTGTGTGCTATTTTTTAATCCCAGATATTACGGCTTCTTCTGCCAAAGCAACACAATGTAACACAATGCACCACACGTGCTGTCTTCGTTTTCTGTTTAATGACATAGTTGCCCATCAGGAGGGGGCTGTTTATGGCATTAAGTACATACGGACAAGTTTTTACGGAATTTGACACAGCATTTGGTGAGTCATTGTTATTTATGCAGGGAGAGCACGCTAAGGCTAACGATGATTTTGTTTGTTTTGTTTTTGGGTTTTAACGACTTCAAACTGTAAATATTCCAAACTCCTGTATAAAGGCTTGCTACAATAAATTATTGCGAAAACAAATAAGATGCATTCATATAGAAAATAATCTTAATTGGTTGAACTTGGTTGAAATTGGTAAAACAATTGTTTGCAAGTATAAAAAGTCAAAAGTGATTAAATTTCAGGCAAATAATATTACTAAGTTAATGGAATAATTGTAAAGATATTGCATGCCTACTTGTGCAATGTAGGGTACATTGAACGAGTAGGTATGCAATAATCATGGCTTAAACGTACACTTTTGTTTTTTGTAGTAACTTGTTCTATTTCGTGCATGCCATTATTTTATTGCATCATTCCCTTTCAGATAGTTTGAAATGTATAATAATAGTCTAGCGCTGTTTGAGAATAAGTATAATTACTTTAGGAGCTTCGTTATTTCTTGGACTAATCGGAAGAAAAGATTCGAACGCGATATTAAAACCGCTTACAACTCTGAAATTTCCGGGAATAACGACAACTAGTAAACAAGCGGCAAATGAGGATTACAAACTGCAACATATGAAAGAGCAACTTAATAATCAGATTAACTTTAGATAAATACAAATATGTGGAATTGAGATATGTGAATTGAAAATAATTGGAATCTCAGCGGGTGTCCAGCCAGCCCATCCGTCTCAGCGGGTGTCCAGCCAGCCCGTCCATCTCGGAGGGTGTACAGCCAGCCCGTCCATCTCGGAGGGTGTACAGCCAGCCCGTCCATCTCAGCGGGTGTCCAGCCAGCCCGTCCATCTCGGAGGGTGTCCAGCCAGCCCGTCCATCTCGGAGGGTGTCCAGCCAGCCCATCCGTCTCAGCGGGTGTCCAGCCAGCCCGTCCATCTCGGAGGGTGTCCAGCCAGCCCGTCCATCTCAGCGGGTGTCCAGCCAGCCCGTCCATCTCGGAGGGTGTCCAGCCAGCCCGTCCATCTCGGAGGGTGTACAGCCAGCCCGTCCATCTCGGAGGGTGTCCAGCCAGCCCATCCGTCTCAGCGGGTGTCCAGCCAGCCCGTCCATCTCGGAGGGTGTACAGCCTGCCCGTCCATCTCGGAAGGTGTCCAGCCAGCCCGTCCGTCTCGGCGGGCATAGGAACCCGTCCGTCTTGGCGGGCGTAAGAGCCCGTCCGTCTCGGCGGGTGTGCAGCCCGTCCGTCTCGGCGGGTGTCCAGCCAGCCCATCCGTCTCAGCGGGTGTCCAGCCAGCCCGTCCATCTCGGAGGGTGTACAGCCAGCCCGTCCATCTCGGCGGGTGTCCAGCCCGTCCGTTTTGGCGGGTGTCCAGCCAGCCCATCCGTCTCAGCTGGTGTCCAGCCAGCCCGTCCATCTCGGAAGGTGTCCAGCCAGCCCGTCCGTCTCGGCGGGCGTTGGAGCCCGTCCGTCTCGGCGGGCGTTGGAGCCCGTCCGTCTCGGCGGGCGTAGGAGCCCGCCCGTCTCGGCGGGCGTAGGAGCCCGTCCGTCTCGGCGGGCATAGGAACCCGTCCGTCTTGGCGGGCGTAAGAGCCCGTGCGTCCAGCAAAGCGATCTCGGCGGGTGTGCAGCCCGTCCGTTTTGGCGAGTGTCCAGCCAGCCCATCCGTCTCAGCGGGTGTCCAGCCAGCCCGTCCATCTCGGAGGGTGTACAGCCAGCCCGTCCATCTCGGAGGGTGTACAGCCAGCCCGTCCATCTCAGCGGGTGTCCAGCCAGCCCGTCCATCTCGGAGGGTGTCCAGCCAGCCCGTCCATCTCGGAGGGTGTACAGCCAGCCCGTCCATCTCGGAGGGTGTACAGCCAGCCCGTCCATCTCGGAAGGTGTCCAGCCAGCCCGTCCGTCTCGGCGGGCGTAGGAGCCCGTCCGTCTCGGCGGGCGTAGGAGCCCGTTCGTCTCGGCGGGCGTAGGAGCCCGCCCGTCTCGGCGGGCGTAGGAGCCCGTCCGTCTCGGCGGGCATAGGAACCCGTCCGTCTTGGCGGGCGTAAGAGCCCGTGCGTCCAGCAAAGCGGTCTCGGCGGGTGTGCAGCCCGTCCGTTTTGGCGGGTGTCCAGCCAGCCTGTCCATCTCGGAGGGTGTCCAGCCAGCCTGTCCATCTCGGAGGGTGTCCAGCCAGCCCGTCCGTCTCGGCGGGCGTAAGAGCCCGTCCGTCTCGGCGGGCGTAGGAGCCCGTTCGTCTCGGCGGGCGTAAGAGCCCGTGCGTCCCGTATGCTACCTCACTGGACCGACTGCAAAGAAGTTTGGCTTATAAATAATAACACATTAGTGTTCTGTAAAGTCTGATTTAGACAATAATCTGCATTCATTGGTAAGATTTTATTTTTCACTACGTACTGATACTGATACTAACTGAATTTGTTTGCATAGTAACACTTGCTTAAATATTTGGAATATCTAAACTAATGCCTGAGGAAGTTGGCCGAAGTAACGCTGAAGCAAATAACCTTCTTCGCATCTCCGCTGTTCGTTCCGTCGAGTCTCTTCGAACCCAACAGACGTCGCGTCGAGCTTTGTTTCTCCTGGCAAACATCACATAATATAACATTTCAATAACATAAGTCCATCTCGGCGGGTGTGCAGCCCGTCCGTTTTGGCGAGTGTCCAGCCAGCCCATCCGTCTCAGCGGGTGTCCAGCCAGCCCGTCCATCTCGGAGGGTGTACAGCCAGCCCGTCCATCTCGGAGGGTGTACAGCCAGCCCGTCCATCTCAGCGGGTGTCCAGCCAGCCCGTCCATCTCGGAGGGTGTCCAGCCAGCCCGTCCATCTCGGAGGGTGTACAGCCAGCCCATCCATCTCGGAGGGTGTACAGCCAGCCCGTCCATCTCGGAAGGTGTCCAGCCAGCCCGTCCGTCTCGGCGGGCGTAAGAGCCCGTCCGTCTCGGCGGGCGTAAGAGCCCGTCCGTCTCGGCGGGCGTAAGAGCCCGTCCGTCTCGGCGGGCGTAAGAGCCCGTCCGTCTCGGCGGGCGTAGGAGCCCGTCCGTCTCGGCGGGCGTAGGAGCCCGTCCGTCTCGGCGGGCGTAGGAGCCCGTCCGTCTCGGCGGGCGTAGGAGCCCGTCCGTCTCGGCGAGCGTAGGAGCCCGTTCGTCTCGGCGAGCGTAGGAGCCCGTTCGTCTCGGCGGGCGTAGGAGCCCGTTCGTCTCGGCGGGCGTAGGAGCCCGCCCGTCTCGGCGGGCGTAGGAGCCCGTCCGTCTCGGCGGGCATAGGAACCCGTCCGTCTTGGCGGGCGTAAGAGCCCGTGCGTCCAGCAAAGCGGTCTCGGCGGGTGTGCAGCCCGTCCGTTTTGGCGGGTGTCCAGCCAGCCTGTCCATCTCGGAGGGTGTCCAGCCAGCCCGTCCGTCTCGGCGGGCGTAAGAGCCCGTCCGTCTCGGCGGGCGTAAGAGCCCGTGCGTCCCGTATGTTACCTCACTGAACCGACTGCAAAGAAGTTTGGCTTGTAAATAATAACACATTAGTGTTCTGTAAAGTCTGATTTAGACAATAATCTGCATTCATTGGTAAGATTTTATTTTTCACTACGTACTGATACTGATACTGACTGAATTTGTTTGCATAGTAACACTTGCTTAAATATTTGGAGTATCTAAACTAATGCCTGAGGAAGTTGGCCGAAGTAACGCTGAAGCAAATAACCTTCTTCGCATCTCCGCTGTTCGTTCCGTCGAGTCTCTTCGAACCCAACAGACGTCGCGTCGAGCTTTGTTTCTCCTGGCAAACATCACATAATATAACATTTCAATAACATAAATAATAAAAATAACATTCAAATAACATTTCATCAAAACTACTTATATAACTTCCGACCTTTGTCTCTGTGTGCGTCCAGCCCGTCCGTCAAAGCGGACATTCAGCCCCTTCTCTCCAGGCGGATATCCTGAGGGCGTCGAATCTCTTCTTTCCCGGTGGATTTATGGTCCAGTCCGTCCGTCTCGGCGGGCGTAGGAGCCCGTCCGTCTCGGCGGGCGTTGGAGCCCGTCCGTCTCGGCGGGCGTTGGAGCCCGTCCGTCTCGGCGGGCGTAGGAGCCCGTCCGTCTCGGCGGGCGTAGGAGCCCGTTCGTCTCGGCGGGCGTACGAGTCCGTCCGTCTCGACGGGCGTACGAGTCCGTCCGTCTCGACGGGCGTACGAGTCCGTCCGTCTCGGCGGGCATAGGAACCCGTCCGTCTTGGCGGGCGTAAGAGCCCGTGCGTCCAGCAAAGCGGTCTCGGCGGGTGTGCAGCCCGTCCGTTTTGGCGGGTGTCCAGCCAGCCTGTCCATCTCGGAGGGTGTCCAGCCAGCCCGTCCATCTCGGAGGGTGTCCAGCCAGCCCGTCCATCTCGGAGGGTGTCCAGCCAGCCCGTCCATCTCGGAGGGTGTCCAGCCAGCCCGTCCATCTCGGAGGGTGTCCAGCCCGTCCGTTTTGGCGGGTGTCCAGCCAGCCCATCCGTCTCAGCGGGTGTCCAGCCAGCCCGTCCATCTCGGCGGGTGTCCAGCCAGCCCGTCCATCTCGGCGGATGTCCAGCCCGTCCGTTTTGGCGGGTGTCCAGCCAGCCCGTCCGTCTCAGCGGGTGTCCAGCCAGCCCGTCCGTCTCAGCGGGTGTCCAGCCAGCCCGTCCATCTCGGAGGGTGTACAGCCAGCCCGTCCATCTCGGAGGGTGTACAGCCAGCCCGTCCATCTCGGAAGGTGTCCAGCCAGCCCGTCCGTCTCGGCGGGCATAAGAGCCCGTCCGTCTCGGCGGGCGTAGGAGCCCGTCCGTCTCGGCGGGCGTAGGAGCCCGTCCGTCTCGGCGGGCGTAGGAGCCCGTTCGTCTCGGCGGGCGTAGGAGCCCGCCCGTCTCGGCGGGCGTACGAGCCCGCCCGTCTCGGCGGGCGTACGAGCCCGCCCGTCTCGGCGGGCGTACGAGTCCGTCCGTCTCGGCGGGCATAGGAACCCGTCCGTCTTGGCGGGCGTAAGAGCCCGTGCGTCCAGCAAAGCGGTCTCGGCGGGTGTGCAACCCGTCCGTCTCGGTGGGCGTACGAGCCCGTCGGTCTCGGCGGGCGCAGGAGCTCGTACGTCTCGGCGGGCGTACGATCCCGTCGGTCTCGGCGGGCGTACGATCCCGTCGGTCTCGGCGGGCGTAGGAGCCCGTCCGTCTCGGCGGGTGTCTAGCCCGTCCGTCTCGGCGGGTGTCCAGCCAGCCCGTCCATCTCGGAGGGCGTACAGCCAGCCCGTCCGTCTCGACGGGTGTCCAGCCGGTCCGTCTCGACGGGTGTCCAGTATGTCCATCTCGCTCTTACGCCCGTCGGTCTCGGCGGCCGTACGATCCCGTCGGTCTCGGCGGGCGTACGATCCCGTCGGTCTCGGCGGGCGTACGAGCCCGTCCGTCTCGGCGGGCGTAGAAGCCCGTCTGTTTCATCGGGCGTCTAGGCCGTCTATCTCGGCAGGCGTCCATCTATGTCTGTTTCAGTCATCGCGGTCGCGGCTGACATCAATCTTACGTAAGGGTGGGCGTCGTACTATTCGATCGTAGACGTCGCGCTCTTCATTCGGGCGAGCTTCGAGCCCTTCTGTCTGGGTGGGGCGTCCAGCCCGTTCGGCGGCGTTCAGCTCTTCCGTCACGGCAGGCGTCCAGCTCGTCCGTGACGGCGGGCGTTAAAGTCAAAGACAAAGACACAAGAGCGAAGACGATGACGCAACAGCGAAGAGCGAAGACGATGACGCAACAGCGAAGAGCGAAGACGAAGGCCGAACAGCGAAGACGCAGACCCAAAAGCGAAGACGAAGATTCAAGAGCGAAGACGAAGATTCAAGAGCGAAGACGAAGATTCAAGAGCGAAGACGAAGATTCAAGAGCGAAGACGAAGATTCAAGAGCGAAGACGAAGATTCAAGAGCGAAGACGAAGATTCAAGAGCGAAGACGAAGATTCAAGAGCGAAGACGAAGATTCAAGAGCGAAGACGAAGATTCAAGAGCGAAGACGAAGACTCAAGAGGAGCGAAGACGAAGACTCAAGAGGAGCGAAGACCCAAGAACGAAGACGAAGACCCAAGAGCGAAGACGAAGACTCAAGCGCGAAGACGAAGACTCAAGAGCGAAGACGAAGATTCAAGAGAGCGAAGGCGAAGATTCAAGATCGAAGGCGAACACGAAAGGCCGAAGACGAAGAGGAGCGAAGCGAAGGCGAAGACTCAAGATTGAGCGAAGCACTCAAGAAGCGAAGACGAACAGACTCAAGACGAGCGAAGACAGAACGCGAAAACAGCCAAGACGAATTCTCGAAACGAAGCGAAGACTCAAGAGGAGCGAAGACGAAGGCGAAGACTCAAGAGGAGCGAAAACGTTCAACGAAGACTCAACAGGCCCGAAGTACGAAGACGAAGACCCAAGAGCGAAGACGAAGACTCAAGAGCGAAGACGAAGACTCAAGAGCGAAGACGAAGACTCAAGAGGAGCGAAGACGAAGACTCAAGAGGAGCGAAGACGAAGACTCAAGAGCGAAAGACGAAAGACTCAAGAGGAGCGAAGACGAAAGCGAAGACTCAAAGAGCGAAGAAGACCCAAGAACGAAGGACGAAGACTCAAGAGGAGCGAAGACGAAGACCCAAGAGCGGCGAAGACGAAAGACCCAAGAGCGAAGACGAAGACCCAAGAGCGAAGACGAAGATTCAAGAGCGAAGACGAAGATTCAAGAGCGAAGACGAAGATTCAAGAGCGAAGACGAAGATTCAAGAGCGAAGATGAAGATTCAAGAGCGAAGATGAAGATTCAAGAGCGAAGACGAAGATTCAAGAAGACGCAAGGCGAAGACTCAAGAGGAGCGAAGACGAAGGCGAAGACTCAAGAGGAGCGAAGACGAAGACTCAAGAGGAGCGAAGGCGAGAGGAGCGAAGGCGAAGACAAAGACTCAAGAGGAGCGAAGACGAAGACTCAAGAGGAGCGAAGACGAAGACTCAAGAGGAGCGAAGACGAAGACTCAAGAGGAGCGAAGACGAAGACTCAAGAGGAGCGAAGACGAAGACCCAAGAGCGAAGACGAAGACCCAAGAGCGAAGACGAAGATTCCAAGAGCGAAGACGAAGACTCGAAGACTCAGACCCAAGAGCGAAGACGAAGACTCAAGAGGAGCGAAGACGAAGACTCAAGAGGAGCGAAGACGAAGAAGATTCAAGAGCGAAGCGAAGACGAAAGACCCAAGAGCGAAGACGAAGACCCAAGAGCGAAGACGAAGACCCAAGAACGAAGACGAAGGCCGAACAGCGAAGACGCAGACCCAAAAGCGAAGACGAATACCCAACAGCGAAGACGATGACCCAAGAGCGAAGACGAAGACCCAAGAGCGAAGACGAAGACTCAAGAGCGAAGACGAAGATTCAAGAGCGAAGGCGAACACGAAACAGCCAAGACGAAGAAGGAGACGCAACGGCCAAGACGAAGAAGCAGACGCAACAGCCAAGACGAAGAAGCAGACGCAACAGCCAAGATGAAGAAGCAGACACAACAACCAAGACGAAGAAGCAGACGCAACAGCCAAGACGAATTCTCAACAGCCAAGACAGAAGAAGAAGACGCAACAACTAAAACGTTCAACAAGACTCAACAGCCCAGACGTACTACAAGACGCAAGAGCGAAGACGAAGACTCAAGAGCGAAGACGAAGACTCAAGAGCGAAGCGAAGACGAAGGCGAAGACTCAAGAGCGAAGACGAAGACTCAAGAGCGAAGACGAAGACTCAAGAGCGAAGACGAAGACTCAAGAGCGAAGACGAAGACTCAAGAGCGAAGACGAAGACTCAAGAGCGAAGACAGACCCAAGAGCGAAGACGAAGACCCAAGAGCGAAGACGAAGACCCAAGAGCGAAGACGAAGACCCAAGAGCGAAGACGAAGACCCAAGAGCGAAGACGAAGACCCAAGAGCGAAGACGAAGACCCAAGAGCGAAGACGAAGACCCAAGAGCGAAGACGAAGACCCAAGAGCGAAGACGAAGACCCAAGAGCGAAGACGAAGACCCAAGAGCGAAGACGAAGACCCAAGAGCGAAGACGAAGATTCAAGAGCGAAGGCGAACACGAAACAGCCAAGACGAAGAAGGAGACGCAACGGCCAAGACGAAGAAGCAGACGCAACAGCCAAGACGAAGAAGCAGAGACAACAACCAAGACGAAGAAGCAGACGCAACAGCCAAGACGAATTCTCAACAGCCAAGACAGAAGAAGAAGACGCAACAACTAAAACGTTCAACAAGACTCAACAGCCCAGACGTACTACAAGACGCAAGAGCGAAGACGAAGACTCAAGAGCGAAGACGAAGACTCAAGAGCGAAGACGAAGACTCAAGAGCGAAGACGAAGACTCAAGAGCGAAGACGAAGATTCAAGAGCGAAGACGAAGACCCAAGAGCGAAGACGAAGACTCAAGAGCGAAGACGAAGACCCAAGAGCGAAGACGAAGACTCAAGAGCGAAGACGAAGATTCAAGAGCGAAGACGAAGACTCAAGAGCGAAGACGAAGACTCAAGAGCGAAGACGAAGACTCAAGAGCGAAGACGAAGATTCAAGAGCGAAGACGAAGACGTCAAGAGCGAAGACGAAGACTCAAGAGCGAAGACGAAGACTCAAGAGCGAAGACGAAGACTCAAGAGCGAAGACGAAGACTCAAGAGCGAAGACGAAGACTCAAGAGCGAAGTCGAAGACTCAAGAGCGAAGTCGAAGACTCAAGAGCGAAGACGAAGATTCAAGAGGAGCGAAGACGAAGACTCAAGAGGAGCGAAGACGAAGACTCAAGAGAGCGAGCGAAGACGAAGGCGAAGACTCAAGAGGAGCGAAGACGAAGACTCAAGAGGAGCGAAGACGAAGACTCAAGAGGAGCGAAGACGAAGACTCAAGAGGAGCGAAGACGAAGACTCAAGAGGAGCGAAGACGAAGACTCAAGAGGAGCGAAGACGAAGACTCAAGAGGAGCGAAGACGAAGACTCAAGAGGAGCGGAGACGAAGACTCAAGAGGAGCGAAGACGAAGACTCAAGAGGAGCGAAGACGAAGACTCAAGAAGAGCGAAGACGAAGAAGATTCAAGAGCGAAGACGAAGATTAGTATTAAGTATTATGATTCAAGTTTGAAGATGAGGACTCAAGATTGATGATGAAGACTAAAAACAACAACAAAAGAAGACAAGATACTGGGTGAAGATGCAACATTCGGGACGGATGAAGTCTGTAAGCCTATATTCCTTATGAGCGTTGTTATTATTATTGATAATCCTCGATATGTTATTTAGAATATTTTCCGAATTACAGTTTTGTTGTCCCTTCGGATGAGTCTACATGCGACGGCGGCCATCTTGGCTGCGTTATGGTACGTGGGCACACGGCTAGCTGCGAAATTGATGGGTTTGTAACGGTGTCTTGCATTCAACTATTGTCCCACAATAAAAATTCCAAGTGAAATGATGGATTACAGCTTATTTAACTCGTGTTCATTGAAAAATCCGTGTAGGCCTGTGAACAGGCAACCGTGCATGCTATATCTTAATCCCAGATATTACGGCCACTTCTGCCAAAGCAACACAATGTACCACACGTACTGGCTGCTGTCTGCGTTTTCTAGTTAATCACATAGTTGCCCATTAGGAGGGGTTGCTCATAACATTAAGTACTTACATACGGACGAGTCTTTACGGAATTTGACACAGCATTTGGTGAATCATTGTTATTCATGCAGGGAGAACATGCGAGCATGTTTCTGAATATAAATAATGACTATATTCACTATACTCTTAAACTGTATTAGTGGTAATGCGACAACTTTCTATAGGGATTTTTCTTCAGAATGTTTTTCTAATGATTTCTCTTCAGGATATTTATACTAATTGAATACGCACACATTAAAAATGTTTTAGAATGCCCGTTCCCATCTACCTAAGTTTGGTGAAGAAGATCAGTAAATATCGAAGTCAGCTGCCAGTCCATAAATATAACATTTTTCTCTGGTGGCACGAGGCGGCCTTTATACGAGTTTCAACCAATAAAATCCTCCTTTAAATGCATCTAAGTCTTAGCTGCTATGAAGGAATGCTGCTGCTCGTCCAATATGCAGGCATTCCCTTTGGTCGAGGGTCTAAAGTCTAAACTGTTCTAGCGAATGTCGAGCCCGTCCATCTCGCCGGGCGTCGTCGAGCCCGTGCTTCACGGCGGCGGTCGAGCTCATCCATCCCGGCGAGCGTCGAGCCCGTGCTTCACGACAGCGGTCGAGCCCGTCCGTCCCGGTGGGCGTCGAGCCGTGCTTCCCGGCAGCGGTCTAGACCGTCCATCCCGGTGGGCGCGGATCCTCTTCTTCTCCGGTTGGCATTGAGCCTGTCTGGTCTTGGCGGACACCCTACCGTTTCGTCCGTCCAATCCTTCCAGTGGACGTCGAACTTCTACCTTCACAGTGAACATCGAGAATCAAACTTCCCAGCAGAAGTCGAGCCTCTACTCTCCCAGCGGGTGATAAGCTCGTCCTGCTGAAGACAGGAGCAAAGACGAAGACATCTGTAACATTGTCCGTTTGAACGAATAACTAAACATATATTTCTGTTTCTGTCCTATTCAATCTGGAGTTGAAATAAAACATTTCTATAAATTTTTTGTTTCACTTACAAAACGAACAGTATCAAAAACTTAGACATCGGTACAGTTACAAATATTGTCTAATCATTGAATATACACTACACCTCAAGTACAAAGTTAATCATAGAACATTTATTGTGATTTTGAATATATTTAAATGTTTTTTTTTGTTTTTATAATCTGTTGTTACTTGTTGTTTTGGCGATAACTCGAACAAGTTACCAGATTTAACAGAATTGGGTTCCTATTTACAGGGAGGCTTTTCTAAGTGTATCCATTTTTTTTATTAAATTCTAGACATAAATAATGAATTATAAAAAATGATAAATATTTAAAATCACTCGTAAGTAATGAATTACCTTCATTTGAACTTATCTCAAAAAGATCTTCGTCCTTCGATTAGGTACACTTGAGTTCATTACCTGTCTTTTTAAACGCGGGAAAGAGTCACTTTCATAAAGTCTTTGCGCACCACTTAAAATGTAGCACCGTACCATCTCGTTATTCTCGCGGTTCTAATAACTGCGTTGTTGTTTCGACATCGTTAAAGATAAGCAAATCTAAAAATAACACGCGCGACCTTAATTCGCTCATGGACAAATTGAAACTAACGAAGTAACTAGCGGTGGGCGATACATATCGTATCAGATATGAAAACTGGATATTAGTACAATATCCGAATATCGCTTACTGGCTCGTTCAATATCTACATAGTTTACAATATCTGATATTTCCGAAATCTGATGTACCGTGCTCGCTCGCTATACCGACACGAATCGCGATATCATACGCGTTTGCCACAATATCTGATTTTTAAACAGATTTCGAGAGACAAAACGCGTGAGATACAAATACTCACTAGTTAGAGCGGGACGGCAAGCAATGCACGATATCAGATATCGAGCGAAAGCGCGTGAGATATAAATACTCACTAGTTAGAGCGGGACGGCAAGCAATGCACGATATCAGATATCGAGCGACAAAGCGCGTGAGATATAAATACTCACTAGTCAGAGCGGGACGGCAAGCAATGCACGATATCAGATTTTTAAACAGATTTTGAGCGACAAAGCGCGTGAGATACAAATATTACACTAGTTAGAGCAGTACGGCAAGCAAGGCACAATATCAGATTTTTAAACAGATATTTTGAATAAGTTAAGTAATTTTGAATCTTAAAACCATGCAAATAAGATCCGTTTCAATTAAATACTAATCATGGTATCAACGATTACTACAACGATATTATTAAGTATATTTTTATTGTTTTGTTTAGCCTTGAGCCGTAACGGGCGACAAAGCGCGCAGTTAAGTAATTTTGAATCTTAACAACATGGAAAAAAACACTTTTAGTTGCATTTAAATACGAATTACGGTATTAACGATGTCTTTAAATTTTGTTTAACCTTGAGCTGGATTGCATTGGTACCTAGCACGTAATAGTAAGGGATGCCAACTTACTACTTAAGAATTTTCTGCCTAAATTAAGGAAGAAAAATATAAATGGAAATTTTTTAGGAGGTAAATTTTTTGTGAATATTTTTATTAGTTAAATTTTATTCATATTTTTGGAAAAAATAAAACTACACAAAAAGAAAAATATAATGTAATAGTGCTGTGCTGCTTGGGTGGAAATCAGACCAAGGCTTATGTGCTTTGTGTGTATATTTTAATTTCTTCCGCCCTAAGTTATAATACTGAATGTATTATTTCTTACACAAATTATAAAAATATTGTCAGTCATGATTGCGTGTTCTAAGAATATGTTAAAGTCAAATAATAAGCGATATATAAGATGTTGAAATAAATCATTTTTATATTACTTCAATTTCTATTTTTAATGAAATTTTTAATTTAATCAGGTAATGTTTTAATTTTACCTTAATAGTATGAAAAAGTGTGATTTTAAATTCAGTAAGGTTTTTGAATTTAGTCACGCCTGCACAATTTATAATAAGTATAAAATATTGTTGAAAAATTTTTTTTTTTTTTTAAGAATTCAAGGTGGATACGGGACCGTAATATATCTAGATATTAAAATACATAGTTTCGAAATCTGATATTTGAAATCGAAATCTGATTCAGATACGGTACTCAGAAAAAGCGATACGACCCATCTCTAGAAGTAACGAAGGACAGCGGGCAGAGGCTGCATAGAGCGGTCACCGCGGGTGGGTGGAGGGGAAGAGAACGAAGTTTTATGACGCAACGCTTTGAACGCCGCCGCCGTGCCGACACGGGTCGTCTCAGATTTATCGCGAGCGCTTAGTTTTGTTTGTGTGCGTGCACAGTAAAATTTAGGTATTTGATATTTGAATGAATGACTACATTGTCAACAAGTTCTGTTTTTAGGGAATAGAATAGCAATTTTTTTTTGAAAAAAAAAAGTTTGTTTTTATTTCAATAAATGATTATACTACCGAGTCTGAACCTCCTGTGCACTCTTCAAAAAGACTCCCTGTACAGCGAAATTGAGTCATGAACAGTTCTATCTAATCCTTCCAAAAATTTTTGACCGCCCCTCATATTGTTGTTAACGCGTCCTAAAGTAAGCCACCAAAACGTCTCGTCAGTTCACTTAAGACAGGGCTGCGAGTAGGACACGGTTTCAAAAACTTTAAAATAATGCCTTCGTGTGTCTTTAAAAGATGTACCAAGTACGATACCAATGTTCACAAAATTCATCTCATATTTATTTATTTATTTATTTATACTTAATTGCAATTACCTTAAACAAGGATTACAAAGGGCGAACTTAATGCCTTTAGGCATTCTCTCCCAGTCAACCCGGGGCGTGGAGATAAATTGTGGTAGGTGCATAAAAAAAAAAACAAGTACATTACTAATGTGAATGAAATATACAATGTCCATACATTATACACAACAATATACACACGCTTAAATAAATATAAATACATACATACATATACAAAATAAAATATATATATACAAATGTACACATACATATTATATATAAAAACATTAAAATATATACATAAATATAAACATATAAACGATATTGAAATAATGATGAAATTTAACATTCAGATGTTAAGTATAATTCGCGGACTTTGCGTTTGAATGAGGCCTTGCAAGGGGCACTACGTATGTCTTCAGGCAAGGAGTTCCAAAGTAATTCAGCCTGAACGGCGAAAGAGTCACCGAAGAAACTAGAATTATGTGGAGGAATAGAAATTTTGAGGTTAGATGAAGAACGGAGGTTTCTTTCGTTGTTTTGATAGAGGTATTTAAATTTATCTTTAAGATAGGATGGTGAAGCTGGGTCAGTTAAAATCGAAAAAAGCATGAAGAGAATTCTTGAATTCCGTCTTTGTTCAAGTGTAAGCCATTTAAGTGTAGTGCGATAGGGAGTAATGTGATCAAATTTTCGAATGCCGAAAACGTATCTGATACAGTTGTTGGATAGGCGCTCAAGCTTGTTGAGAAGGTCTTTGTTCAAGTCTAGGTAACAAACATCTGCATAGTCTATTATTGGTAGAATAAGTGACTGAACAAGTAAGAGTTTGATCTTGAAAGGGAGAAAATTCTTTAGACGATATAGAGTTCGCATGGTTACAAAGGCTTTACGGCTAATTTCAGTGACTTGTACTCCCCAGTTCATAGTGCTGTCCATAAAGAGTCCAAGATTTTTTATGGAATTTGACAACGGAATAGGTTTGTTATTGTATTGGATAACAGGCAGACTAGGGAAATCAATTTTCGACAGCATTCTAGAGCTTCCAACGAGCATTGCTTGGCACTTATTGGGGTTAACAGATATTCCATATTGCGTTGACCAATCGTGAATAATACTCAAGTTGGAATTTAGTCTGATGAACGCGTTATGGAGGTCACCGTTATCAGTTGCAAGTCATCCGCATACAGATGGTATGGACAATCAATATATGTTGTGGTCGAGTTTATAAAGACCGAGAATAATATGGGGGAGAGTATACCGCCTTGTGGCACGCCAGATTCAATATCAGCCCATTGTGAAGACTCTTGGCCCATAAAGACGGACTGCTGACGCCCGCGGAGATAAGATGAGAACCAATCCATCGCTGTGGGAGCGAATCTTAATTGAGCAAGTACACAGAGTAGGATATCGTAATCAACTGTGTTAAAAGCGTTAGAGAAGTCGACAAGCACCATCACTGTCACTTTCTTACCATCCATACCCAATCTTATGTCATCGGTAATTTTAAGTAAGGCAGTGGTGGTGCTATATCCCGAACGAAACCCAGATGTTTGAATGATGAACGAAACCCTGCCTGATGACAATTTCTGGAACTGCTTCCTTAGTTCGGCTATTTCCTGGCGAAGACCGGCAAGGATGGAGCCTGGGGCTGCGTCGCTTACAGCAGCTGTTGCGGTCGCTACTCGTGGTGTTGGTGGTGCCACGTCATTTAGCCTGTCGGCAAGGTGTGCGAGGTTGTCAAGGTTGGCAGATGTGCGTTGACCTGCAAGCACCGTTTGCAGGCTGTAGGGAAGCTGACTGGTCCAGATGGTCTTCAAAAAATCGTCGGAAACGCCGTCACCCGCCAGGCCTTTGAGGTGGCGAAGAAACTGTGAAGGCTTGCGTTCTCCGAGCTCCTCGTGCCTGAGCAGTTGCTTGAGCTTCTTCTCCTTCGACGCGCTCAATCTCTTAATCAGCTCGGTTTTAAGCTTAAAGTATTTGTTGGTTGCAGGGGGACTAATAATCAGGTCTTTAATTTCCTTCGAGTATTGATGCTCGAGGTGACCAATTACGTAGTTGAACTTGGTGGTATCGTTGGTGATAGCAGATATGTCGAATTGACCTTCCACCTGCGCGAACCATATCTCGGGCTCGTCAGCCCAAAATGGCGGCAACCGCAATCCGACTTTACAAATATCGAGGGTACTTATCGATGTCCGTCCATCACTCGTTGTGTGTCCTTGCGCGTCCTCAAAATGCTTCTCCATGTTCGTCTCGGGGTCACCAGTTTGGTAGTATGTGTGTGGACGAATGTCTTATGAGCGGTGGCAAGTAAATAAATAGCACAGCTTTACGGATATAATGTTTATTCCACTGCACACGAACCAATTTACAATTAGAAGGAGAAAAGTACAGAAGCGGAAAGATTACGAGGCACAGAACAAACAACAATACAGAAGAGACGAAAAATAAGCTAAGCACAGTACTACAGTCTAATAACAGCGATAAGCGTAAGCAATCTAGCACTCGCGTCAACTCGATATATGCAGTCGTTAGGTTAGGCGGCGTGCGCTTCGCGTGGAGTAGTTTTGCAACTGGCTCAAACGACCGCGGGTCAGCTGCGCCGACGCATCGCGAAACATACCATTATTTTTTGGCGCGGTGTAGTGACGCGGTGCAGGTCAATAATTCCGTCCACTTGTTATCCATGGATTGGATTGTCGATAATTTATTAAAATTGATATATAATATAAAGTGCAAATGTTTATAGTAATAAATATAAATATGTTGTTAAATATACTGTGTAAGAATAGGGAAAAGTATAAAGGTACGCCACATACATAATACAATACATCTTTTTATTATTAGTATTTTCCTAATATTTCAATTTATGTAGGTTAGAAAATAAACGCAACAATTAAATAAAAATAGGGAGATCAGAAAAACTGACCCACTTTGGTCATAGATTATTTTATATTATTTATATTTATTAGTCGTCCTAATGTAATTCCGTCTATTTCTTCTTTAAAGTTTCTGACTAATAAGGTTCCACTTAGAAAAGTGAATTGCAATCGTACGTAATCCAAGAAATTAATCTAATCGTAGATATTAAAAAAAAGGATCTAAAAAATTTTAATATTCCAATATATACTCTCTTTAATCATCGCGTAAATCTTAATTGAAACTGTAATTCACAAATACAAAACAATTCGGAATCTAGATAATTCAAAAGTTCCAATGTAATATTCTTTTTCTTGAAGGAACTAGCCAGAGTATGACAATTTCAGGTAAAAGTAGTGCACATGGCATGACGCTGCGACAATGCAAGCTGTCAGTGTGGAATGAAAGTACTATGCTTTTGAGTGGGGCACAAATTTTATTTGCATTCTCATGTGAATGTGGTTTACATGATGTTAAGTGATGGCCGCTGCACATCGACATTTGCACCTCATCAAACGAAACGCAGAAGTGAAGCACTTCCACTTCATGTCGTTCTTCTTAGTTCGTGGTACCTACCCGGACGGACCTGCCAATCCGTGCAACAGTGTCGGATCAGTAGGGTGCAGAGTGGTAGGGTCACGCATGCGTCACCCTACCACTCTGCCATGTCTCCTGTGGTACAATACGTACGCTACGGTAAAATATGCTATATGTTTTTCCATTATTAGTAAAAATGTACAAATTTGCGGCTTTTGACACACGCAAATATACTACATCACTTACTACCAATTACTAACACTGCGGGTGTTGCAAATGTCGGGGCGGCGGTTATCTTAAAATTAGGTGCACCGCCACCTCGTTTTCCACTTTCTCACATAAAAATAATTAATAAAACAACAGAAATCACATCATATATCTATTCTGTGTATATTTGGTTTCCCCAGGATAAAAAAAACAATATTACCCACAAATAGTATTAATTCGACACAACATCCTCTTTATACAAAAATAGTTACACAGCTGTCTATGTATTATTTCACTATTATCTTCTATCATCCACATCTGAAACAAAAGTAATCATTACAAATATTTTCATGAACACAACATCTTCAGACATCAACTTTTCTTACATATTCCGGTACCGCTAAGTGTTCGATACTTTTGTTTCGATACCAAGTACTTTTAACATTGAAATAATCTTACGATACTTGGTATCTCGAATTGAAGAACTTAATATCAAATTGACGTAGTCTGAACGAAATGAATGTTACTTTACAATTTCTGAATGCAACATAGTTCAGTAGTGGCACTTGAACCAGTGGGCTGCCATTCAATGGTTTATGATAGGGACCTTATTTGAACATTCAGTTCAGTTCAGCAATGCCACAACAACAAAATAAAATTTTACATTAAAATCCTGATATCTGGGAGAATATCAATTTTTTTCATTAACTTAATGATAGGAGTGGAAAGATGGGAAAAAATTCACTTACTTTTTCCATCGCAAGCTACAATTTTCACTTTGTCTACTTTGGCGACTTCTTGAACTTCTCTGAATTCTACTTCATTTAACATGAATGTCCAAACATTATCACAGAATCTGAAATTATAAAGAAAAGAAAATGATGAAAACCAGGATGTATTCAAAACAAACATTGTCTAGACAATATCAAATGTGACGCGGCATCATGTGCTCGGCTCAGAGATATAAATTACCTTATTACATCTAATGTATAAAATTCTCGTGTTACGGTTTGTAATTGAACTCCTCCGAAACGGCTCGACCGATTTTCGTGAAATTTTGTGTGCATATCGGTCAGGATGGATAATCGGACAACATCTATTTTTCATCCCCCTAAATGTTAAGAGGGTGGACCCCAAATATTTTTTTCTATCCTACAAATTCCTTAGAAATAATTTATACAGCAAGACAACGTTTGCCGGGTCAGCTAGTTACCTTATAAAATGTTGGATAATGATGTATTAAAATTTGTAGGAAAAATGGACTGGAAGTTTCTCGCCACTATGGAATCGGACCCACGTCTTCTGGATTCGCGGCCAGATGCTTTAACCAGTAAGCTAAACGGCTGATTGCCATAGCGACGAAAACTCGACGTATTTTATCTACATTGTTTTATTTTCACTGTAATTAATGCTTGGCGCGTCTACAGTTACCATTTTTACAACAGAATTAAAATATGGTTTTACCCCGATAATTCGTAGAAATGTGCCATTACTATTGGAAACTTATATTTCAAGTAATGTAATGTACACATTAATTGTATTATTTTTTTATGTGAAAAGCCAGCAATTGAACTGGTGGTTCATCTGATGATAAGCGATTAACGAAGCCTATGGACACCTACTACACTTGAAGGGTTGCAGATGTGTTGCCAACCTATTTTTAAAAGTGGGGGGTGCAGATCGCAATAGTATAATACATATTTGCATTTTACACAGATCTTCTGTGAGTTTAATTACATCATATTTAATATTATAAAGATATATATTAAACAAATGTCTTATATTTTAATTGGAATAAATAAATCTACCAGCATAACAACCAAATTGAGTAATGTTCAAAATTAAGTTTATGTCATTCATGCCTAAATAGGAATCAACCCAAGGGGTTTTAAATAGTATCTCGTTTTAAATACTCATTATTTAATTGCAAAAATTTATTTCCCTGCAAGAATTTATTTCCCTACTCCTCAACTGATTTAAGCACCAAATTAGATGCTCTTAATATATAAATTTTCAGGTACATCCTATTGAGCTTATGCAGGAGTCTATGTTTATAGTTGTATGATGAATGAGATTGAGGACTATTGTCACTGTTTATTATTTGCAAAGGTTTGCCTTTAATATTCTCAATTAATTTTTAAAGTAAACAAATAAGATCAATGAAATATTGTTAATAAGCGTGACAGCCTCCTATTTTGCTGATTTCATTGTTAACATAAATTATGTCTCATTAGCAAATATTCTTTTCACAATGGTTGTCTGGAAGAAATTGCTTTCCGAGCGATAAGACCGCCTATTGTACTTCCTTTTATAGTCATTTGTAATTTGCTTTTTATATATTTTTATTTTTGGTGTACAATAAAGTATAAATAAAAAAAAAATATGTTATTAATTATATTTTTCTTTTCTATAACAAACTATTTACCATATTGTCAAATCACATGACAATTAAATTTATATGAATGTATATCATTTGTCCTCCAGTGTTAATAAGTAAATATTTCTAGTAACTTTTTAAAACATTAAGGAATTGTGTCATAACCAGGGTGGCGTAAGTAATCACTGTGGTAGGGCTACGCAGCAGACTCGGCTGTTGCACAAATGGGTAAGCTCGTCCAGGTAAGTACTATGACCTCACAGAAGACCGTAAGACAGTAAAGTGGAAGTATATTACTTTCGCGTTTCATCTGGGGTGTGAGGTGGCCGGAGCAGAAATTTCAAAAGGTTGTCAAACTTTATTGTTATCTTCAAAAATATTAAAATGTTCGACAATAACAAAAATAGGCACATGTATGGCATGTTGTGTTATTTAACATAATGATGATAAATCGAATATGTATGGGTGGCTTTCATTTTAGGTTATAATAAAACATATGTGACCACATAATATATATATTAAAATTATTTCATATAAGGAAACGGGCAGAAATCAGTATCATTCATAATCATTAAGACAACTTTCTGCTTTTTATGTCACACCTAACAGCAATGATAACTCAAACTGAAGTAAAAGTCATTATCAAAAAGGAGCTTCAAAATATATTTATCCAGTAGTTTTGTATCACAAAACAAAAACTGAAGGGGTATTGAAAAACATAATATGGGTGGTCAAATAATCATTGCTGTGACATCATATTCACCAACATTTATCAGTGTTTCAGCCGATTATAACAGGGCGTTAATGTTGTGGAATTTTAATTTATAATTGTTGTTTAGGTACATTAATCTATTAATATTTTTTTTTGTGAAAAGTTGCCCAGCGAGTAGGTGATTCATCTGATGTTAAGTGAATACCACTGCCCATGGATATCTAATACACCCAAGGGTTTGATGACATGCATTGTGAAAAATGGGCTCCAGCTACCTCACTAACCAGATGAAATGCTAAAGTATTATACTTCCACTTTACGCTGGTCTTCTGTGAGGTCATGGTACTTACCTGGACGAACCTGCCCATTAGTGCAACATTCGAGGCTGCTGCATGCCCCACCACGGTTAAATTTTTCTATTAATTATTAAAAAATAAAGAGAAAAATGTGCATGCCGCTATTGCCTGTCCCTATTACTGACTGGTAAACAAGACAAAGTGCAATGAAGATTATTTGATGGGAAGGAAATCTGTTTAGAACATTTTTGTTTAAATTGTAATTCTGCTTGTTGATTAATTCATTAGAGATTTTGGTAAAAATTCCGAACAGTATGTCTCGTTTTTCAAGCTCGAAAAAAATTTTAATCGATAGAGAAATGTTAATAATTAAATATTACATACGTGAAAACCAATGCAAACACTTACTTTTAATAAAAAAAATATTTAAAACTTGTTATTTTCACTAAATAAATCCGCCATTTTGTGTTTGACAACATGTATAAATTTACGAATTCACACAATTTTCCAAATTATAACCTTCGCATTATTAAAAAAGTCTTTAAAAATACTAAAAGTACTGTTACACAAGTTTTCTGGGTGGTCATAAAAAAAAAACCTTTTTTTGGTTTTTCTACTTCACCTTCTAACCTGACCTATCCGAGTCGGATCGCTCTGTGTCGGATATGTAACTCATTTTGAACCTAATATTCGAGACATTAAGTGTACACTAAGTCACAAATTTTAAATATTAGAAATTGTTAATAATACATGTTCATGAAGTAGAAACTTATGTTTTTGTCATATATCTGTGTATTTGTGGCTTCTTAGAACGTAAAAAGTGAAAACGTAAGTTTTTAACTTAAAATAATAGTCTATAATGAATAATGGACGCACAGTAATGACGGATTTCAGTTGTATGAAATTTAAAAACTTTGTTAATTTTTTCCTCATAATCTAGTGGTTTTCATTGATTATAACTTATATAATATGTAATTATTAACATTTCTCTATAGATTAAAATTTTTTTCTAGCTTGAAAAACGAGACGTACTATTCGGAATATTAGCCGAGATTTTTCTCTATCGTTTAAAATTTATTTTAATTGAATTACGCCACAGTTAAAGTTATTTACATTTGCCTTTTTTTATTTGCGAAGTAGCTCTTTACTTAATAAATCATGTGATGGTTTATTAAGTTTACAAACTAATTAAAGTAGTGCCTAACATTTGGTCTACAATGTGTATTATAATGTAAGGTATACACATTGTAGAGCAAAGGGCTAAGTAAATAAGGGTAGTTGCTGATTTAGTCATTTATTCTTGTAACCTAATGACAATTTATGCATACCTGTAAGTGTTTAATTTTCCTGCTTTGAATGTCAGCCTCGATTTAACTCTGTTTGATAATGCTTGATTGATCGACTTATCAAATTGTAGTAAAACTTTTACCGCTAATGTCGGAGTTATTTGTCCATACTGAAATAGGTTCAACCAAGATTAATGCAATTAATATTTTAATTTTGTTGGTAATTCCAACGCATCATAAATAACTTACTTGGATTAATTCATCCAGGCTTTCTTGTAGCGTATTTCCAATAGTGGTATTTCTATATAATTGATATGACATAACTAAAGGATAAATGAAATATTTTTTTTACACAGTTGTTATAGTATGTAAATATAAACAAGTGCTGTGTATTGATTCCGTTTCGACGTAAAACCGTAAAGTATTCACTTTTTTTACTTTTTCAGTCTGCATTTGAGGTAACAATTCTGCACAGACCACGGACCACAGAGTAGCGATGTGCGACTCGAGTTATTTGACTCGAGTAACTCGAGTCAAACCTTAAACGAGTCAACTCGAGTTCAGTTTTAAGCAACTCGAATCAACTCGGTCGTCCGAACGCAAGCCGGACGTTATATCCGGCGGCCTCACGAGTTGTTCCGAGTTACACACGCGGCTCGCGCGCGCGGTTCGTTAGGCGTTGCAACTCGCATCAACTCGCATCAACTCGAGTTAAGTGAAATGTAAAGTTACAATAAACGCGCGCGCGCCGTTCGTAAGGTGTTGCAACTCGCATCAACTCGAGTTGAGTGAATTCAAAGTTACGTTACACGCGCGCGCGCTGTTCGTAAGGTGTTGCATCTTACTCGCATCAACTCGAATAGAACTCGGGTTTTGAATTCAGAATTGCGCAAATGAAAAACCGCTTTAAAAGTTTATTTTGTTTTTTGATTGACATTTTGTTATTTGTTTTTATTAGTTGGCCGTTGGCGATCCGCGTGCGAACTGACATTTTTGATTTGTTAGTGATCTGTTTTGTTTTGTTTGTAACGACGTCAAATAACAGAAGTGTGGCGTCGGAATTCTTTGCTATCAAAACAAAAACTTTTTTTAACATTATTTTCGGTACGACTTTGAGGCGATAGATGGCGGTATTTTTTTGTCGTATTTTCTAAAACACGATGTTGAGATCTGCGCTGGAATAATATACACCTTTGTTATTTGATTTTCAAAATAAATTGCACGCTAGTGCCAATTGATTGTAAATTTTGTCTTTGAAATCCCAACCGTCGGACACTGTTCGGGGTCGAGGTTTATAGAAAAAGGAGAGGATTAATTCAGACCACATACAAAGTTGCGAATTTACTCGAGTAGCCATATAACATCACGATTCAACATCATTATATACTTACCTGACTTGATACTTCCTATCTAATTAGCCTCGAGTCGAGCTGACTCGTGCTCTCCGAATTGGCCGAGTCGTCGTCTCCCCCCCCCCCCCCCCCCCCCCCCCCTTTATCCCTACCGGAGACTTCGATGCGAGTCAACTCGAGTTGCGATTCGAGTCAGTAGCCAAATCAACTCGAGTAACTCGAGTCAAAAAAAAATCCAACTCGTCACATCACTACCACAGAGTACTTAGTTATGACGAACGTCAGATGTCAAAATTAACCATAGAGATACTTTTAAGTTATTGCCACATTGGATACAAGGCCGTCTGCTAAAAGATAAAATAAGCTATTGAAAAGTAGTAGACTTATTTAAATATAGCGATGTTTTAAATTAGCGTCGAAATGTAAAAAATTAACGAGAGCGTACTCTTTCTTAAAAGGCCAGCCAACGCGTTTGTGAGCCCTCGGGTGTTGCAGGTGTTTATGGGCGGCGGTAATCACTTACCATTAAGTGAGCCTCCTGCTCGTTTGCCCCTTTTCTCCATAAAAAAAAAAAAACATATTTTATAACTTGCTTTAAAGAAAATTATTTGTTCGTCTTTGTTTCTAAACCATTGTCATTAAATAGCATTTACAACAGACGAGTCTGACATAATATTATTATTAATAGAGCGCGGCAAATTCAAAAAAAATCAATACAATACTATCAATACTCAATACTCCACTTTTAAATTTCGTTAGTTTAATATTATTTTTAAATTTCTTTATATCGATATCGGTTAGGTAGTCTGCTATAAAGCGCACGTTTGTTTATAAAAACCGTTTTTATGAGCAATCTTTACTATCAATCTTTTAATCATAAGAAGAAAGAAAAAACTATTCACTAAGATATTTATTAAGTACCTTTACGCCCGCGGCTTCGCTCACTTTGAAGCCCTTAAATAAATATCTTTCTTTTAAAAAAATACTATTAAAAATAGCCTATGTAAAGGACATACTCAGGCTTTCTGTGTACCAAATTTCATTTGAATCGGTTCAGTAGTTTTCTCGTGAAAGCGAGACAGACAGACAGAGTTACTTTCGCATTTATAATATTAGTATGGATTAATCTTTCATTATATTTTAACCATCCTGAGCCACCTGCATCCATCGATTTCCTGCACATTTGCACAGGTTGTCAATTCATCTAGTGGGCGGTCGTTCTACACGTACACTGCAATTGCAATGGCCAGCTGTCATTCTAGAACCTTTCTTCTCCATCAGTTATCGGTTCTATGAGCTAAATGGCAGGCCCATCAACACTGCAGCTTACTAATCTTTTGAGCTATTTCACTTATTTTTGTTCAAATGCGGATATCTTCGTTGCGTTTACTATTTATTCGTCTGTGATTTATTAAAATATCTCCATTATTTTCCTAATTTTTTTATGGGTTATAAAACAAAGAAAGAGGTAGTAAATAAATTTATTACGAGGACGAAAAAGACGGATGCACGACAGGCCATACATTAACAAGTTAATACATCCAGTTACAAATTTCGTAGTATGCGAAGGCATCGTTACTGCCTTAGTAATGATTTTATTTTCTCTCTATTAATAAATAACATAGTGTTTTATGTATTTATTTAATATTTAGTATAAAATTATTGAAAAGATATTCATATAAAATGTTATATACCCATATAAATTAAAGTTGTACTTAAACTTACTTTTTATTTATTTATTTTTATTTATTTATACTTCATTGTTACACCTTAGGCTAAAGGCTACAATGGGCGGACTTAATGCCTAGTGGCATTCTCTACCAGTCAACCCTTGTCATGGTGAGAAGTAGATGGCAGGTGCTAAAACTAAAGTAAATAAAAGTAGGAAAATATATACATAAAAATCAAATTAAATATAATGTGTGGATATATACGAATATGTATATAAATATTATTAATCATAAACTACATATATATGACATACATGTATGGATGAATATATACATAAATATACACACACACATATATATATATATATATACACACATAAATATTGTAGATGTACATATATGGATAATAAAAACCGAGCATGGGATAAGCCAAACAAAATCACTGATTTAATAGGTATTCTCGAACTAACTTTTTAAATGTATATTTATTTGGAGCTATTTTGATCTTATCGGGAAGGGCGTTCCAGAGGAGTGTAGCTTCAACAGTAAAAGAAGAGTTAAAGTATCCTGTATTATGTTGCGGGATGCGAATCCTATGTAGGTTAAAGGAACGAGGTACTCTGTCAGAAGCAGAGTGAAATAATTGGAAGGTATTCCTGAGATATGTAGGAGAATTAGAATTAGATAATACCGAATACAATACAACAACAGAATTCTGGAGCAACGCCTTTGACGAATAGAAAGCCAGTTAAGCTTGCGACGATAAGAAGATACGTGGTCATATTTACGTAAACCGAAAATGAATCTGATGCAGTTATTGAGAAGGCGCTCCAATTTATTAAGACGAGATTGGGATAGGTCCGGGTAACACACATCTGCATAGTCAATAATGGGTAAAATTAAGGACTGGACAAGCAAGAGCTTAGTTTTATGGGGCAGAAAATTTTTAAGGCGATAGAGAGAACGTAAGGTGGCAACGACTTTCCGGCTGACTTCGGCAACCTGTGTTTCCCAACTAAACGACTGGTCCAAATACAAGCCAAGATTTTAACAGATTCAGAGAACGGAATTAACGTTCCATTGTAAGTGACAGGGACAAGGCTACCATAATCAATCCTGGCAAGCATCCTTGGACCACCAATTATAATAGCTTTGCATTTAGAAGGATTAACGGTAATTCCAAATCTGTGCGACCAATCTCTAATTGATTCCAGATTGTTATTAAGGGTTATTATGCTGTTATTAAGATCATTAATATCTGTTTGAACGTAAAGCTGTAGATCGTCTGCATACAGATGATACGAACAATTGATAACTGAGGTTATAGAGTTAATAAACAATGAAAACATGATAGGAGAAAGTATACCGCCTTGCGGCATCCCAGAATCAACGTCCGCCCAGGCAGAACACTGCTGTCCTAAGCGGACCGACTGTTGGCGATCGCGAATATAGGAGGAAAACCAATCCAAAGCTGGGGTAGAAAATCTAAGGTAAGTAAGGTAGGATCTGAGGATTTCATGGTCAACTGTGTTGAAAGCGTTAGAAAAGTCCACAAGCGCCACCACTGTGAGCTTTTGAACATCCATACCTTTTCGTATGTCATCGGTGACCTTAATAAGTGCAGTGGTGGTACTGTGACCCGGACGAAACCCAGATTGATAAGAGTTCAATAGGTTATGTTTAGCAATAAATACGGAAATTTGCTTATGAACACAGCCTCAAGAACTTTAGAGAGAGAAATGGAAGAATAGAAATAGGACGAAAGTGGTTAGGCAAAGAAGGATTGGGGATTTTGGCAAGTGGCAGAACAAAAGCTCTTTTCCACAAGGATGGGTAAACACCAGAGTCCAAAGAAAAATTGATTATGTGGGTGATTGCAGGTAAAAGGTAGTCCAGGATCATTGTAATCATTTGTTTACTAACCTCGTCGCTTCCCACAGCTTTAGATTTGATTGCTATTATAGTGTTTTTAACGACATTGAGATTTACCGGTGTGAACTGAAAATGTGGAATTTGAAGAGGTGACAAATAACCAATAGAAGTAATTGTTTGAGAGCGGATAGTAGGGTCCATAGATGGAGTAGAAATAAAATGTTGGTTAATGTCATCTAAAGAGAGCGAAGAAAAATGATCTGATGGGCACGGCTTGGTGATGCCAAGAGATTTAAGAAATTTCCATACATCAGCGGACGAAGAATTACTAATATTGGCATGGATATAACGGCGTTTAGCATTTCGTACCATCTGATTGCATCTGTTTCTAAGAGATTTAAAATGTAACCAATTCTCTTCCGTACGT